CTCCCACGTGCTTTCATTTGTCTCCCACTTCTTTCATTTGTCTCCCAGTTCTTTTCATTTGTCTCCCAGTTCTTTTCATTTTTGGTCTCCCAGGCTGGGTGCTTGTGGTCGGGTTCCCGGCTGGCTTGTCTCGCACTTCCTTTCATTTGTCTCCTACTTCTTTTCCCTTGTCTCCTTTCCTTTCATTTGTCTCCCAGGCTCGGTGCTTGTGGTTGGGTTCCCGGCCGGCTTGTCTCCCACTTCCTTTCCCACTTCTTTTCATTTGTCTCCCAGTTCTTTTCATTGTCTCCCAGGCTGGGTGCTTGTGGTCGCGGGTTTGCGGCTGGCTTGTCTCCCACTTCCTTTCATTTGTCTCCCACTTCCTTTCATTTGTCTCCCACTTCTTTTCATTTGTCTCCCACTTCTTATCATTTGTCTCCCAGGCTGGGTGCTTGTGGTCGGGTTTCCGGCTGGCTTGTCTCCCACTTCCTTTCATATGTCTCCCACTTCTTTTCATTTGTCTCCCTGGGTGCTTGTGGTCGGGTTTGCGGCTGGCTTGTCTCCCACGTGCTTTCATTTGTCTCCCACTTCTTTCATTTGTCTCCCACTTCTTTTCATTCCCCAAACAGTTTACTGTTAGGGGTTCTCAATGCTTTAAAGAATGGTCGCCTTGGTGCTGGATGGTCTGGTCGGGTTCCCAGCCGGCTTGTCTCCCACTTCCTTTGTCTCCCAGTTCTTTTCAGTCGGGGTTCCCGGCTGGCTTGTCTCCCACTTCCTTTCATTTGCCTCCCAATTCTTTTCATTTGTCTCCCAGGCCACTTCCTTTCATTTGTCTCCCACTTCTTTTCATTGTCTCCCAGGCTGGGTGCTTGTGGTCGGGTTCCGGGCCGGCTTGTCTCCCACTTCCTTTCATTTGTCTCCCACTTCTTTTCATTTGTCTCCCAGGCTGGGTGCTTGTGGTCGGGTTTCCGGTCAGCTTGTCTCCCACTTCCTTTCATTTGTCTCCCACTTCTTTTCTGCTTGTGGTCGGGTTCCCGGCCGGCTTGTCTCCCATATTTGTCTCCCACTTCTTTTCATTTGTCACCAACTTCTTTTCATTTGTCTCCCAGGCTGGGTGCTTGTGGTCGGGTTCCCGCCCTACACTTGCTTTCATTTGTCTCCCGGTTCTTTTCATTTATCTCCCAGAAATGCTTCATTTGTCTCCCGGGTCCGTCACTGCTGGTGCCATGTAGCATTTCTATTCATTTGTCTTTGTCACTGCTAATTTCCGCCCTTTTCCGCTGGCCACGCAGCATTTCTATTCATTTGTCCCCCAGGCTTGTCACTGGTGGTGTCCGCCCTTTTCCGCTGTTTCTATTCATTTGTCTCCCAGGTCTGTCACTGTTGGTGTCCGCCCTTTTCCGTTGGCCATGTAGCATTTCTATTCATTTGTCTCCCAGGTCTGTCACTGCCAGTGTTTTGTCTCCCAGGTCTGTCACTGCTGGTGTCCGCCCTTTTCGTCGGCCATGCAGCATTTCTATTCATTAGTCTCCCAGGTCTGTCACTGTTGGTATCCGCCCTTTTCCGCTGGGCATGCAGCATTTCTATTAATTTGTTTCCCGGGTCTGTCACTGGTGCTGCCGCCCTTTTCCGCTGGCCATGTAGCATTTCTATTCATTTGTCTCCCATGTGATTTCTTTCTTTTTGTCTTTCAGGTTTGGTGCCTGCACTGCTGTTTTCTGCCCTGTCCGCTGGAACAGGTTCGCCTGTGAAAGGTTCTTGCTCCTTTGCAAGGGGTGCGTGACTGTCTCCGCGATTGCATTCCTGCCGCACTGTGTAACTCTCTCAGCTTTGTTTTCCTTCTCGGGCAACCGTTGGATGAATGACCGGATTGGATTTCGGCGGTGTGGCAGCGATCTCTCTATTCAGTTGGGGCGGAGGGCATATGTCAGGCGCCAAAAATCAATTTCATGTCACATCCTTCGCTCCTCATGCTTTTGGTTTCTTGTCCTCACGTGGTCAGCTCCCCGCTGACTGAGCAGCATGACCAGCATCATGTTCGCGCTTGAAGAATAATTCCCCAAAAGGTTTACTGTTAGGGCTTCTCACTTCTTTCTTAAGATGTGTCCCCCCGCTCTGTACTGCTGTGTCCGTCTCTGCCTTGCAATCCTTTACATTTATCTCCCAGCTCTGGACGTCGCAAGCTCTAGTTTCGATTTTGAAAACACAAACTGTTTGGGGTCTACGGTGGTGTAATATAAGTGCCTTTATCTTTTCACTTGGGGATGTGCCAACCCTTTCTACAAACCAAAGAGCACCAAAAGTAAAAAACACTCAAAGCAAGCGGTTGAACTTGGAATCCCCTCAGTTCTTAGGTATCTCAATGGTATAGTGGGTTGAGAGCAGATGGCACAATCCCCCCAAATTTGGTGGTATATAAGGACCCCAATCTACATCTTGGGGTTTGTGCCATCTACCCTGAAACCACTGCATTAGTATATCTTGGCTCCGCTCAGCTCGCCTCCGCACCGCCCATGTCGCTGTCTCCCAGAAACGGCCCGCTGCTTCAGACGCCATCCGCACCGCTTCGCCCGCGAGCCATGGAGCATTCTCTCCAGCCTGGGCATCGCCCAAAACGATCCCAGACTTGCAGCGTCTTTGAATTTTTTCATGCTACCACTGCCAGGCCCTGAATACAGAACGCAGGAAGGAACTTTTGATCATATTTGATCAGTTTTCCCCTCTACTGGTGCCGTTGCGGGGTGCCTCCGGTTTTGAACTCACGTGCTGCTGATATCAACAGCCAAGGCTCTGCTTGCGCCATCCTCAGTTTTCCGTTTTCGCGCAGCATGCCCTCCGTGCATGCCATGTTTGTGGTGGCAGCGCCCCTAAGGGGCCATGCGTGCTACTAGGAGCAAGGACGCCACTAGGGGCTCCTGGCCTTACTACTAGGAGCAAGAACGCTACTAGGAGCAAATGGAAAAGAAACAATGTGTTTAGCTTTCGTGGTGTTGACTTCACTTGTACTTGCAAAAGTTCTTGATGCTACACGATGGATGGGGTGGGGTTCTGTTGACGTCACTTGTACTTGCAACCGCTCTTGATGCTACGCGGTGATGGGGTGGGGTGGGGGGAATTCTGGTGTTCTTAGGTCCTTGAATGTCATGAGTTTTCGGCTTTTGGATGCTTTAATTTTCTCGGAAATCGGAAAGGTTGGCTCACCTTGGGCGGTGGACGCCGGATACTTCTAATGTTGCATGTATATTATAGTTGAGCAGAATCATGAATGGCGGAGATGCCAAAGAAGTGCTTCAACTTCTCGAGGGCGCGTAAAGGAGTACTGGGCTGGAGTTAAACTTGGGATTCGTTTTTTCCCTGATCGGTTCGTTCACTTCAGTTGAAATTCGATACGTCAAACGAGTCCTGCGAAACTTTAAGACCGGAAAGACACTCTATCCAAAACTGCTCAAAGCTGTACCGAAACACCTAGAAATGGACCTTCCGAGCAACCCTTTCAGCACTTTCACCCCCTCCAAAACAACAATGTCAGCTTTAAGCACGTCAGAAAACCTCGGAAAAAAGTATACAGATGGCAACAAGCAACAACTTGAAAAACACACTCAGACGCATGGCCCCTTACGTGCGCTGCAACCATGTTTGTGGTGCCACGACCTCTCGTGACTCGCGCAGGCGTTCGTGTTCCGCCAGTTCTAACATGTTCCGTTTCAGTCGTGGTTTCGACGTGCTGTGGAAGGGACGGGGGGGGTGACACGAAGTGCAATACAGTGGAACTCCCTTGGAAAGAGCACTGTCTCGAGAGTGGTCCAACGGACAACGCACGGAAAGCCAGTCAAGTGCAGCGTCGCGCGTGAAGGCAAGCGGCTTTTCCAGGCTTGAGCCAAATGTGTCAGTCATGTACACATATGAGAGGTGAGACCATACAAAGGTTAGTAGTAAGCAAAAGCAAACACAGGGGGGGGGGGGGGGGGGGGGGGGGGGGCCAACTACGTCGAGATTTGTCGCGTTCGAGGGCCAAGGTACACTGACCGCAGGATTTGAAGCTCAATGCGTTCGTTATTCCTTCGTTGGGATTCATTAGGTCTCGTCTCGCCGCGCTGGACATTTCTTTAGACCCTGACCGGTGGGTGTTAGATTTCGATTGTCCCGAGGGTGTGTTGGCTCACTGGCGCGGTGAAAACTGATGATGCAACTTTTTTGGGTGTTGGAGGGAATGTTGCGCTTGTGAATCCCAATGTAAATGCATATGAATGTTCGGAAAAAGAGGGGCAATATGCAGAAAACATGACCTGAGACAAACGATCTGCATCTACAGTACACTGAGAATTACAATGAATTGATCCACGATGACAAAAGTGCCACACCCACGACTACGCGAGTCATTCGGGGTCGTGTTGGGGTCGTGTTACCATGTTTGTCAGTACAGCTCATTGATGAAAGCTGAAGCAAACACCAGGGCATTCGACAAAAAACACGCAGGGTCAAGAGAATGTGAGCCTTCCATTGGTGGAGACTTTTGCTTCATCCAATTCCATGCCGGTGGATGGGCGAACCTTCTGGCACCGTCGTTTCGATGTAAATCAAAAGTCTTAGAATTAGTTAGAATTCATGAAACGCTCTTGATCCATCATCCATCATCATCCACCATCATCCCATCCAACTTCTCCGTGTTCAGCTGTTCCCAGCATTTCCCAACATCCCATCCGAAACTTCCCGCTCCAGTCACTGCTTGCCAGGCCTCCGAAGCGCTTCGGACGCCACCTGGGCGGAGCCATCGTAGCCTCGGAAGCGAAGGCGAACGAAGGACGAAGGGCTCGCCGTCCTGGGCGTGTTGAAACCATTGGAAGAACGAATCGAATTTCATGTGGTTGGTATGGGTTGGTGGGCCCTATGTGGCCGATCAAATGGTGTGAAGATGCGAAACGCCAACAAAGGAGGCAAAGCAGAGTGGACGCAGATGGATGCAGCATCTCAAACTTCTGTCACCGAGGATCGGAAGCACTCCAAATCACCAAATCCCCCAAGCAAGCGATTCACATTAACCATGAAACGCCCTGCCCCACTGAAATGATGTGTTTGCTCCTCGTTGTTGCCCCCAAGTGGTGTCAAAATAAATCCTCCAATTTCGATCCTCTGGATTGTCTGGATGGCCACGGGTGGCCGAGTGGCCAGTCTTCACGTATTCCTGTGCAGTGTCTCCAATGTCCTGTGCCAGTTTGGATGCTCTGCGGAGAAGGTCAGGAGAGTCCTGCGAAGAGGTTGGGGAGCTGGCGCTGGGCAACCAGCTGGCAAGTGTTTTCACCATACCAAAATATGCCGAAAACATCGCAAAACAACATGGACCCAATGCAAGATTCACTTCCCCATCCAACTCCTAAGGAAACTGAGAAGTGTTTCGTTTGTGCTTCTCCAATGGGGTCCTCCTTGCTCTGAGCCTTTTGCCGAACCCAAACTTCATTCACATCCGGACGTGGAGCAGTAGGAACTCGCTGAGGACCTGCGGCCCAGACGGCTTGAAAGCATTTCAAGGCGAGCTGCTACCATCGGCCCAAAGGATAAGAGATGACAACAAAAACTCTATATTTCCCTAAAACGCTTGTTGACCACGACAACAAATCAGAACGGTTTACCAGGCATGTCAGCGTGTCATGTGTTTATTCGGGCTTTTGGACGTGCAGCCCAACGCTGGATCAATTACATGAGACATGTTGATTGCTTTGGAGATGGTGAACCGCATCGCATTCATCTCCACCTGCAAAGAAGAGCCTTATTTTTTTTGGGCTCTCTATTTGGGGTCATGCTGATGTGGGTCTGGGCGTGGTAACGGTCCGCAAGTCAACACCCAATAGAATGAAGGTATTCATTGCTTGCCATGGTTTTGGATGGCTTTGGGCTCAAAGTTTCAACGCACGGCGGTTTAGGGTTTGTCAGGTTAGTTGGGCTGGGCCTCTGTCACTTCTCAAAGGTATTGATGCTCCAGCCGGCAAAGCATAGAATACAACCAAGCCCCGAGAGAGAGAGAGAGAGAGAGAGAGGGAGAGAGTGAGTGAGTGAGAGAAAGAGAGTGAGTGAGAGTGAGAGTGTGAGTGAGAGTGAGTGAGAGTGCGACAGAAGGGCATGTGACATGCGTCAAAAACAAGCACAAAGAGGACACCATAAACACACGCACAAACCAACAGCCCCGGCCGCTTCAGTATCCACTCATGTCCGCCAGGTGCCAAACACTTCGGCTGCCGTGTCTGCAAGTGTCTGCAGTTTCCCACTAAACAACGCACCGCGCCGCCGCGCCTGTCTTTGACTTCGGCTTTGGCTCGGGTCTTGGACGTGTGATGGTGAGGTCCACGATGTCGATCCAACCCTGGTGTCCGAGGCGCGACGGAGTGAGGACGCAGAATGTGGAGTAGGGAGGACATTGGCACATTGGCAAAGGTGGAGTATCCGAAACAGGTAGCTGAGGCAGCATGCAATCATTGAGTTCATCGAATGGATCCACCTAGCTACAAAGGCCTCTGACTAGACTCTGAGCAATCTTCCAGATGCATCCAGTCTCTCAAGAGCTTGAGGATTTGAACACCTGAAGAGAAGGACATCCGGCTGAGCTTACAAGTCTTCAAACGTTTCTGAAAGTGTTGACCAGGAGTAAAGCAGATAAAGCAAAGGGTGACGAAACGTCATGAAGATCATGAAGCATCCCCACCCAGAAGAGGACAAGTGTGCAAAGCATGTTGAAAGTCTTTCATAAACCATCCAAGATAAATGTGAAACTGGCCAAGTCCGCCGTGGCCTTGGGCTGGATTGGAACCTTGGCTCACCGCGATGCAGCAAGTCTCAGAGACCCACGTTCACCACGACCAACTCTCCAAGGACAACGGTGTTTTTGCTCTGGCTAGTTCAAAAAATGCTCCAAAATCATCTGAAATAGCTATGCCTGAGAGGCTCCTGTTTGTACAATGTTTGCCTCTGTCCCCATGCCCTCAGGGTACCTCGAAAGAGCGGTGTTCCGGCGCGTCACGTGCGCAACCCTGCGCTGCCAGGGAGCCATGATATCTCCATCGCAACTTTTGGGCGTCCCCGCCACAGTGACACGCGTCCCTTGAGCGATTTTGTAGAGGACTTTCCAGGAATGGGGCGCCGGGAAGACGCACGCGTCATAGGCCGCCACGAAGGTCATACCACTTTCTGGGGTGGAAAGTGGGGCGAGCAACACGTTCTCCAGGAACATGAGTGTTCCAGAACACAAACACAAGCATTTTCCCAGGTGGCGGTGAGGATAACAACGCTCAGGATCAGCCTTTCTCTTTTCGATGTTCACTTTGCGTCCAAAATCGTGCTCCTTTTCCCTCCAACCAACTGGGTTTGATGGAAGGTTTGGGCCCACACTCTTCGACCATCACATCCTCTTCATTGCTTGGGTCTAGTCCACCATTCACTGCTTTTCTTATGAGGGAGGGATGTGAAACATATTCACCATTGGTCACCATAGTTCTTGGAGGGAGGATAGCATATTGTGCATATTGGCGATAGCTGCAGCCTGGCATCTGATAAAGCCATGCTCCTTGGACTCCTTGGCCTCTGGCTGCTTATTGCCTGGGCGTCGGTCCAGCATCCGACGCTCGAACAGTGAAGAAAAAGCAATTATATATATATATACCTTCGTTTTGACACGGCTTGACGACGCTCCATCTTTGCCAAAGGCACAAGTGGAACAAGAATCGCAACTGAAACACACTGGTCGGCTGCAAGCTGGAGCGCAGCGCCGCAGGTCCTGTGACCCGGCCCAACTCCAAGCAATTGCATCTTGCCTTCAAAACACGACATGACACTAGGCTGATGGACGATCTTGTGCTCCTTCTGTGGAAAGCGCCCGAAGCAGCCCTGACAAACAGTTCAATTATGTTCAAATGTCACATCAACCCTTCAGACTCGACTACACTTATGCTGCTTCTGCCAATCTGGGCTTCGTTTGTACTGTCAGCAAATTCTCCCATGCCATAGCAACACCCTGCCTTGCAACGTTGCCAGCGCTGGCTACTTTTGCCAGTGCCGGTCGCGCCTTTCGTTGGTGGTACCACTGTGTCCTGACCTGCGCATGCCAAGGTGGCACTCTCGACACGTCCCTTCTCGCTGGCCAGACTAGAAGTCTTCCACATCGAAGTGTCTACGCAAAAAAAGTCACCGGGAGACATGGAAGAACTTCGAGGCAACCGTATGTCAGATCAGGTTACTGAGTGCAACTGCTCGTCTAACGGCGGGTTGCGTTTCATCAGCCGTTTCAAACAATTTAGATTAGTGCAGGAAATCGTAATTCGAAAACAATAGAAAACACATATATACATAGGTTAAAACCATGTTAGATCTTCGTGGTCAGCATGGATGCAGCAATCGCAATAATGCATACTATTGCATCCTTTGCACTATGATGCGCCATGTAAGAAATTGCAGATAAGAACTCCCCGATACATCTCCATACCAAATGTTCGAGGTATGTTCCCAACATGTTCTCAGAGGCTTCGTATTCATATAGGTTAGATAAGATTAGATAAGACGCCAGCAAATCCTACCTCCTTAATCCTGAACATCGTTTTTTTTTGCGTTCAGTCCTCTTGTCCATCAAACGTCTGCTGAGTATCTCTAAGTCTTCGTATTCTCTCTGCTCCGACCTGAGTGCAGTTCATCATATTCTTGCCGTGATTGGGGCTTCGAGAGCACCTCATAAGCCTCCGCGATGAGCTGAAAACCTCAGCGAGGCGTGTGGCGACGCCGTGCGTGGGGACGGCGTTTTTATGGGGGCCTCCGGTGTCTCCGGTGGAGACAGCGCTTGACAAATGGAGGGTTTGATTTTTGTCTTCGTTCTTTTTGCTGGATTCTTGGAGGTCTAGAATGTCATGGCGTGTCATCTAACCCCGATGCTTGCCCATTTGGACAGTGTTGTTTCAAAGCCCTAGTGTGTGTTGGCCAAGCCTGCATGACACAAGACCATTTTCGATGCAGTTGAGCCAAGCAAGGCCCATGGTGCTAGATGTTCAAAGGCAACGGCCGGTTCATTTGCAGCACGTGCCACTGTTTGACTTTGAAAAGGCTGCCTCTCCAACCGGCCCCAAGACGCACCAAAAAAACGATCCAGCCGACGATCCGCCCAGCTTTCTTTTTGACAGTTAATTCATATCTCTCGATCTTCTTTTCCCCCAAGTAGGGGCGACACACGATGGAGCAGCCGATCCGTGCGCATTGACATCTTCCGAGCGCAGCCGCGCGACGTTTCGTGGCCAGCTCCTTCTCTTGCTCCCGGACCTGAGGGGTGGAACGGGCCTGTAAATGAACCACATGTTCCATGGGCCTATTTTCAAAGAACTGCAGGATCTTGGGGAGTAACCTTCCACAAAGATCTACAAATCAAACATGGGCAAGAAACATCTCTATGGGGAAATTCTGTGGAAACAAAGCAAATAGCTCTCACTTTGGACTCGCACCTTGTCAGGATGGCAGGTGAGAGCGATCTTCCTGCCATGCATCTGTGCAAGTGTCGCACGTTGATTTCAGCCGAACCTCTTTCTAATATTGAAACATGAGCGTGCATCAGAATAGAGAGGGCCTTGTCTATCTCAGTCTATTATTTCTTTTGCCAGACTCACCGAAATCCTCTATCCATATCTATTCGTCCTATTCTAATACACACTCATACATGCACTCAGCGCTCCTGAAACCTCTCTTGATTTCATCTGGGCTGGCGTCCGGCGCGACACCCAGAATGTCGTAGAAGTCATGCTCTTGCCAGCGAGCTCGACGGGCTGCCATTAGCTCGAAGCATACGGACAGCGGTGGCAGTTTCAGCCTTGTCTAGGTTTTAGATCTTGGTTATTGCTTCTTTCTCTTCGTTTGTTTTTCTTTGGGGCTCAGAAACTTAAGAAGCCACAATCCTCGTTCCACGTTTGGAAGGTGAGCATTGGTTGACGATTTGACTTGTACAGTGTCCGGACTGGAAGACTGTCAAATTACGGTAATTATATAGTTTGTTTAACACGCCCACTAGTTGTTAACATTGAATTCAAGCGTATCCTCTCCTTTCCAGTCTCCGGCTGTTGACCAAAAGCCTTCAATTCAAGCCGTATCTCCACTAGGTTTGCTTCAAATCCCTGAAGTGCACAGCCGACATTGGGGAGCAGGCTTGACGTTTTTGATGGGGAGCAAGCTGTTTGTTGGACAAGAATCTGAAACGCAAACAGCTGACCCCACCCATCCATCGGTCCGCAGCGCTCGCTGTTCTGAACCTCTCTCCCCTCTCCTGCAGCGGAGTAAGGAGCTGGCAGCCTTGGATCCCAAAGCGAGAGAGGGATTTGGACTAGCCGGACACGTGACAAAGCTGTATATACAGGCCTGCAACCAATGCTTGTTTTAATAGAGGGGGGTAGGCCGCGAGTAGAGGTAGGAAGTAGTCAGTAGGGAGAGGTAGCTAGTAGCTACAAGAAAGCTACTACTAACTGGACGCAGGACAGCGCGCGCGCACTATTCATTTGGTTCCTAGATTTTCAGGGAAACTTATATATATATATAACTAATTCATGTTAGTTTGGTTTCCCCAAAGGTTTATTGGAGGCCGATTTCGACACACACCCTTCCTTAATGAGTGTGACGGACCTCAACGGCGCGACCGGTAGCTGGACCGCAGTGCCTGGGATGGTTGGCTGTCGCTGGCGAGTGCTGCAATCTGCTGTCTCAGCTGCCTTGCCTTCAGCCATAAACCGCTGCAACTCACAGTTCGATGCTTCCCGCCGTATGGGTCCCACAGACTGCCCCTGGAGGTCCCCCAAACCTCCCATTTTCGCACGGGACAAAGTGCCCAAACAAATGGTCGAATACACCTTGAGTCATTTCTTCCTTCACGCGTGAAGCTTAGCGTGCGCTACTGTGTGCGCTCGTTGTGCCTGCGCCAAGCCTCCAGCACTGAGGGGGGTGGTCTACCTGTGGAGCAGAGATATCGGTCCTACAGGAAAGCAAGGGAGTCTGGTGTAGAAGTGTAGATAGCAGGCCTAGCAGGCACCGAACGTGTGCAGTAGTGTAAGTTTGGTGTTCAGGGTTCTGTTCTGGGCACATTGAGTTTCAACATTCTTCCTAACTTGGGTGTCTATTTGACGCATTCGTATATATTACAGCCAATATCCAAAAGCTTTGTTCCCTTTGTCTTACTCCTAGCCCAAATGGGGGTTTATCTTTGCGGTGTCCCCTTCCGAGAGTTTCATTCCTCCTTGGCTGATCTTGGCTTTCAGCAATCACATCCCAGACTCACCCTGGATAGGTGCTGTACTGTTCTCACATCAAACATATGCGTCAGGAGAAACCGTGTCACTCCAAGTCATCAGCATTTTCGCATCAGGAGCAGCTGGGTTGTGTAGTAGTGATTGGATGATTTCTCCACGCATGATCGGCACGGCTCTGCCCGCCTGGTTCAGCTTGCCGGCATGATTTAAAGCATTGCCCACATGCTTGAGACCGCCACGCCTCGGGCGCAGTGGAGACTAGGGTGCCGGGGTGGGCATGACTCGCCGGTGCTGAGGTGCACACACTCCTTGCCAAAAGCCGCCAGTGCTTTGCTTTTGATCCACCTGAGCACAGGTGTCCCAAAGGTTCTGAATTTCCCGGCCGCAATTGAGAGGATCCCGTCACGATCACTTTTCAGGCACCAAACAATTCTGCAAGCTTCACCTTGGAAGCCTGGCATTTCTGAGCATCCAGAAAAAATGCGCCGATGATCCGAACTGGACAACAAGAACTGCAAGCGTTTGCTGCAGTCAGCAAGTATATGCAATAAGCGCATTTGATGACCCAGAGAATTCCTGGCACGCCAGCTAACACAAACACACACAAACAAATGCCGTGACCACGATGGTTCTGCCTCAGTATTCCTTTTGAGGCAACCATTCAGCGGAAGCTATCAATTCAATCTGATGCCTTTGCGTGGCTCTCATTCAATGAGACAAACGGCGGCAAAGCGTGTTTCAACATTTCAATTCTGCTGACTGTGCGCGTGAGGATCCTGAGGAATTGGATCGTCAGGGGTCAAATCTGGTGACAGCATCAGTATGAGCGGGATTGGCAGCAGCCGAACAAGCGCTTTTGACACAACGCCATGGGGTAGGTGGTCAAAGTTGCCGTCGACAATGCCCCAAACTTCGCACAAAGTGATACCTAAATACTTTCCGCAGTCAACTCCTTAGCCCGCAAATTCCAAGATTCATCCCAAACAGTCCCAAACTATTTTCATCAAGTATAGGAGGAACTCATGGGTTGCCAGTGGACGATCGGGGTAACATATGGTTTGCTACAAGCTCTTGCCTGGGGGGTAGCGGATCTTTTTGGAACACCAATGACAACCACACAAAGAAAGCGTCCGATGTTATTCAAGGAGATCAGTGTGGAGAAGATGGTGCCCTCCAAATTCGAAGGGCAAACTTTGTAGGCCAGCACCACCAGCGGCACGTAGAAGGTCTTTGCCACCGCGTGATCGAAGGTGCTATCACCCAGAAAAAAACCTCGGCCGGGGCAACGAACAAAGGCCCGCCTCGATGGGGCGAAGAACGAACCATCGGGGCAATGTAGCTGAGTCATGCTGAAGTTACATGGCCAAAACCTGGATACCAAAGGGGTCCACGTACTGGCGATACCGAAGCGCCTGTCGGAGCGCACGTATCGAAGTCCTTCAGCTTGGGTACTTGGGATATAGTGGTGAATCACGTTAGAACACTCGACACAGATCTACAGAAGGTATTTGACCCATCCCCAAATCACAGATCTGGTTGACCTACCAGAAGGTCAAGCTACATGGTGTTCGGTCCCCCTAGCCTCGCCGGGAACGACTAGGGCGATGCACTCCTGACGCGCTCCAAGACACAAAACGTCAGGAATCCCCAGCGCCTGATTCCAGCGCATGACTAAGATGAAGTCGAGCACCTGGCTTGCGACCACCATGATCTGCCCCACCAGGAAGATTCGACCTGCTAGCTGAACATGAAAAGCTGAGCCAGGCGGGGGGGAAACTTAGAATGACTGAAATCTGAAACCAGGGAAGCTTGGGATGCCCCTGGAGATGTCTAGTTGCTCTCACTTCATGTGACTCATTTTCGAAACACTGATCTTTCCAGTGTACAGTTCCCTTTCGTTCGGCTGAGGTGCGATACTTCCAAGTCCTCAAGAATCGATTGTAGACCACCACGCCCAACAAGAAGCCAGCTTGCCCAAAGCAATCCGCTAAGCCCATGAGCTGTGGAGAAAAGCGAGGGCCTTCTTCATCTTTCGACATCCAAACAAACATCGCCTCCCCCAAACCTGGCGTCGGAGTGATGGATTTGCCATGTCAAGATCCCAAAACCGTGTACCAAAAGATAGGGCGGCCGGCACCTGGCTGCAAAACCGCTCGCCAGAAGAGGAGCATCCCAGTATTGGCCAAGAAAGGAGAGATCTTCCTCATCGCCTCTGACAGTTGGAGTTTCTCATGCGACTGCGGTCTGACATGGTCTGACGATCCCGGGAGCCTGCCTTGTAAGCGCTGATGGTGACCACTATGCAGCAAAATAGCGTCACCAAAGCCTTAATCAACAAACGGTGGGTGGTGAATTGCGGATCTATCTCGGAAGAACTGGCCAGTCCCAGTACAAAGACGTTTGAGGCTTGTCCGTCCTTTAGTTAAACAATGTTAAGCATGTTATTTTTGATTTGCTAACATTGCTTGTTCGGGAATAATCGGGGGTTCCTTGGCATTTCGGAGAGCAAGCATTGTTCCCAAGTTGCTCGGGTTCGCCACTCCTGCAGGAAGATGTGTGACAAAGATAGCCCTACAGCAACCACCGACAGGAATATCGCCACCTCAGGTTTGCCAAGGACACCTTCGACATGCCTAGACCACAATCCACCAGAAACGACCTTCTGCTGCCTAGTTGCTGCAGTGATACTGGAGTTTTTCCGGAATTGGCTCCTTTGATGGAATCTCAAAAACTGACCGCAACAACTAGGTGAGTGATTGATAGTAGTTCGGCCAACAATACCGTGGTAACATGCCCCTGCACGGCGGGTGTGAGTTTAGAATGCGTTTGTAGAAAAACGATTTTGTCATTGGGGGTTTGGGCGCATGTAGGACGAATAAAACTTGTTTAGGTGCACCGTCATCATCGCAACGCATACAAACGAACCTCATCAACTGCGCATTAATTTCGAAGCACATCTACACGAAAGTCATTACTCCCCACCCCCCATCTTCCAACATGTGCGTGCATCTGCGTGGCACCTCCAAACGAACGTCATTTATCCCTCCAACCCCTTTCCCCAGTGTTTCGTGTAAATGTTTTCTCCATGCTTCTACTCCACCGACTGCGCATCAAAACCGCCTGTCGCTTGCGCAAGGTTCCTTGCGCTGCTCCACTGCGCCAAGCATCATTCGAGACCGTGCGACTGGTCTCCAAGGAGACCCAGACTGGCATCTCTGTATGTCGCTCCCACCCCCGATCACATCAACATGCACAGACAGTGTGCATGTAACATCTTCGAAGCACCATTCAAACATATACACACCCCCCCACACGAAACCATGGCGTTTTCCAACTCTGCTAATATCATCTCGACATCTTCGGACCTGTCGAAAACGACGGTGACGGTGCGTGACACCCGAAACAAAAAACAAGCTGACCGCCACAGCTAGGTGAGCGATCGGAAGTAGTTCGGCCAACAAGGACTCCGCACATTCTACAACGCCACTCACAGTGCCAATATTGCAAAGCCCCTGCAGATCGAGGTGCAGTTTTGGAGTGCAGCGGCCGCCAAGTAGCTGCTCTTCTGGCAGCCAGCGTCTTATGGCCGGAATGAACACGGCAACCTTACCATCAGCGGTTGGCATGGAATCTTGCATGTAGGGCTAGGAAACCTGACCTGCCTGAAGGCTGGGATGCATATGGATGCATTGATCAAACGCTTACACACCCACAATCATACAACACTTCTTACAACAGGGTTCAACGATTGCATCCGGAGGGCCGCGCAAACCACATTGCTCATCATGGTGCCACGTGAGCCCAAGACAGCCACGAGATATCCCTTGATGCTGCTGGCTGCCATGCCGCCTGACGCCTCTGCAACCCTCAATGCGGTCTGCATGTCCTAAGAGGACATAGGAGAGGGACGTAGGACTCTGAACGGCTCAGGGAGGAGGCTTGCCACAAGTGAGGGTGCAGCTTGGTCCAAAGGAAGCAGAATTTCTCAGTTTCCCATCGCCAGGACCCAGCGCAAAGGCCAAGTGTCAGACGCTGCCTTCGGGTGATCCTTCGCGAGGCTGGCGGCGGTAGCATCGATCACCAAGTCCTGGCAACGAGGCGCGGGCGATCCAGCAGAGCGTCAAAGTTGCAGACTGGACGTCAAAGAAACAAACACCAGTGTGTGTGTGTGTGTGTGCGCGAAGGTTTTGCCACTGTTCGCATAGATCTTTAAATCGTTTAAATTCTGTAGATGGTTTGGGTAGTGGTAATATGAATGCAGCTGCAACAGAACAAAAACCTCAAAAGGAATGGCAAGTTGTTGCGCTTAGATAGTACTTGGCCAGCTTCCGTGATTTAATCCCACAACATGGGCATGTTGCAGCCAAAGCTCCGCAAAAGCGATTGCTAGATTAAGGCCAGTCAAATATGCGAAGAGGCCCAGTGCAGACACGGCGTTGAAGCCAACCCACAAGTAAAGGCAAATGCTGAATACGCAAGCGCAGACCAGGTACCTTACAAACTTGTGACCCTTGCCACCAAATCTGAAAGACCCCAAAAAACACATGGAGCAACATGGGTAAACACATAAAAAACCATGGCCCCATGTTTTGCGGAAAGCACGATGTTCGGTGAAATCCCCAGAGCGGCAAGGCATCCGAGCACATTCCAAGCACAGGTTTGATGTCCCAAGGGACATGTGCAGCGGTCTGCAGCCTGCCGAGCATCGTGGGCGTGTTGACACCACTTGAGAAATCCAAACACACCAAACAACACTATCACTTATAACACCCGACCTTCCCATTGTGGCACCGTCAAGTTTCAGCACATCCATCATGTAGTACTTGCAAGCGAAGTCACCAGAGCTTTTCGCAAAACTCTCTTGCAACCCATAGACCAGCATACCCAGTGGTACAAAGGAGCCAAAGGTCGCGTAGAGCATCTGGAACCATCCGAGACACGGCGTGCTGCAAGCTCGTCCTGTGAAAGACGAAAGAAGCTGAACAAAGCTGGGCCATCCTTTGTGGCTATTAACGCCCTGAAGTCTTGCAAGGCTGCCATATCACCCCAGCCTTGCACAGGAATCTGTTGACATGCGGGATCTCCTTTCGCGCTGACGTTGAGATCTTTCTCATCTTCCAGGTCGTGCTGTGGGATCCTATCCAAGAAAAAAGCAGTTGGATGTCTTTCTCTAATGGACCTCAAACTGTTCATTTATTCATCTGAGGTGAGTTTGGGAAGTCTCATCAAGTTGTTTCGAGATCCCAATGTGCAAGACCTAGTGAGATCCCCAACACGCGGGGTCCTCTGTCCCAAGAGAACGGGACCTTCGGCATTTTCAGTGTCAGCGGAAACCATGGCTCTTTGATGCCTTCCGGCTGAGTATGCCTGAGCCATAGTAGCGTCCAGTCTAATCAATACCCACCTCATACGATTTGAAAAACCGCCTGGCGTAAGGCCACTGTCCCGTGTCCAACTGATTATGCGGACTCGTCATCGTGTGGACTGCTGCATTGACGCACATCACTTGGTTTTCAAAGGATGGGTAAGGTCCGAATTTAGTAGAGGAATGACCCACGGTGGGTGTATGGGTTGCAGCACCCTGTCATCCCATCCATAGTGACTCACTCACTCACTCACTCACTCACTCTCTCTCTCTCGCAAAGGCGAGTGACTGGCCAATATGCGGTCACGTAGTGAGTGAACTGCAACATCACCCCGGTTCTGTTGGACGCGCCAACCAGTCGAGCTGTTAATTTTTTGGGGGGCTTGTAGCTTGTGGAGCTTGCAATTTTGGGGTGCATACACGGCAGCCTACTCAGGGAACACGTTTCTGAAAAGGGGCGCAACTGGTGGCTTCGCCAGCGCTTGCGCGAGGGACCTTTTCGGCGCTAGCCGCTAGGTCCAGGAGGGTGGCGAGGAAAAGCTGGAAGCAAACACACTTGCTGAAGATGGACTTGGTGCCGGTTCTGTGCCGCAGCCTTCTGCAGGCGAGCAATGGTCTTGAAGAGCAGGGTGTCTATCTCATTTCTCTGTCTCAACAGGTTTGGCAGGCTGCACGTGTTTTTCTTGCTCTTGCTGGCTGGGCCTTCCATGCTCACAGACAAGACATGGCCAGTTTGATTGACACTTTATGCGCTCCGGTCCACGATGTGTTTTAGCAGTGTGATGACTTCTGATATCATACAGTGAAATCTGACCAAGTCTTCTTGCAAGCAAACATGGTGACGCAAGGCTACCCACATAAGCGCTAAAGACCAAACTTGAGATGACGAAGGGCTAGCGGATGGAAAAGCTACTGTTTGCCTACGCCTGTCCTGCGCGAGCGCCTTCGCGGGGGAAGCCTTGGGACTGGGAAACGAACCTGCCTTCTCAGAAGGCTCGACATTAGAAAGCAGTCCATGCATAGAGACGATGGGCAATGTGCTACTGGTGCAACCAGAAGGACCTAGTCCCCTACCCACAACTTCATATCACCCCTTTCAAACCCAGTGTTGCACTCACTGGTGCTGATTTAAAGCTTTCATACAAGTCGACATTAATTGGAAATAGAGCCTACGCCAACCTCAACACAAGGTTCTCCACATAATGCCCACTCAAGCCTACGCAATGCTGAATGATACGAAACTTATGCCTTCGCAAGCAAACATGGAGGTGCGCTCTTATCTAAATTCATCTAAATTCTAAATTCAATCATTTCAAAAAACACGTAGCTCAATTGAGCATTTTCACTCATCACAGCTGGCTGGTCCTTTCAAGCCAAGTGAACATATCACTGTAGTGAGTGGGACGTTACTCGAGTACAGGCTGAAAGAACATAAACAACATGACACAACTGTATACAACTACAACATCCTCCCAACATTCCAATATAGCCGGTGACAAGGGCATCACCTTCAGCCACCATTTCTCCACCTGCTTCGCATTGCACCGTATCGCACCGCCGGGTTTGGAACAGGTGGCGAACTGGCCTGACTGGCCTGGGACCCCGTGAAGCCGGCCACGCGACAAAGCTGTAAACCAGGGACTCCTTTGTTCGGATCCCCGGTCATGAAGCGGTCTTTACATGTCTTTACAATAAAGTTGAATTACAGATCTGTCTCAGAGAACTCTGGAACACTAACAGACTAACTAACTAACTAACTAACTAACTAACTAACTAACACACAAACAAATGCTGTGCCCCGATGGGTTGGTACCCATACTCCTCTTGAGGCAACCATTCTGCTGAATTACCTCCGCCGGCTCTCATTCAATGAGACAAACGGCGGCAAAGCATGTTTCAACATTTCAATTCTGCTGACTGTGCGTGTGAGGATCCTGAGGAATTGGATCGTCAGGGGTCAAATCTGGTGACAGCATCAGTATGAGCGGGATTGGCAGCAGCCGAACAAGCGCTTTTGACACAACGCCATGGGGTAGGTGGTCAAAGTTGCCGTCGACAATGCCCCAAACGTCGCACAAAGTGATACCTAAATACTTTCCGCTGCTAACTCCTTAGTCCGCAAGGTTCATCCGAAAAGGCCTTTTTCATCGAGTAGGAGTAACTCATGGGTTACCAGCGGGCTATCGGGGTGACATATGGTTTACTACAAGCTGTTGCTGTAGGGTGGGGGATCTCCTCGAACCAACACAAATGAATCACTTGCGAACATAGATGTCTTGAGTCACCTCAAGGGGTTCGGATTTGTTTTGGGACATGTTTTGCCATACATACTGCTGGGCAGGATGCAGTGTTTTGCCAAGTTTTGGCACGGGAAGCTCTCATGTCTTGTGTTTGCAAGCGGATGCAAGCGGTGTGTAGGTATAACTGTTAAGAATGATCCTTGTCTGCTGTCGTTGTGTGGGACTCGCAGATTTTGTGGCGCAGGAAATTTGCTTGGGGGGAAGGGTGCTTCTCCCTTCTGCTCCTTTTTGCGTTCCTTTTTTGTTGCTGGTTTGCTCGCATTCTTCCCTGCTGCCTCCCTTGATTTCTTCCTTGCTTCTTGCCTTGCAAAAAAGCAAGCAATAAACAACAAAAAATGACCAAGCAAAGAAGAGGGGACTAGCAAAACGAACAAGAAAACACACAAGCAGGAAAAACAACAACGCAGAAAAGAACGCAAAAAAACACAAACAAACAGAAAAGCGGAAAAACAAATGCAGAAAATCAAATGCCGGAGAAACCAAGGAATCCAAACCAACATTCCCGAATCAAAAAAAAGAACTCTCGGCAAAAACACGCCCTCCGTGCGAAAGCATCCGATGCAGTTCAAGGAGATCAGTGAGAAGATTGTACCCTCCAAATTCGAAGGGCAAACCTTGTAGGCCAGCACCACCAGCGGCACGTAGAAGGTCTTCACCACCGCCTCTTCGAAGGTGCTATCACCCAGAAAAAACCTCGGTGGGTCGATTCGCTCCAGGCGGCCCCAAACGAGTTGGCTCGCTGGGTTGGCGAACAAGCTGGCAGACCTAAAGATCGGGCAAGCAAATCAAGACAGTCATCAAGCAATCCACTTGGTGAGATGTCCCAGCCACCGGGCACGGGCGAAAACGCAGGCAGAGTCAGAGTCCACGGGCGCAGGCAGAGTACACGTAAACAGGATGATGGTGATGCTGGTGAGATCATGTTGGATGGTGATGATGGTGGCGAGGTGAAATGCTGGATGATAGATTCGTGATGACGACGATGATGATGGTGACGATAAGGATGATGATGATGATGACGATGATGATGATGATGACGATGATGATGATGATGATGACGACGAGAAGGGCTATGAGCGGTTCAATCCCCACAGCCCGCGGTGCCGGGGGATAGTGCGGACCCATCCTCGCACACATGGGCAACCTGAAGTTGATCACCATGGTGCTCGACCTCCTCGGTTACCGGGACTTTGCTCCACATTTTCTGCAGGACACCAAGACCAAGATCTCTTCCTCCCGGAGCTCCACGACTACAAGCTCAGGTACTATACTCTGCACCTTGTAGCGGTGACTGTCATCCACATCATGCTCCATCGGGAGAATTTCACCTACCAGGACAGCCCTACTAGCACCTGGCCACGACCATGGTCACCGAGCTTACAGGCATCAGCGGAGACCTTGGCATACAGCCCCATCCCCAGGAGATATCCTCTATCCATGCACTCCAACGAGCACACCTCTATGGATCCATATGGGACAGAGGCCAACTTCTCCCAGCCGCAACCCCCATCAACGAGGAGCACGATCAATTGGAAATTCAATTGGGAGACCACCAAGTTCAGCGTGACACCATGACAGCTCGACTTCGAGCCTGTAAAGATTGTTCCAAGCAACAGCCACGTTGGTTCACTCAGAATCTTGACGTCTTCTACCACCTGGGCTTCGATGCTGCCAATGGCCACTACTGCATTGACATCCAAGATGGAGGCAATTGGTGGTTCTATGATGATGCCAAGGACACCGTGAAGTTCTCAGCGCTGCCATGGGTGGCTCAGGAGGACTGTTGCCTGCCGTGGTTCTGAGCTGGCTCTTCTGGACACCAACATCCCGGTGGACAACCCCAGCTCGAGCCACCGACTTGTGGGAAATTCATTCTGTGAGGCAGCTGGCCATGAGAACTTCACTTTTCCTGGTGGGAAGCAGCTGGACCCTTGGCGGAGAAGTGTGCGGTGAGCTTCACTCGAGCACACCGGTGGTGTGTTTGCCTTCTGCTCCACAGCACAGGCCTCAATGAGGACTACTGCTGTTCATGCTAGGGACAGTTTTCAAATTGCATTTGGAGTTGCGGTCACTTATAAGAGGAAGCCAGAGACTCTTGCTCGGCTCCTTGACCGTACTTTCAACTAGCTGAGGCTTCAGGCCCTTCGGGGCGCCGGGTGGGACCACCCGGGTCCACGCGATCATCGACTGATGAGCGTATGAAATAAAAGATGATGACGAGGATGAGGATGAGGATGAGGATGAGGATGAGGATGATGATGATGATGATGATAAGGGCCACTAGCTTCAAGCCCCATTCCATCAATTGGAACGGGCTGGTGCGGGACCCCGTGCCTCATGGTCCACGTGGACTTTTTGACCACCTTGATCCACGAGGACCTCCTGTACCGGGACTTCATCAGCCAACCTGGTGGAAATCCTCCTGGACCTCTCTTCCAGGCGGTCCCCGTGGGCGGCACGGTCATTTTGATTGTGGTTCTCTTCCTTCCGGTCTTTTACCTGATTCTCCTTTTGAGCTTTGAGACCTACAAGAACTCTTCTACCGTGAGAAGACAACGATTCCGGTCAAGGAGAACCACCTCCCAGGTCCTTGCACTTGCTACTAGAGCTAGCTGGGGTCCCAAGTCCCCAGCCAGGGCTGGCACCTTCCTCCTCCTCCTCTGCGGCCTTCTTGGGGTCTATCACGAGGACTTCATGACCACGCTCAATGCCAATGCCATGCCCTGGTGGCCCGAGGGTTCCGGACCAGCCACAAGGTCCGGTGAAGCCAACAAGAACTTTGCCAGTCAGTTTCCCAATACGGCAAAGCCAAGTGGCCTTGGATCCACACACCAACGTCTGGACAATAGCCAGCACTTTCCCAAGAAGAAATCCTACATTCGTGCACTCAAGCGGGCCCAACTTCATGGGCACACATGGTACAAAGGGAAGCTCTATACGGCTCAGATGCTTGGAGTCACACCACTTCCCTGGCAGGTCTCTGACACTCCAATGACTTCCTTGGGGCAACCCAACTCATCACCACCTGCCAAACTACGGAAGAACAGGCTTCAAGGACTTAGCTGGAACATCGGCTCCCTGGGCACCTTCAAATTTGACATCCTCCGGCAATGGATGCATCAACAGCAACTTGACCTGATTCAACTTCAAGACACCAGATGGGGATTCACAGGTGACTGGACTGATAACACCTTTGCATATATCCACAGTGGATCTCATGATCGAGCAGGAGGGCTTCTTACCATCATCCGGAAGGCCTTCTGCCCTCCAGATAGGCTCTCCTGGCGAGAGGTCTCTCCTGGGCGGCTTCTGCATGCCCGGCTTTACCTCGACTCCACGGGCCTTGACCTGGTCAACTTCTACCAGCATCCATGGACTGGATCTGACCAGCAATGCAGGGACAAACGCTCTGGACTTCTGGACACGCTGGATGGCCTTTTGGCAGGTCTCCCCCAAAGGAATGTGGTCATTTTAGCAGGTGACTTCAATAGCAGTTTGCCTCGGACACCGCACTGTGTCGGACTTCATGACTTTCAAGGCCGACGAGGGCGACTTTCTGGCACTCAACATCAGGATGCACAGCTCTTGGCTGACATTCTACCCAGAAGAGGGCTCCTGGCCATCAACACTTGGGACACCTCGCTTGGTCCCACCTACCAGGGTGGCCAGGGGCATCTATCTCGGATTGACTATGTCATGGTCCGGCACAAAACCAGTGATTCCATCACGAAGAAACCTATCTACCTGGAACACCTTCCAGGCAAGTTTGGCCACACCAAGGATCATGTGCCGATTCTGTTCAATCTTCCCTACAAATGGAGGGGGTGGAAGCACCCTCCCTTGGGTCTGAACCGGATCCAACAAGATCTTCTTCAACGGCACTGGCACCTTCAGAGCACGGATTGGCACCACTGGCGTCAGGACCTCGGCACCCGAATCGATAATCTTCGGGATCAAACACCAAATTTGGAGGCTCTCAATCAGGTTTTGATGGATGCATGTCTCTCATTCCAGCCTTCTGGGAAGTCAGACAAACCTTCAACAACCAACTATTGGTCCTGGGCCTCCACACTCTCCCGGCTCCACCTTCCTGATATTGCTCAGCGGGCTCACCACTCATCCAAGCAGGAGCAAATCTTTGGCTCTTGGCTTCGAGTGACTCGGATTCAAAAGTGGCGGAGGGTGGCCTCCAAATCGGCCAGAGAAGCGAAAAAACAGAAACTCCAGGACACCATTGACACCGCCAGGCATCACTGGTCCACCAACGACACCCGACGCTACTTCAAGGTGGTCAACTCCTTGACGCCCAAACACCGACCCCCACGTCCTCAACTTCGAAAGAATGAGGGCATGCTCATGTCCCCTGAAGATGAACTGAGGTGGATTCTTGACTACATGGAAGGGGTTTATGAGGGGACTGACCTGCAAGGAGTCAACTTTCAACTTCATGCACTGCCATTTGGACCAGCTGACATCACACACTCACTGCGCTCCTTGTATGGACACACCAGTGTCCCTGCGCATGTGGCGCCCAGCTTCATTTGGAAATCCATGGCTGAGGAACTGGGGAGCTTGCTCTACTCCTGGCTCTCCCAATGGATGGCTGCAGGTCACATCCCCAGTGAATGGCGGACAGGATGGGTAGTTCTACTTCCCAAGCCCAACAAGAAGGTCACTGAACCCAAAGCTTTGAGGCCCATTGCCTTACAAACACCTCTTTCGAAGACCATCATGTCAATGTTTGTTCACGAAGCCAAAAAACATGCTCTTCGTGCTCTTACATGGTATCCACAATTTGCTTATTTGTCTGGGAGAGGCACTTGGGAAGCCATCTCACGCGTCCAAGCTCACGCCAGGGCAGTTCAAGCACTTCATCACAAATGGCGATATGAGGCTGGCAAAGTACAGGCACCTGGGGAGACAAAACCCCAGGTCTTTGGTGGATGTCAACTTTTTCTTGACATGACGGGCGCATTTGATGCAATGCCCAGGGAACACCTGCAAGAGGCCTTTAAACTACTTGGTCTTCCCCAAGATCTCTCCGCTCTGCTGTTGTGTTGGCATACAGAAACCTCATACATTGTTCAATGGAAAGGACTCTCTGCCGTCCAACCCACTCATAGAGGTGTGAGACAAGGCTGCAGGGGTGCACCCTTCTTTTGGGCATGCTTTATAGCACTGGCACTTGAACGTGTGGCGGCGGAGACCTCTACCATTTGGATGAGGGAATGCTGCACCTTTTATGCCGATGACGGGCATGCCTGCTTTATATTTCATGATTTTGATGAACTTCACTTTGGGTTGGTTTGTTTTGGGAAGCTGATCACCACTCTGGAACAACTGGGCATGACCGTGAATATGCACAAGTCAGCTGTTGTTGTACGCTGGGGTGGCACAAAACACCAACAAGCGCGGAAGCTGTATGTGAAAAGGAAGCTGGAACATCAAGCACTCCGTATTCCGAAAGATGATGGCACATTTCATGAAATTCCAATCAAAGAGAAGCACGAATATCTTGGAATTCAGATGGGATATTTTAATTTTCAGCGTGATACGATGAAGGCCAGACTTCAAGCAAGCAAACTTCGATTCAAACAAATGCATCGTTGGTTCTCCAAGAACTCCATGCACGCGGCACAGAAGGTGGCTCTATGGCAAACATGCATTCTTCCCATAGGGATCTATGGACTTGACGCAACGGGTACTGACAGCACCAGTATTCCCATATTCTCCAAGGCCATGACCACCATGATGAGACAAGCAGCAGGAGATCACTCATTTCAGACTCACAAGTCACATCATGCCTTCTTTCTTGAGCACCACCTGCAACACCCGGTTGCTGTGCTGCGGGGGCGGATGGCCTCTCAACTACACCGACACGAGGCAAGACTTGTTCAACTGCATGAGATGGATGTTCTTCACACTTTGGACTTGGACTCCCTTCGATGCTCAATCAATCTTGTTGACACATGGCTGCAGGAACTCAGCACCTCAGAACCGGGCAATTCTCTATCTCTTGCAGAGGCCGGACTGGAATGTTACACCTGTGGGCTTACGTTTCGGCACTTCTATACACTCAAAAGACATGAAACCTTTTCGCATGGGATTCTTCATACCAATGGTCCTCCTCTGGATATTGGTAGAGACTCGATTGATGGCAGACCAACCTGCAGACATTGTGGAGAACATTTCATTAGCTGGCAGAACTTCCGACATCACATCTCCTCGTTCGCATGTAACAACTTCGATCCAACCAAGGCACCTCCGGAACAACTACATGCCTTCCGGACTCGGCTGCTGGACTACTATGATGGTGGAGACCTTGAACCACTGGTTAGAGATCGTCCACTATGCTACTTTCTTTCCCAGAGGTGCATACTTTGTGGATTTTGGTCATCGAGACTTCAGCAAATGTCTGCACACACGGGGAGAGATCATGGGGACATCTATGCTCTCATGGGGGACGTTCTCCCCAATGTGGTGAGGGCTCGAGCCACCTCTCCTTGTGAACTATGTGAACAAGCCTTTCGGAGCCGGACTCACACATGTCCAGTGAAGAAGCAGCTTGGCCTTGCCTTGGCCTACCGGAAGCACCGGGAGCAATTCCCGGCTAGTCTTCCTCCTGTTCCACAACCTCCACAGCGGATGGAAGCCCAATTCTCCTGTGGACTTTGCCCTCGGAAGTTTGTGACCACAGCAGGCCTTCATCAGCATCAGGTCATGGATCATACTCACTCCACGACGACCAGGACCTTTGTTGCGGGCCGAGATCAGGTACCTGGGCAGACCCAATGTGCGCACTGTCAATCCAAGTTCCTGAGTCTGGCTGCTCTCCGGCACCACATTGATGGTGGTCACTGCTCCACTCCACCAGATGAAGACCCGCCACTCCTGTGGCATCATCCGTTGATTATCTCTGGACTTCATGGCGGGACCTTTGACCATCTCATGGCCTACAAGTCCCTGATTCGACGACTTGGATATATCTGCGGGCTTTGTGGACATCAGTCTGGGAGCTCAGTTTCCTTGCTGAAACACCTGGGGAACCATCACAATGAGCACTGGCCTCAAGCCACCTCCTATGCTGAATGGCTTCAAACGGATAGTGCCTTGCGGAACCTGGGCTGCTCATGCCTCCGGCCGCCGAAAACACCACATGTTTGCACAGTCTTTACCCAGCTGGCCCTCTTTGTTCACCATGATCTGACCAGACTTCATGGAGGCAGTGACGATGTGATCATGTCCTTTGCTCTTCGGCTTGATCTACAAGTCCTGAGCCCTACCATATCGCTCTCCTTCCCAGACCTGGACAGCAAGCTTGCCACTGGCCTCTTTGCAGAGCTCATTGAGGATGACACGCTTTGCACAGCCCTTAGCACCTGGTGTTGTCTGTGCGGGAGGCAAATTGATCCACGTGACATGCTTCAACACCTGTGGAATCAACATGCCAAACACGCCAACCGGGGCAGTCTGTTTTACAAGTACCTCACCATGTTTCAAGTGAAGCAAACAATCTGCTCAATTTGCAAGTGTCATCCCACCGCAGCTCAGTGCCCGATTCTCCTGCAACTGGCCTCACTGCTTGCCATCCTTCATCATGGACATGGAGACGGGGGAAGTCTCCGAGATGTGGGGAGCACTGAACCAATGGGTCAAGATGGAGGTCGACGAGGAGAAGAGTGCCAAGAGGCCCCGATCCATCACGTCGAATGGAGGGAAGGGGCAGGGAAAAGGAAAAGGAAGAAAAGGCCAGGTGAAGAACCAGAACACCACTGGAGAGTTCACACCCAACACAAACAACCTGCTGCAGGTGCTGAGCAGGCTAGTGCTAAGGCACGAAGACACCCTCCAGTGTCTGGCCACGGAGACGGACTTCTTCGTTTTTTTGAGCGCGGGCCCAGGGTCCATCCTACCTTGCATGATGACTCAGACCACAACCTGGCACCAGACACCACAAAGCGAGAGGACACATCCATTGAGGATCCTGGTTCTGAAGGCACTGCTGGAAGAATTGGTGAAGAGGGCACAGAAACTTCAATCCACGGCTTGCTCAGATCCCTTGATCCAAACATTACAACGCCTGGGATTCCTGAAGATCGACCCGGAGAATGGGAACCAATTCTCCTTCCCAAGGATGAAGTGGGATCATCAGAAGCAGGTGATGGAAGCCCAAGAGGATGCTCCACTCACAGTCCAGCAGGCTCTGCACACCCTATCTCGGATGCTCACTCTCTTGCAACAGGAGGACCTGATCAAGCGCTTTGGGGCCCTGCGTCCGGCACAACAGATTCAGAAAGTCATGACCACGGACACCGACAAGCCCTCCACCGTGATTCCATGGCGGGTCACCTTGGCCTTGACCAACCCACACTCCACCGAGATGAGGGGACTTTGGCATCAGCTAAGCCACTCTGGGCTTTGGCAACTGATCTTGGGCCGGATGCGACCAGCGACTCAGCGCAGGACACCTCTAGCACAACACCTGGGCAAACTGCTTGGGGACCTCTGATCCAGCCTGATCAGGCACCACTGAGACCACTGACGAATCCGGCATCAGCTTGCTACATGAACTCGGTGGTCACGGGATTGGTGTGAAGTGCTCAATGGGCAGGAGGCTTGAGTGAGGACCACTGGTCCAACTTTCCGAGGGTCTTTGAAACCATTGCAGATGTGTCACCAGAGGGAGCACCACTTCTATTGTGGGCCGATGGGCAATGGACCACCTTACTTTCCACGTGGCCGGAACCTTTTAGACAACATGATGTCGTTGATTTTGCTCATCACCTTCTTCAACAGCTGAACCCCAACTTTCTCAGTTGTTGTTGGGAATCCCGGCTGGAACAGGATGGGGAAATCCGAGTGGTGGATCAAAGTGCCCTGGGGTGCCCTTTGCACCTATACATCTGCAGTGAGCAAAAGAATGCATTGCTGCCGACCGACCTGCAAGGTTTGATTTCAAACTGGAGCCTGGCATCTTTCGGTCTCCATGGGTTGACGGAACCTGCAGATGTCACATGCCTCCACATCGATCGCTTCGACTCGAGGGGCAAGAAAAATCGAACCAGACTCAGCTGGGACTCTAAGGTGTGGATGCCTTTCTTCTACAACAACAAGCTTGGCATTGACCACATTCCCTTTGTGGTCACGGCAGTATCCTATCATTTGGGTTCGGAGCCCACCTGTGGACACTATTGCACGGCGGTCCTGGCGGGTGGCTTCTGGTGGGTCTTCGACGACGGCTCCAAGCCGGAGAAGTTCGACCGGATCCCCACTGTGATTCAGGAGAACTGCTGTCTTCTTTGGCTCAACTGCACGCCGCATGGAGGTGCAGAACCAGTCTCAAAATTGACGGAGGAATCTCCCATTCTCTCTGAGGAGGAGAAGCTTGCGCACATCATCCATGACCCCTCCATCAATGACGACTGGCATCACAAATGGCTCCAAGCCATTGACAGGCTTGATGCTGACATCCTGGTTGATCATCCGGGACTATGTCATAGGCTGGTGAAGAAGTGCATCATTTGCCAAAGCTGGCCTCGTGACATGAATGCACACCTGGAAGTCGCACATCGTGAACTGTGGGAGGCCTCCCTGCCGGTGGCTGAAAAATGTGGTGCTGCCTTCAATGCCAAAGCACACCCAACCAGGTGGTGTGCCTGCCAGCCATACTACACGACTGAGCTGTCTGAGGACCACCCGTGTCCATGCCTACGCCAATTTGGCATTTTGCACTTGGCATTGCGAAAAGGCCAGCCAAGTTCTGCCAGATCGAATCTGGCACGCTTGCCAGATTTGACCTTCAGCTAACTGCTGAGGCTGGCTCGTCCCTTCGGGGACCAGGCGGATCAATGGATCCACGCTATCATCACTCGATGAGCGTAGAGAAAGAAAAAAAAGAAAGATGATGATGATGATGATGATGATGATGATGATGATGATGATGCTGGTGGTGGTGGTGGTGGCGGCGGCAATGGCGTTGATTGTGAAATATATATATATTGATATATATATATATATTGATTGAGAAATGATGATGGTGATGACGAGGTGGAACTGATGAGGTGATGAAGCGGTTGATCGTGATACTTATGTAACATCATCAGAAAAAAAACTAGGGCGACTCCTTGCGCTCCAAGACACAAAACGTCAGGAATCCCCAGCGCCTGATTCCAGCGCATGACTAAGATGAAGTCGAGCACCTGGCTTGCGACCACCATGATCTGCCCCACCAGGAAGATTCGACCTGCTAGCTGAACATGAAAAGCTGAGCCAGGCGGGGGGGAAACTTAGAATGACTGAAACCAGGGAAGCTTGGGATGCCCCTGGAGATGTCTAGTTGCTCTTACTTCATGCGACTCATTTCCGAAACACTGATTCTGCTGATTTTCAAGGGCTTTCCAGTGTATTCGGTTCCCTTTTGTTCGGCTGAGGCGCGATACTTCCAAGTCCTCAAGAATCGATTGTAGACCACCACGCCCAACAAGAAGCCAGCTTGCCCAAAGCAGTCCGCTAAGCCCATGAGCTGTGGAGAAAAGCGAGGGCCTTCTTCATCTTTCGACATCCAAACAAACATCGCCTCCCCCAAACCTGGCGTCGGAGTGATGGATTTGCCATGTGAAGATCCCAAAACCGTGTACCAAAAGATAGGGCGGCCGGCACCTGGCTGCAAAACCGCTCGCCAGAAGAGGAGCATCCCAGTATTGGCCAAGAAAGGAGAGATCTTCCTCATCGCCTCTGACAGTTGGAGTTTCTCACGCGACTGCGGTCTGACATGGTCTGACGATCCCGGGAGCCTGCCTTGTAAGCGCTGATGGTGACCACTATGCAGCAAAATAGCGTCACCAAAGCCTTAATCAACAAACGGTGGGTGGTGAATTGCGGATCGGTGTCTTGGAAGAACGAGCAAGCATGACCCATGTGTGCAAACATGTGAGTTGACACAAGCCAGTGTGGGTCAATAGATGTCAATTAATAGCGCCACCGTGCACAGCCTACCAAAGCATGTTACCTTTCCAATGTCTTGGGACGTTTTAGGCTTGATTGCGTGATCCAATGTAGAATTGGAAGAGAGAGAGAGAGAGAGAGAGCTTCCGCTGCTTTTTCCCAAGTTGCTCGGGTTCGCCACTCCTGCAGGAAGATTTGTGACAAAGATAGCCCTACAGCAACCACCGACAGGAAAATCGCCACCTCAGGTTTGCCAAGGACGCCTTCGACACGCATAGACCACAATCCACCAGAAACGACCTTCTGCTGCCTGGTTGCTGCAGTGATACTGGAGTTTCTCCGGAATTGGCTCCTTTGATGGACTCTGACAAACTGACCGCCACAGCTAAGTGAGCGATCGGAAGTAGTTCGGCCAACAAGGACTTCGCACATTTTAAAACGCCACTCACAGTGCCAATATTGCAAAGCCCCTGCAGATCGAGGTGCAGCTTTGGAGTGCAGTGGCCACTAAGCAGCTGCTCTTCTGGCAGCCAGCGTCTTATGGCCGGAATGAACACGGCAACCTTACCATCAGCAGGTTGGCATGGAAGCTTGCATGTAGGGCCTAGGAAACCTGACCTCCTTGAAGGCTTGGATGCATTGATCAAACCCTTGCACAACCACAATCACACACCACTTCTTACAACAGGGTTCAACAGGCTGAACTTGCATCTGAAGGGCCGCGCAAAACACATTGCTCATCATGGTGCCACGTGAGCCCAAGACAGCCACGAGATATCCCTTGATGCTGCTGGCTGCCATGCCACCTAAAGCCTGTGCAATGTTGAAGGCGGCCTGCATGTCCTAAGAGGACATGGGAGGATGTCTTCGGGTTCATAGAGGCAAACACGTTTCAAACCACCTGTAGCCTGGATCCTTGCAGCAACCTCCAAAGCAAAACAAGCAACTTGGTCCAAATAAACCTTCCCAAGTGTCAGACGCTTCCTTCGGGTGATCCTTGGCGAGGCTGGCAGCGGTAGCATCGATCACCAAGTCCTGGGAACGGCGCGACATCGGGCGACCCAGCAAAGCGTCAGGCGGCAGAGTTGCAAACGGCACCCCCTCACAGTCGCGCACGCGACCGTCGACCGTCGACCCCCCCATTCAACGACCAGCGCACGCAGCGCCTCACGCCGGTGCACGTGGAACGGCTCGTTGCGGGCAGGACCCGGTGGGGGAGCTCACAAAAGCTATGACAGCTATGATTCTATGATGCCTCTACGTTCGAACGGCTCCCGCCTCCCCTAAACTTTACCTTCAGGTGGTTCACAAAAGGCATACGGCATTAAGAATATCTTGGAACGGCCCTTTCCTCCACAAGTCAGGTATGCTACATTTTTCCACGGCTCCTCTGAGCTCACAAAAGGTACAATACATTGGAATGGCTCCTGCTTCCTGTAAATTTTAGCTTTGGGCGGCTCACAAACGCTGTGCTATCTTGGCGAGTTGGACTTTTTGGCCGTCCTCTAGGGCGCCCAAGCTGCGTGGCGTCACGGGACTTGTGGAGTCACGGATGCCAAAAGAACTGAGGAAGACAGTCTGCCAAAGGAAGCGGGGAAAACAGTCTGGCCTGGGCCGTGGCGCCCAAGAAACAGGCGGGAAGTCCGATCGCTTTCCATGCGATGGAAGCCCGCTCGTGGTAAGTAAGAACAATGGAAGTTAAGGGATGTGAGACAAGGAAACCTCAGAAATGTCTTCAAGCCTCTTCGTGACTGAAATGTCCTGTGAAAGCCTCCAAGATCTGCATGTTTGCTCCTGTCCTCATGGCAAGCACATGATCCTCGCACACTTGGGTGTGTGTGCGTGCCGGTGCAGCCATTGTGAAGGCTTCCTGGTCTTCCAACATGCGCATGTACAAGCGAGGCGTTTTCCGCGTGTAAAAGCGAGTGCCGTCCCGTTTAAGAAGGACGCCAAAGAAAACAAATAAGACAGGAGAGTGCCAAGATTTTGCAACTGTTTGCATAGATCTTTAAATCGTTTAAACTCTGTAACTGTAGATGGTTTGGAGCTGAGTTTCCAGCAGCTCTTGGTAATGTATATAGATGCAGCTGCAAAAAATAGAAACTCACTCGGCATGGCACGTTGTTGCACTTAGATAGTGTACTTAGCAAGCTTTCATAACATCACCCCACAACATGCACATGTTGCAGACCGAGCTCCGCAAAAGCGATTGATAGATTGAGGCCAGTCATACATACATAAAGGCCCAGTGCAGACACAGCGTTGAAGCCAACCCACAAGTAAAGAAAACTGCTGAACACGCACGCGCTCACCAGGTACCTTACAAACTTGGGACCCTTGCCACCAAATCTGAAAGACCACAAAAAACACATGGAGCAACATGGGTTAACACATAAAAATCCATGGCCCCATGTTTTGCGGAAAGCACGATGTTCGGTGAAATCCCCAGAGCGGCAAGGCATCCGAGCACATTCCAAGCACAGGTTTGATGTCCCAAGGGACTTTTGCAGCGGTCTGCAGCCTGCCGAGCATCGTGGGCGTGTTGACACCACTTGAGAAATCCAAACACACCAAACAACACTATCACTTATAACACCCGACCTTCCCATTGTGGCACCGTCAAGTTTCAGCACATCCATCATGTAGTACTTGCAAGCGAAGTCACCAGAGCTTTTCGCAAAACTCTCTTGCAACCCATAGACCAGCATACCCAGTGGTACAAAGGAGCCAAAGGTCGCGTAGAGCATCTGGAACCATCCGAGACACGGCGTGCAAGCTCGTCCTGTGAAAGACGAAAGAAGCTGAACAAAGCTGGGCCATCCTCTGTGGCTATTAACGCCCTGAAGTCTTGCAACGCCCTGTTGATGGACAAAATCCTGCACCACTTTGCGCACAGTTTTCTTGCTGCCCTCGTTCTCCCTCGCTAACATTGGGGCCACCACAGTGAGAAAACAAAAACAAGTTGAAGGTCCAAAATCCTGCACCACCTCCTCAGAGGGGTCGCGCCAACATTGAATGAGGGGGCACGGGGGTTGCTATGCGACCCTTCCTGGGTAAAGTGGTGAGGTGGTGCAGGATTTTGTCCATCAACAGTATCACCCCAGCCTTGCACAGGAATCTGTTGACATGCTTTATCTCCTTTCGCGCTGACGTTGAGATCTTTCTCATCTTCCAGGTCGTGCTGTGGGATCCTATCCAAGAAAAAAGCAGTTGGATGTCTTTCTCTAATGGACCTCAAACTTTTCATTTATTCACCAGGTGAGTTTGGGAAGTCTCATCAAGTTGTTTCGAGATCCCAATGTGCAAGACCTAGTGAGATCCCCAACACGCGGGGTCCTCTGTCCCAAGAGAACGGGACCTTCGGCATTTTCAGTGTCAGCGGAAACCATGGCTCTTTGATGCCTTCCGGCTGAGTATGCCTGAGCCATAGTAGCGTCCAGTCTAATCAATACCCACCTCATACGATTTGAAAAACCGCCTGGCGTAAGGCCACTGTCCCGTGTTCCAACTGATTATGCGGACTCATCGTGTGGACTGCTGCATTGACGCACATCACTTGGTTTTCAAAGGATGGGTAAGGTCCGAATTTAATAGAGGAATGACCCACATGACACAATCCATATGTTGGTGGGTGTATGGGTTGCAGCACCCTGTCATCCCATCCATAGTGACTCACTCACTCACTCACTCACTCACTCTCTCTCTCTCTCTCGCAAAGGCGAGTGACTGGCCAATATGCGGTCACGTAGTGAGTGAACTGCAACATCACCCCGGTTCTGCAACATCGCCACCAAACCAATTGAGCATTTCTGCACATCAATACCGGCTCGTCGTTTTGACATGTCTTAACCAAGTGAAAAATCGCTGTAGTATACTATGTATACTGGTAGTCTTTGGAACTGATCAGGTAGAGGCTGAAACAAAACAACACACACACAAAACATCCTCCCAACATTCACCCATTCACCATAGCCTCAGAAACGACTTCCAACACCCCTGGCATCACCATGTCTTCTTACTTGTCTCACTACTTGTCTCCTCAATGATCTCAATCATCAATTTCTCTCTCTCTCTCTCTACATCATCTACATCATTATATATACATTCTATATTGTATATATTTTTTTTTAAAACAAGTGTACATATTATATATATACACATCTATCTCCCTCTCTGAGCAGGGTCCTTCTTTGTCACTCTGATCCACCAAAGGACGTTGCCCCCCGCCTCCCCGAGATCCAGGAGGTCCGTCTGCGTCTTCGGCCTTGCCCACATGGCGACCGGGAGAACGGCCAGGCGCCCCATGGTCCCTACGGTGATCCCTTTACACACCCGTTCCCGCATGCATAGGGACCGAGCTGTGCTGGGTAAGCTGAAGCATGTCCTTCGCCACGACCAACCATAGACCTGGCATAAATTAGGCTCCGCGAGGATGATATCCCCTTGACATATGGTACTGGTACACAAAGTCCATCTGTGAAAAGGACTTGTTTTTGCTCCATTTTGCTCCCTCGTTTGATGCACGATTCCATTGCTCCTTTCATTTGGGCCGAGCGGATTTAGCCGCGCGACCGCAGCCACTGGCCAGCTGGACCGGAGCACATTCCGCACGCCACCAGAGCCTTTTGCGGCGGCTTGCCGCTTCTGCTCCTGGAGGCGGTCCTAACTTGCAGATGGTGTTTCTGGTTTCTTGTGAGAACTCTGTTTCTGGCGAAAGGCCACATGACATCCTGCTCTCACGAGATTCTGTTGCCTGTTTCACACATCGCTGCAACATGCTGCAACAGGTGCGAGTACCTTCTGCACGCGGGCTACCACACCTCTTTGATTTATGGTGATTCCGTGCCTATGGCGACTCGCCAAAGATTGACCCATGCCCAGGCTCCTGTTCTTCCCACTGAGCACGCTTGTGGGCCTTGAAGTCTCCGACATTGGGCCGCTGGGGGTTCCGGTCGCCCACATCAATGGCTTGAGGAACATCCAACATCATTTAGTTAATTTTTAGACATCATATACTGTAGTATAATTGAATGTATCTATCTAAACTTCTTCCTGCCTTTGCGTCCAGAACTGGCCTATATCTCTCTTAGGACTCTCAGCACCTTCCTCTCAAGTGAAACGAACGAAACAGGTCACCTTCACCAGTTTTTGCTCCTTGGCTTCATTGAATCGCATCTCCGGGCTCCCAGGCGCCCAGGAACTCATTCCACGAAGATCGCCCATGGCCTCGGAGACGTGGCGGCCCACGACCCAAAAGCCACGCCACCGTTCTCACGAAGAAATCGGAGGTCACGGTCAAAATGCTCCACACCCACTATAATCTACTATATACATCCTACTACAAAGTCTAAACAAAGAGCCGAATTAGAGAGTTATTTTTTTAAAACAATGTTCCCGATTGGGCAGTTCTTCCACACCATCGTGGCCGTTCCTTTAAACAGGAGCTGCTTTAGATAGACGCATCTTGACGGTTCCTCAACTCATGGGAAAACAGAACGTTCTTCCACGAATGTGTCGTGTCAGTTGTTGAGTATGCGCGGGCTGCCGCTAGGTACAGCAAGTTCAAGCATGGCTCCGCTTCAATTGAGGTCCACGCGGATCAAAACGATGTCCTTGGTCCTGTAGCGACACGAGTCAGCGCGAAGTGAAGTGGACGGCAACGAATGGCTTCAAGTCCACCAGGCTGTCATCTATGACTCTCTGGGCCATCGACAGCGTCCTGTAGATGGTTTCTACGGCTTTCGCAGCGTTTTCTGTTGGGGTTTCGGCCCCCCCTGAGCTGTTCTCTCCTCCAAGCTGGCTCAGACTTGGGTGAAAAGACCCCCTCATCGGAGGGCCCCGAGGGTGAGGAAATGGAGGGCTGGGACAGCGACCTTGGGACCAGTCGGCGCAGAAGTTGAGCTTCGAAGACACTGCAAAGGAAATAATGTCACACAATACAACATGTCACAAATATATACAAATATGATACCAATTGATACCACATGATACGACTCCAATCCGTTTGGTGGGCGGGTGAAGTGAAGGGCAACCGAACTCCTCTCGACCTGATTCTATCCGAGCCCATGACAGAATGTCCAGCACGTCGCCGTCCGGCATGCTACGACTTCATCTTTCTGGCCATTTGAAGCTCAAACTTGCCAACGACGAACTTCGGTGAGATTCCCAACCTGAAACCGTCGTGTAAGGTCACAGGGTCCCAGGGCCTTCCTGGATGGGTTTTAGGGCCATAGCCATTTCGCCACACATCTGCCACACACTCCAATCTCATCCAATCTCATACAGGCACATTCGAAAGCAATGTCATTTGTCACGTGCCCAGAGAGGCCTTCTTCGCTACTGCCCGCTTTTAACGCCAATGTTTGCCAATTATTGAAAGTTTGACACGGGAGAGCATGATGTATCTGCAAAGCACCGTTGGTCATACACATTGGCCTATGTTCAGCCTCAGCCATGATTCTGCTGATGCCAAGCACAGTCAGCAAGCGGAACCGCTGTGATACCCAGTCAGTGTCCTAATGCTACGCCAAGATGGCACCCCTTTAGCCTTGTCTTGAGGCCAGGCTTGCCAGGATTGATAAATTCTGCAATGCACCCGAGGAATCTCACTGCCCCCCAGGAGGCATGTCCATTGCGGCCGTCCGGGACACGGGCGTGACTTCTGACCTTCTCACGGAATCAAGTGGGTGACCACACGGTTGTAAATTTTTAGGGGTCCTTGACCTCAATCAAATCTACCCGTCTTCAAGCGAAGACCTATGCCCGCATCGCCGACATCGGTGCACCCTGTGGCCGCTGATCTTCAGCTGATATTCAGCTGATCGCAGGCCTCCAAGATGGGCGACGCACGCGGCGAAACACTGAGCCCATCGGAGCAACAGCACAAGTCTTGGGGTTTGCTGCTGCATCGACTGTGCATCCAGCAGTGCGCTTGCTCGGCATGAAGAACAAACAATAAGACATAGGAACGTTCTGTTACCAGTGCTTGTTGCTAAGCTCCTGCTTGGCCATCCAAGCACCGAAACAGCCCCAAGAATACCGTGCCAAGTGCTCCATGATCACATCTGCTGACGTCCTTACTTTAAGCATGAAATGCTGTCATTAGTGGTAGTAGTAGTAGGCTCAGAAATTAAACAATCACAGCTTATTCAAATGATGCGCCACATCTTGGAGCAGGCCCCTTGTGGCCCTGCTGTGCCAACTCTCTCTGCCTTTGCCACCACGTGCCACTTTCTCCACCCACTTCTTGCTGGCACGAGCCATGTCATTCTCAGGGATCTCGACAGGGTGGTGCCAAGTGCGAGCAGTCAGCAGTGTGCCCTTGAGGGCTCAGTTCAAGGAAATCAGGAACCTGGGACGTGCATCGAAACTGCTCAGAGCCTGCAGTGGACCTCTGGATTTCCTAAAATCACATCGAGCTCCACACCTGAAGAGGGGCCGGGGGCTGGCGCCCCCGCTGCAGAAGAGACACTCCATCTTGGACTCCTTAATTCAAAAACTGTCAAAGCGCTAAACCGCGTCTGGAAGGAAGACGGGGGTTTCAGTTTTCATGCCAAATCCCACCGTCGCTATAGCAGCGGCGAAACGTCGTTGAAGAATATGGAGCAGTTTTGCATTCGCTCTGAAGCTTCAAAGCCTACACGTCGACGTGTTTGAGGTCTGGGCTTTCTTCCACGAGGCACTTCGTTCAGCAACTCCGCTCCTCTTGCCTCAGTGTCTGCAAATTCTTGCAATCAAGCAGATCAAGCAGTGGGGATGAGTTGGGAAGCACGTGAACACAAAACCAAATCAACTCCTTCTTCCCAGGTCCTTCCGCTAAGTTCCATTCTCTCATCACATTGCAATGGACTTTGCCACTAAGAGTGGCCCCGCATCGAAGAGTGAGATAACACCGCCTCGTATGAGATTGCGCAATGAACGACATGGCTGTCCCGCCCTGCCTCCAACGCATCTTCACGCTCCACATACCTGGCCACGCAGAATGGATTTCAAAAGGTGTTTACGTAAAACACCAAGGTGGCGTAAGGGACCTCGATCATGCGGAAACCCTTATATACGGTGGCAACCTACATTGATTTCTATTGGTTGGGGCCAACCTGTCAATAGTTACATAGTTGATTTGCAGAGGTGTCCACCCCAAGAAAATCCAAGAAATCTCTTTTGCCCAGCCTGAGGAAAGGCCCAGCACGCTCCTTCAGCTTTTCAAACTGCGGCACAGTGATTCGGACCTGCGCACATGTTTCGGCACTGCCAGCTCAGCCCTCCACGGCAAACCATGCATTTCACTTGAAGAGGTTGGACTATCATGGACTATCTATCTTGAGAGGCAGAGGCGATGCTCATCTATCACGCCTGCTGGAGGTTTTCCGTAAGAACTCCACCCATCTGAAAGGTCCAAAAACCGCCAAAACCATCCATACCAGCGCCTCTTTCATCCGCAGGGCATCCGGAAATCCAGTCGTTCGACGCGTTCGCGGTGCCTCTCCAATGATGCGGTCGTGCCCGATGTGCGCAAACCTGCCGACCGGTTGCCCCGACGGCTTCGGCGATGTCAAGTGGTGCGACCGGGTCCAAAGACTGAGGCGATGGCCCTCGGCTGGAGTGGAAGACCACACTGAGCCTAAGAGTAAAAACGAAGCCAGGTTGGAATCTGACTTAAATCTATATAAGGGTGATTGCCAGCAGCTAGTACGAGTAGCAACTTTCAATTGGAAATTCGACCTGCTTCTGTTTGTTCATGTGCTCCCTTCGCATGAAATGGCAGGCGCATGGCTCATACAATAACGGGACCTTTCACCTGTCAGCTGAGCCCACCTAAACATCGACTGAACCTCGCCAACTTCAGTGAAAAGTGCAAGACCGATTTCACCCAACATCCCTTTTTCTCCTCGACTGCGCCACCACCTTCTCTGCAGCTGGGCCTAGCTGATCCTAGCCAACGGCTTCGGGCTCATTCACCAGGTACTTCGGGATGAGGCCCATTCACCAGGGGAAACGGACTCACCTGCCGTGGGTTCAGCTGTCCCTTGCTCTCCACCGGTGGAAACTGCACGAAGTGCGCCGCTGGCTCTGCGCACGAAGCCGCTCAGGGACGAAACTGGCGCAAGCGGAAGCGGCCCGCCAAGCTGGGCCGAATGGAGTGCTGATGGATGCCCAAGCTCTGCGGGTCCCGGTGCCTAGGGCAAATCCGACAGGGGGAATTGGAGGGAGCAATTTTCGGCTTTGAAATGCCAAAGGTGATGGCTGTGGGGTTAAGGCTGGTTAAGGAGTAGAAAATATCGGACATTCGCTTCTTTCCTGCCGGAAATAGAAGAAAATAAGAAACACGCCTGCTTGGATGAGACCTCTTTCCCAGGCAAATTGTTCTGCTGATCAGTTGCTGGTCGCGGAAGGTAATGTAAAGGAGTGCCCTCGTCTGGGTGGAAGTATTGCCACCGCCACAATGCAGCAAGCGACTATCGTACATCACCAAGTCTCCTGAAACAAGGAGCTATCTCACTATCCAAAGGAAACATGAAAACAATTCCGCATTTTTTAAACGCATGTTGCATCAGGTTGGTTTGTTCTCAAAACCTCGGTTCTCACAACAATTTGCATTTCTTCAGTTCAAAGCGGGTATATAGCCACCCCCCTTTCTTGGGCTCTGCATTATATGACAAAAAGCCACTTCGGTTATCGATTCTCCATCTGCGTGGGTCAAGCGCCTGCTTGCAAAAGCGGCGCAGCAAGTGGCACAGCCTCCAAGCAGCCGGGGTCGTCTTCGAAGCGTCTGTGGGCCACAGGAGTGTTGGTTCCTGACGTGGCAGCACTGAGCGATGCCCCTCTTGGACGCCTTGGAACCAGGACTGTAGGCATTTTGAAGGCAAAATAGTTATTGCTCGAGATATTGTGCGCCTTTTCCTCAACTGTTCTGGTGGTGATTCAATTGACACCTGCATTCAATGGCAACCCGCCGGCTCCTGGCCAGAAATGCGTTGGTCCCATTTCATATGTCACATCCTGCAACGCCAGAAAGGCGGTGTAGAGACATCGCTCCGCAGCGTCGAAGTGCACCGCTTGCGGAGCCTCGGACGACCAGTCCAGGAGGCAGTAGATGCGGCAAATGAGAGAGAAAGAACTCAAAACAGGAAAACACAAAGAACATATATAACCTAATAGCGATGGCCTCCAACCTATTGGCGATGGCTCAAAATGCGGACCAAGAGTGTACAAGGATTCCCTTTTTCATCCTTTTTCGTGACCGAATCACGGACCGAACAGGGGATGCGATGAGGTTTTGCCAAGTTCGTTCTACTTACTGTGTCACATTCCACAGTGAGAAATAGTTCAAGATACAACCAGTCAGTCTGACACTTTCAAGTAGACCGACCTGGTGGAAATCCCTTGTTTGTGGCACACCCTAGAAGGTGCAATGGTCTCGCAGCATACCAGGCCACAACAAGCACAAACTCGACTGCTATGGTCACGAACTCCGACCACTAGTGGGGATGACGGGGATGATGATCTTCCCCTGTGCATCGGACTTGGGAAATGACTCTCGTGAGCTGCACTGCTGGGCTCAAGTGTTATGGCTGCGGCGATGGATGCTTTGAAGTGCTTGAGCGCCTGACCTCTACAATGCAGGTAAATCAAACCCGTTTTTCAAGGCGGGGCGGGAAGTGGCACCACATCACCGGTGGTGTATCCCTCCAGGGTTGAAGCACATGTTGTAACTGTCTCGTGCAACAACATCCTCATTTTGCACAAGCAAATGCGCCAAAAAGTGTTTGGGAAAAAGAAAGCACCATCCGCCGCAGGACCCATCGGTCACGGGGCTGCGCCAGGCTCAGTGACGACCACTCCAAGCTCCCAAAGCTCTGCATCAGGACCCGCTAAGTCTTCCAAGGTGGCACCAGCTCCCTGCGCTGCTGTTGCCGGGCTGTTGCCGGGGTGTGATCTTTTTTCCAAATCTAAATCACCCAAAACGCCTGCTGTTCGAAACATTAGGAGGTTCTTGGCACCAAAGTTGAACATGCGGCACCGCGCCAGCTGGGTATTGGTCTTAGGCTTTGGAGCTCATGTGGGCCCACACTTCTGTCATATTCTTCACAAGTTTGCAGCCTTCAGGGCTCCTTCCCTATAGGATCAACGGGGGGGCAAGTAGCTACAAACGTTAGCCAGTGCTCTGTGGTCGGGACGCTCAAAGGAACGAGCCAAAATTGGAGGAGTGGGGTAACACCAGGGGATAAACATACCGTTTCTTTTGGAGGTTTGGCCAACCTAAGTGTTTTCATGTTCTGAATTCTGTGCAGGAGCACCGACCACATCAAGATTGCCAGGTTCTTGACAAAGGTTCTGTTCTGCGCCTCCGGGCTCTGGTTCTTCTAATCTTCTTCTCACGCTCCGAGCGCAAGTTTTGCGGAGGCGCGCATGCACCATCTGCGTGGTTTCCGCCCCATCCAACTCTCCAGAATCCACCCCACAAGGCACAACCAACAACTCAACCCCCTCAGCTCGCCGCCGCAGCATACGCCTCATCCCCCACACCCCACCGGACCGGTGGAGCCTCACCTCTTCGCCGCTGCTTCTGCCCAGTAGTTCTTCCAAAGCTCGGTAGATCAAGGGTTCCATGGGCAGGCGCAAGTCCCAGCGCGTGACTGGCGCCCCCTCACCTGAGGACCGACCACGGATGGCTTCGCACGGATGCGAACAGGGTGCTGCTCATTGCACCAGGAGATGTGAAGAGTAGGGCTTTTGATGTTCATATCTTAATACTATGTGAACTTGTCATGACTAAACATCGGTATCTGTATCTATCGATGTATTATTATAGTACTACGTTGTTTTTGGACACCACAGCCGCATACGATCAGCATGCGTCGCATAATACTGTCTGGCAATCCCCTCTAAGATCCTCTAATACATCAAAGCTTGTTCACAGCTTTTGACTTCGTGAGCCGGAATTAATGTGTCATTGAGAACTCTCACGTCCGAGGAGCTGGCTCGGGGCACTTGCACATTTGAAAAGAACTGCTGTGCCAAAGAGTGGTCTTGCAAGGTCGCGTGGATACAACGGCGATGTTCCTCATGCCTCAGTGGGCCGAGATACGTCGCAAAATACGTCGCAAATGACCTCGGAAGCGAGCGAAATCGATCATGTGCGGAATTGAACTGCAAAAAGTACTGCTCAAGCTGTGCTGGTCATGCTTGATCTGCGTTCTGTGTTCTTGGCAATGCTGACGCTTTTCCGGGACAAGACCTTTTCAGAAGTGGAGAGCCCAAGGCCGAAGGGAATAAAGCCACTAAGCCCGGGTCGGGGTTCTCCTGCAAATCTGCACCTTTGTACCTACTGCACATCTATCCCAGTCTTTTACCATCAGGCCGAGAAACACCAATTCCAGCACCTCTGCTGCGGTCTGCACTGCCACTGCGCTTTGGAACTTGGTGACGCCCTTGTGTCGCACCGCGTCTGCTCGGCTCGACGTCGCAGAAGCCGCGACTCGCTCAAGGGTGGCGACTGCCAGCCGCAACGGCCGCTGCTGCATCAACTCTTCAAGCTCCATCTCAGGAAGTGCCTCCTGATGCGAAGAGGTGAGGATGAGTGGCGAAGAAAGATATAGAAAAGAGTAAGTGGTGCGGCACCGAAAAGTCTGGTATAGCCATGGTAGCACCTTAAATGATTGTCTTCAAAAAAACAGCTTGAATTGCCATGAATTGCCTTGAGGCTCTTTATGGCTCTTTGACGATCTTTATATATCGTTCTCGGTGCTGTAGCATCGATCGCGGTCTCATGCCCTGAGACCTGAGGCTCTGGCCGTCATCGGGCAGCCGTTGATCTCGAGCAAAGCTTGCCCTTTCTGGATCGATGCATTCTCACCAGCCCCACCCGGCACCACACCAACAACGACCTCGGACCCCCCCCAAAAACCATTCCCCAAAGCTCGAAAATGAACCAGCCTGGGGGCCATTGAACACATGCAAAAGATCGCAGAAGCAACCTGGTTTGAGCAACCCGGTTTCACCTGGTTTCGTGCCCACGTGCCCAGCAGCTGGCGGGGTCGTCCACTGAATCTCCAAGCCAATTGGACCTTCAGCAAACTCCACCGCCCTCACATCTCTGCACTGCGGACCGCCGAGTCCTTCGCCACATGGGCCGAAGCGGAAGGAAGCTCGAGGACTGCTCGGTGGGCGATGGGGTGTGACGGGGTGTGCCTTCCCAAGAGCTCACCCGTTGTCCAAACCAGCTCTTGAATCAGTGAGGCTTCCTTGTTTGTAGGAAATGGTCAGAAATTGTATTTCAACAGTGTCGTAGGTGTGCGCCATGTTCAATGGTCAAACTTTGTCGAGGGAGAAATTCATCATTCTTACAACCAAAAACAGGCTGCAGCTGTCCTGGGCTTTTGGCCTTTCCAAACGCCTTCTCCAAGTTATCAGCTACTTTCTTGCTCACAGCCATGTTCTTGCCCACATACATCCCCGAGATCCTCAACTGGTCAAGCACATGTGACCAAGTTCTTGCCTGGCGTTTGCAACCAGGTGGCAACTGACAAACTCCCCTAAACTTCAGGCCGTGCATCTTGTTGAGTGCTTGATTGGTTCTGGCCGCAGCGCGCTCCCCCATTATCAAATCATCCTTGGAAACACGAAGGTGAGATCTGTTAGATCGTGCAAGGGACATAATATCAAAGATATTGAAAAAAACGGAAATCAACAGGAAAAAAGCAAAACACACACACACACACACGAACACACACTCACATACACAACTCCATCTTGGTCAAGGTTCACCCGTTTGCCCCTTTGCTGCCGGGGACAATGTCAAAAAGCTTCGCCGCTTCTTCAAGGTTTGCCATCCTCTGCGCATGCTGCCTACGACGGCTACTGGAACGGCTGCGCGCCGAAGTTCATTTCTTGCTGCCCGTTGCAGAAATCCCATGACTGAAACATGCAACATCGCTGCGTCTCCACCGTCTTGATACTCAATGGCTAAAGAGGCGGCTGTGCTTTGGGTCATTGACTTGCCCCAAGCCCACCCAGTCGTTCTTGGTCTAAAGTAGGTCAATCTCGTCTATTTCCTAAACCTCTCTGAAAACCAAAACGCTTTTCAGCTACCCACGTCCCCCCTTTCTTTCCACACCAGCACCGGGCCCAGTGGGCCCCTACCCCCGCACCCCCAGCTTCACCGGGGCGCCGCACGTGACACTCCTCAGTCCAGCCGGGCCAACCTTGCAAGTTCCGGAGAAGTTGCTGCGCACGCGGACCAGCTCAAAAGGGACCTCAGCGGTTTGCCCCGGACGAGCAGTTTTTGCCCCGTTTCTTTGGCGTGCGTGACCCGACGAATCTGGGTGTACAACTGGGGTAAACGGTAAACAATGGTAATCATGGGTAACAAAGTCACTGCCTGCGTTTGAGGGTCTTGATTTCTCCATTGTGGACCAGTTTGGGACATTCTTTCATCCATTCCAACTTTGTCAAACATTCCATCTGCCCATGGCCAAGCACAGGTGAATACAAGCGGCTGATTTTCCAGACCCATCACCGCCTGGCATAATGAGAGCTGGAGCAGAACGGGTGTCCATCATGACCACTTGTAGGACGCTGTGGGGTTATCTATATAATTGAGGTATTTACATCATCCAAATGTCCCGTTAGTGTTGCATTCTCGGTTGGCAGGTTGTTTGCCCAAACGGTCGGTGCCCAGCTTCAGCGGACGGAAGGTGCCCACGCACGCATGCGCATGCATGACTCAATGACCGCGCTGGTCGCCTGATGCAGTGGGAGAAGTGGTGGTTCCGCTTCTGAAGCAGTCGATGAGTGCAATCACCTGGAACAGCACCGCCGCCGCCGCGTGTTGCCCCAATGACAGGTGCACCAGGAATTGGCAAGGTCGCCAAGGGCGGGACAGCGGCAGGGCAATTGGCGACAAGGTCGCACTCAACCTCATTGTCGGATAACATGGGGTAGCTCTAAACATCTCTAAACAACTAGCTGCTTGACCTAACAATGATCATATTACAATACTTAATAATACTTGCTCTGCTTTTTGAAGCGGTTCTTCTTGACATTGTCCTTGTTGGTTCCATTCCTTGCCTTGCTGGTAGCTCTTCTGTCAGCACTTGAATTTCTGGGAGGCTGTGCAGTTCTCGGCCATTGCTCCCATCATGAATCCATGCCCTTCAATGTCCATCTGATCTGCCCCCACTGCATCGTCATGTCACGTCACTGAGGCAGCTGCGATATCGAGCAACTTGGTGGCCTGGCGAACCATCCATGTGTTTCGACATCGGAGGCTCGTTGATTCAAATTCACTGGCAGACTCATGATCGGGTTGGTACGGGGCAACGGTTGTGGATTTTGGGTGAGATGCCTGGGACACCGGCACTCTCAAGCCAGCGACGGAGCAAAGCAGCAATCACAGCCTCCTGAAAATCAACTTTTCCCTAGCGCAGGCACGGGGCTGTATATATATAGAGTAGTATATATAAGTATATGGTTTAATAAATAGATAGATAGATAGATAGATAATATATATATATATATACACACATACATATAACCCGCGAAGGGGAGGACGAAAGCCAGCCTTCTGTTGCTGCAGGCGTGATGGATATTTTTTCCCCGCGGGGCTTGTCGGCAGTCGCGCAATTTAGCAATTATAGCTCGTTGGTAGCGTCACCAAAGCAGCGATGAACACTTGCGGGCTGCTGAATGGATCGCCGGTGCCGCATGCACGCCGGGAAGGAGAGCTGGCTCACCCTGGATGAAGTTGATCGAACAGACAACAATTCGCAACAAAGCAAACTGGCCCGTCATTTCACCATTCAGAATGTACTGAGCTGAGACCTTTGGATAAAAACATCGTGGTGTTGTGGGCTCTTGATCCATCTGATGCTAGACGGTGCTAAACCGACTCGCATGCTCTTGACGACATTTGGGAGACATGCTGAACTTTTCAAGCGCCAAACAGCCTCTGCTTGCAAGCACCCTGATCGATCAACGCGGGTCCTTGCCCAACAAGTGAAGCTGAAGAGGTCAAAAGCTGGTCCATCTTGCCTACTTCCCCCATAGTTGTGGCTGGTATTGAGACTGACTCCACCTGCGCAAGCGTTAAGGAGAAGGGAGTTGTGCTAGCGTAAACAGACCATTTGATGTCTGACACGCTTCTCTGAGCCTGATACGTGCCTTGGTTGATCTCTTTCAAAAGTCGCGGAGCATCTATTTTAGAAGCTCCCTCATGGTGTTGACATACTCGGCCAAACTCTGGGATCGCGTGCAATCTCGCTGAACTGCTGGCCCTTGTCGAGGCTGGCACCTCCACACTGCCAGTGTCTCAAGCGCTGCCTGCTTCTGCTGCTGAACAGTGAAGCGCCGCAGAAGCTTCGACAAATTGTAGTGGCAGGCCGACTGAATTGTGAGCTTTGCTTTCATGAGCTCTTACAGAACTTCCGTCATTACGTTTGGCAACAGAGCTCTCCTCAGCTTTGTGTGTTAGTAGAACCTGAGTCCTCCTTTCCAAAAAAACTGGTGTCAGGTTTGCTCGCAGCCTGACGCTCTCGCTGCCTGGCGCTACGTCTGGCGCAGCCAAACGTGTTGCCTTAAACGGCTTTCGCAGCGACGTCATTTGCTCTACCAATTGTTAATTTGCTTCCACACGCAGCTTGTTGGATTTGATTGTCCAGACTGAAGACCGAACACTGCAACCATTGCCTGATCCTTGCAAACAACTCTTGGCGCCGGCCTGGGTTGCCAAGTGCCGAGTTCGATCAACGAAGAGGTAGACACGCAGGAAGACGAAACGGATGCGAAGATGGAGGCCATCAACGAACAGTCCAAGGCGCCGCAAATACAACATTTCTTCTTTAAACTTCACACAACGAACTCAAAACATTGTGACTTCAACGGTTTTTCCAAAACGCTGCAATTTACGTGATTTCACGCTCTCCCTCCACCAAAGGCCAGCGGTATTTCCACGTTTTGCCGCCGTTCCACCACAATCCTTCACACGAACACAGAAAATCACGCTTTTCTTTCCAGCCGCGCCAACACAAAATCATTCCCAAATCGCTTTTCTCCGCATCCCCACTTCAAAAGACACCGCCAAAAAAAACATGCCTTCACAAACACCACCATGTACACGTTCTTTTGCACTTCAACTGCCAAAACCATCACGATGTCCATTGTTTTATGTCATTCCGCTTAGCATGTCGCGTCAAACCCTCCACCCCAAGCCTTCGGCTGGCTTTCGTTTCTCTCTCTATATATCAAATACCAACACATACACACTTTGTTAAACTAATGCGTAGATATGAACATACATGTGCAAATACAGATAAAAACAAACCAATAGATACGCAACCAAATAGATACACACGTTAATCACACACACACATATATATATATATATAATATATCAACATGCAAATCAAGCTGTTCCAACATTAGCTGTGCTCCCCTTCATTCCTCACAGGATTATGATGCGCTTGGAGCCTGGGCTGGCGGGAATCGGTGGTGCGGGCACCCTTTGCACCAACGAAACTGGCCCAATTCCAAGGCCGGCCGCAGAGTCTGGGATGTTCACGCTTGCTCAAGCTCGTCAAAGAAGCAATTTGCACCGGCATAATCCCCGATGTGTGTCATTGATTCTGGGAGTGTCAAGCTCACCAAAGAGTGGCAATCCTTATGCAAAGGCAAAATTCCCAATGTGAGTCACTGAGTCTGGGATTGTCAAGTTGGTCAGCCAACTGCAACCCTGAAATGCATCTCTCAATGTGCGTGACCAAGCTTGGGATGGCCATGCTAAGGCCCTCTCACAAATCTGAACTCGACCATCTGAGACTTCGACAATGAGTAACAACGACCAGTCAATTTCGCTGCGGATGCTGGCTATCGCATGTTTGTTGGAGCATCTCACGGCAGTTGGTTTGAAGATAGCACTGACAACAGTATCTGCAGTGAGCCCAGCATCTACAATCTGCTCATCGCTTCACGAACAACAATCTCCACCTCAGCAGTTCTGCGAGCAACTCGTCCCAATACCGTCTTTCTTTAATCAGCCACTGGACATCTCTGCCTGCTCTCTGGCATCACTTCCAGACAGTTTCTTTTGCCATTGACCTGCACTGCTGAAAGCTTTATCACACGTTATCACCATTGCTAATCTATAATCATTCACCGCCCAGTTGTAGGGGCTCTAGTGAGATAATCTTGAGTTGGCTCACCGTCACCTAATTACGATCCTTGATTCAGATCGGGCACTTGGCAGGATTCCATCTTGTGGCATCCAATGCCATGAAGCTTAGGGCACCAACAAAACCCAAAAGAACTTCAGCAAAACGAGCAGGAAAAACGGACCTTACAACCATAAGCAGCCGTCCACTTACTTTCACTTATACTTTCTTCTGGGCAAGTATAGCGATTCCACAAACCTCTTTATGCCGTCTGCTGTTGTTTGCATGAATGAAACCGTCATCTCGGGAGTCAAGCTGCGGACAACAAATAATCTATCAATACCCACCAATTACAAGCACATGCGCACACACACACATATATATAGAGTATATATATATATGTATATACGTACGTACATACATATACATATATACATTTGTAGGTATAATATTTGCAATGCTCCAGGGCACGCACGGGTCAAAAACAATCTTTTGCTCTAACAGGGGTTGCGAGAACAAGAAGTCAAACCTGCAGTGTTAAGCTGACATAACACACACACAAGCAACATGCCAAATGGTCCATATCTTCCATTGGAGACACATCCAGAAGACCTTCGAGAACGATCTGATCTGAATGGATGCAGGCGCCTGGGTTTCCGGATTGCAGCTGCCACCCAGCTTGCGTTCAGCGGCCTGTGCGACGCTTTTCTGCTGACCGTCTCAGGTCAGCTGTCGAAAGGACAGCAGGAGCTCGATGGTCGGACGGGTCAAGTATGACATCAAGGTTGAATTGGTTAGTCTACTGTAGGGTTTTTCGATGGGTGTTTAAGTGTCTTTGAATGTTGTTCTGCACGTCCAAGATGGATCTATGGTGAAACCAATCTGGAAGACCTGAAAAGACAGTGTGTGGATCTACCATTTCAGGTGTGGACATGAAACAGCAGGCAAGGACCCAAGAGGACTCAAGGAAGTGAATGAATGGACTGTCCCAGTTGGTTTGGGTCTTTGGGACCCTCCAAGTCAAGGAATCAAGTCCACCTAGGAGGCCATGATCAAAGGACCTTCTGAAAGGAACAGCTAGTCAGGAAGTGCAACGAACCCAAGAATGCCCCAGATCAATTCCCCTGAACTCTGCTAGGACACTGAGCCGAAGAAGGCTTCTCACACGTCCGTTCCATCTGCACATCCGACTGCCAGGGCCTTGATGGCTTGGTAGGTTTTGAACTGACCTCCCTGCACGTTGGCCTAGCGCGACGTGTGGTCACCGCAAACGGTGTCGTGCTCACAGCAGCAATGCGCTGCACTGCCCAAGGCTTGTTCAAAGCGCAGCCACCTCCATTCCTTCCTCCCAGCGCTCGTCATTGAAAGACGCCTAAGTGTCCAAAGACTATCCCGCAGAAGCAATACATCCGTTGCTGTGGAGATCCGTGGAGTGATTTTTCCTCAAGTTCTCGTCCATCAACACTCGAAGATCTTCATAGATCTTGCATGGATCTTGAAGGTTCATGAACGAAAATCAAAATGACGCTTTTATGGCACATATGGCACTCTGCACACCTCTTCACTTCGCCCATAGTTCTCGTCCCCTGGACTCAGTTCGCTCAGGACGTGCGTTGTGCACCCCCCCACTGAGCTTCCAGGCCACCAGCTGCCGAACCTGCTCCATTCACGTCGTCTTCACCGACCGGTGGAGCGGTGGCAGGTTCCGGTGCCCCAAGACCGCCGGTCATCCAGGGTCCAGGGTCCGACACTGGAAGGCGGTTCGGGTGAAAAAGAACCAGCAGTATGGTCTTGAGCAGGTGTGATGCCATTTGCGCCTTGGTCTGGAAGTCGGAGTTGAGCATCCTTGCATAGCTCGACAACCTCAAAGAACCAAGACATGATTCATTCATGAAGAGGTTTTGACCTGCTGCATTGCTTGTGAAAGCTGAGACAAGGTGCCAAAGAGTGCGACGGAATTGTCAGGCTGGTCGAAACCAGCCCCTGACCCTGGGCCCAGCACCACAATCGGTAGATGCTTCGCCAAAAGGATTCCCTGGCACTGGATGGCATACAATCCATGATGGCCAAGTTCCAGCAAACATGTAAACATGTCCAAATTTAAATAGAAACCAGCTGGGCCGGCCCATTACCAAAGTCCGGATCAGTACTCACCAACTCCATCAGTGCCGCGATGGCCTGAAGTTGAAGGTTGCCCCCCCCAAAAAGTCCGCCAAACCCCGTTGCATGCGGTGAAACACATTCCCACACAATGCGGCTCCACTCGATGCATCTTTATCTCGCTCTATCATCTAAATAATTATATAGATGGATTGGACATGATTAGATTAGATATTTACATCTCTTCCGCCCACGCAACTAGCTAGGGGATTTGACTTAAACGACCCAAGCATTGCTTTTCCTCAGATAAGGCTGCAGCCTGCCCTTCATCTGAGCTGCGTTCTCCAAAAGCCTGCGGGTCTCGGGGCTCAAGCTTCTCAGTAGTGTTTACTTGTTTTTTCCCGACGGCCACTGAGAAAACTCCACTTTCTCCAACCTTAACGGCACGAAGACCTTCAAAGGCAGCGAACATGTCTTTGGTGGTCAACCTGTGCAATCAATGCGTTTTTCAGCACGTCACTCATCACACTCCACGTGGCCCGTGCCCACCCAAATGTAAGGCACTGGCCACTTCAAGTGCACATGGACGCTGAGCTGCGACCTGAGCCACTCGTCTCTTGTGCTCAACTCATCTCCGATCTCCACCCGCCCAAGACCGGAGTCGCCCAAGACCGGTTGCGGCTTTGGAACGGTCTCAGCGCCTCACATATGAGAGGGCAACACGAGCTCATCCTCCGGCCTCGCACGTTGGAGGGGAGCAAAGCGAGCGTCATCCTCCGGTCGTTCACGGACGTTCATGGGAACTCTGTTCTGATCCAACGCTGGCATGTCGTCCTGTGGAGCTGGCTGACCAAAGTGGGTGATCTTGCTGGAGCTCTCAGCACCCAAAGTTTTCGTGTTTCAAGGCTTGCTTGGAGGCCAACATCTTTGCCAATGTAATGTTCTGTTCGTGAGTGTGCATACTGCACACGGTCCACCGGCAAAATCATGTGTGAAATGTGCTGCTCGCTAAACACCACCAGCTTGTGCCTACAAGCTGTCCCTTTCCCTTTCTTCCAACTATAGAGCAATGGCATTCTTTCTGCGGCATCCATAGGCTTTGCTCGAATGCGAGACACACAAGTGAATATGCTTGTAATCATTGGTGCAAATCGCTGCAGAAAGGAAGCTCATGGCGATGAGAGAAACCAAATCTGGATTTTGGATCCCGCACCTCGTCCACCCAGTCCGCATCCCGAAGCAATCAACATGGAAGGAACATGAAGGAACCCTGTTGGGGAGGCTGTCACGGCACGAAGACTGTCACGGCACAACTCTTCTGCCCAGTTCCGCCGAGCAACAACGCTTCCAAAAGGTCACCATGCCGCTCATCAAAGAGCTCTTCACAAATCGCTTGCGCCTCTTTGCAGAACCTCGGTCGCATCGGGCGTCGGAGTTCACCGGAGTGGCGTTCACATCGGTTTCATCATGACTGGCACAAGTTCACTGGGAAGATGTGGTGAAACCTTCACTCTTTTGTGCATATTGACCACACCCAGATGCTCCATGTACGGAACATATGCCCACACTGTACGGGATATATGCCCGCATTGGGGTGGATTGGGGGGTCAATGTAGGCATATATGGCATACATGGAGTGTATGGGACATCGGCTGGGGCATTAATGTCAATGGTGTGATCAGAATCATGTGGATTGTAATCATGTGCCGCTCGGGCCCGTGCTCTTCAAGCTCGGAGCAAACCTCAGTTTCCAACGTGAACAGGTGAAGCTTATGACCATCCCTGGTGGATCTGGCTGTCCAAGAAGCACCAAACTCATGCGATACAAAATAGGCTAAATAGACTAGACGTGTAGACTTTTGAAGCACCACACACACAATGCACACTTATTGTATTTGTTGACATGTGCCACCTCTTCACTACGGACGTTCGTCCTTCAACCCGAGACGTGAGGAACCGTGAACTGGGCTGGGCAGCGAACTAAGGAGTCGATCTCTTCTCGATAGCCCTCGCGGTTGTCCCAGGACCACTCGGCCGAACCTGTCATGGGGTCTGTGGGGTTGGGTGGGGGCTGCTGGGGGTCTTGCAAAACACAAAATGGGTGGCCCAGATGTCTGGGAGTCTTCAACGAGCCGAACATAGCTAAACCGTGTCAAAGCATGCCAACTCAATCGGATTTGGGGCTGCGGCAGGGAGGACCAGTGGTTTCCGCCAACCACATCTCCACAAAGTTCAGCTGATTGCGCAGCCTTTCAGCACGCCTCAGCGAGAGGGTCATAACTGGACCCCGACCCACCAACCTGAACCTCGCTAGAAATGCTGAGAGATGGTGGCGGCGAAGCTTTTTTCCCTCAAAGGCAGGCGGCAGAATCTGGTGCCTGTGACGGCTAGACCAATTCTACCAATAAGCTGGTGGAGTTGCCAGCCACTCCTGTTCGGCCTGTTTGGGCCTCTGATCATTCTGTCTGGGTGCTTTCGATTCAATGCGACCGACTGGAGAGGACTTGATGGACTTAGGCCATGCAGATCTAACTTTGGAGAAATACCCGCGTGAAAGTGGCATATTATGAAACTGCCCGAGAGTTTCGAAGGTGACCGAGGGTGTTCTACCGGTGTCTATTATAGCTACTTGAGATACAATAACCTATATACCTGTCTCGTATACACGATGATCTACTCTCCAGTCAGCTCTGGAAAATGCACCTCTCCGCTCAAGGCTCCATGCTGTCCACGCATCCTCAGTTCGACCCATGTTGTTGGCTAACACTTTTTTGCTTCGCTCAAAGGCTCAAAGAGCTTGCCTGCACATCTTCCAGAAGCCTTCTCGGCCCATCTCAAAGTAGAGATCCTGACAAACAGCAACTTCGTGTCCAGCGGTCGAGGGGAATGGTTTGGACGCGGTTTGCGGTTTTGATCGACCTTGATTTGAAGGAGGTCTGTTCTGAAGTTCCGCTCCAACTCCTCAACCCATGGTACGACAAGAGGAATTTCAGCTTCTGTCTCAGCAAATGCGACATCGCCCGTCTTGGCACCAGGCTATCATTGCGGGCTCGTGATGCCGCAACTTAGTGATCGCAACACGTGAGCAGGTTTCTTTCTGGCAAACCACCCACCATTAGCATCTTTAGTCCAACTGGTGATTGTTGGCTCTGCACTATCTGCAAGCCATGGCACTTTCAGGACACTCTCGACCTGAAAACCAAACAGCGAGAGCTGTGGAAGTGGGGGATGAAATTATTCACGACAGGAGGGATAAACATATATTCCAAAATCCATTGCACAATGCACGAGTATATATGCATGTAAGTAGAACATAGCCGGATTTTTCCTTCCTCCTTCCTTTGTATGCGGCCTTGGAAGGGACATGAAGGAACCATAGGAAACCAGCTTGGCAGCGCCTTGGCTGCCTCTCGACTCTGGCTCTCAGGTCGTCCGTCCTTGTCGAAGGAGCTTTGGCAGCTTCGGCTTTGGTGTCCATTGATGCAGGGATGACTGGTGTCCTCCAAACCCGAGCCGAGCACCACCAAAACCCGCGCCAACCTTGGTTGGCACCGTCGTCGGCATCGGTGCTCTTGTTGGGCCAAAGCCGGCGATCTCGGTGGAGAGGGGGGGGGCCAGCTGGGGATGTCAACACTGGCCAACCTCGAGATCTACAGTAGATCCTCTTTCAAACGACTCCACATGACGCCCATGCATGCCCATGCCATCCGCTGTTGAGCATGTCATGGCCGATTGAAATCTGGCAAATCGTCGGGATCGTCGGTCCTGAACGGCGACCATGGCGCCAAAGTTCTGGACTTCCTCTTCGTCGCCTAGCGAGTGGATTGGGACAATGGGACTCACCTGGAGAGATGTTTGCTTCGTGATCACTACTCAACTCGGCTGGTGGGCTGAGGGCGTTGGTGGCGACACTGTCTGGCTTTCACTATATATACAAGCCATCTTCTATATAAATTATCAGCATGTAATACTGGACTTTCCTCATTCTTCGCAGGAGTCTTCAGTGTAAATCCTGCGAGACCCCTCCTGCAGAACACAAAGTTTGAGGGGGTCAGATTCGCACAGTTTGCGCTAGGTGAGTAGCACAGGAACGGGTCAATTTCCTTCCAAATAACTTTAAATTGTGCTTTGTTGGGTGGATCTGTGCACACACACTCTCTCTCTCTCTCTCTCCCTCCCTCCCTCGCGTATATGTATATATATATATACACACTAAGATAGCGAAACTTAGAATGCCTGTTTGAGTTCCAAACACATAGATTGCATCTCCATCTTAGAATGCCCGCGGCATTCAAAGTTCCAGTCCGATATAAATTCCTAAACATAGACATAGAAGAGGTTAAAACATGTGGATATTTCCTTGTGAAATCCAATGCTGTCAGCAATTCTAGGCATCTTTTCACAAGTTCAAAAGCAGAACTTAGAAAAGTTCTTTGGGTGTTCCATCACCAAAACAATCCCATCACCAAAAAGCTTACGCCTGTGATGTGCAGAAATCCGGGGAAAAAAGTACAGGAACCGGATGAACCGCCATTCCCATCTGTCACAAATCCTTTATACATATGCAGAAAATCAGACATCCAGCGCACGCATTCTAAGTCGAAGTGCCATAAGGGTATCCAAAAATAGTACCGGAACCAGTTCCGGTAGTTTTTAAGGGTCCATATTTCCTTTACGCCTTTTCGTTTCCAAACGCACATTCTAAGTTTCACTATCTCGCGGTATATATATATATACACGTATATATTGTGTATATAGAATGATCATCCGCGTGAAATTCACATTGGCCGACCGCAATGGGACAGTGCCAAAGGCTCCAATTGTGCATGTGTTTCAGCTCACGTGTGCTGAATCACAAACTCATCTGGCACACCAAGGTGCTTTCATCATGTGCCCGCGGCCGGGAAGGGAAGTCGGGCTCGCGCCGGAAGCCAGGCTCAGGTCTGAAGTCCTGCAGATTCGTGAAGTTCAGTTCATGGAGGATGAGGGGCTCGATCAATTGATTTTTGTCTTATCATGTCTTATCGGTTTGGATGGTGCCTAGATGTGCCTAGGATTTGTGTGTCAAAGCAATTTCCCTGCTCTTTCGACTCAGTGAGTCGCCACATCAGTACTTCCGAACAACCGATCCTTCCACTCCGTCGCCGCTTCGCTCGTCCAAGCAACGACCCACGGCCTTCACCGAGCTCTGACGGCCGGAGAACCAAACGGTCCTCAGGCACCTCGCCCAAAGCCTTTGGATCCACGTTGGGCGAGCTGTCATACGCCAGGCCCGGTGGAGGACCCATCCCCTGCGGAATCTGCACCGGAGCAGGTTGGGGGGGTGACTCAATCCAACTTCGGTGACCTCCAAGCATGGTCACCCTGACAAGCATGAGAAACAAGGCATAGGAAGAGCAGCTATATTAATAGCGTTTCCCAATGTTTCCGCAACCTTCAGTCCACATCTGCCAATTTTTGCCAGACCTCTGTAGCCTGCGTCGCGTGCTCTGCTCGACCCCAGCGGGTTGGATGAGCAAAAGGCCCTGGCCGCTCCGGCTCCAAAGGCTCGAAGAGATCCATCGGCCGCGCCAACGGCTCCAACGCAGGTCCCGCCAGCGGGGTGTCCAGCAAATCGGGAGGCAAACAAGTGGAGACCAACCTCACATGAACGGTCGAAAAACGTGCGCGGTCGAACAACGTCCCTCAATAAAGCCAGATCAAATGTGATCAAAGGTCGGTAATGGGTGTTTAGCTCTTCAGGGGATTGAAACACTCCGCAACAACGGCAAACATCATGTGACAAACTTCTTCTCCATTAGCAGTCCTAGTACCGTGCCTCTCCTACCCATAGGCAAATCCTGAAAAACAAGGAAGTTCCCCAGCTTGCGCGTAGGGGTTTCAACAACTCCAAGAAGAGGAACAAGCAAAACAGGGATCTGCGATCCATTTCTGTTGCCCTTGACCCCTAAGTCCAACCTCTGGACAGCTTATTGCCAGGTTGCGAACTCGTGTTACAACCCCGTCCTTTGGAATTCATTTTAGATGGTATCATAAAAATATGTATATATATATATACGTATAATTGTGAAGCTCTTCTTTGCGAAACTCACCCAGATCAAAGCATATCGAAGCCGTGGCTCTCATCATCACTTTGGTCAGCCGCCACACCCAGTCCAATTGGATCCTGGCAGGCACGCAATTGGAAAAAGCAGCCAGCCGTCCGTCCTGGTTGATCATGGTATTTCCTCTATATAGCCACTTGGGATGTTTCCTATGTTTCGGATGACCATGATCACCAAGGGTTTCATGCACCACTTCATGTGGTTGACATGCCATGAGGCCCACGAAAAGGCAGGAACGTTTCATTCCTCTCCTTCTCGTTCGATATCTTTCCTGCCTGACTTTGTTTTGGCGGAGGAGGCGGAGCTTGCTTTGGAGGCGGAGCTAGTGCCTGAGTTTTGGAAGAGCCATGCGTGGAACATGGTGTTCTTCTTTCTGGATAGATGCAGATCCAATCAATGGCTGCATTGAAGAGTCCTGGAAGGGCAGAGACTGCAGATCTGTCGAACCAGACTCCAGGTCCGATGAGTAAACAGTGGGCAGCCGCCTGGGGACCAGTCCCCCCGGACGCACGGTCCCTTCACCCCTCACCCGGCTGGCCCAGTGGCTGGTCCACCGAAGGGTGGCCTGAGACCGAAGTGAAGAACTCCCACGGAAGCGCTGGGCAAAGAAGTTCTTTTGTTTGTCTCTTTGAGAAGTTCTCCCTAACTGAAGTTGAACATGAACTTTCAAAACAGCTGCAAGGGCATGTTAGCTTTCTGTGACAGTTGAAGGCTCGCACGTGCTCAACCAATTTCCTCGTGCTGCCCAAGGTTCGCTTTCACCGGTGGGGGTGGTCCAATTGGAGGTGCCTTTGCCTTCACCATGGGAGCTGAGGGTGCGGAGGCCTGGGGCAGAAGTTTCTCTCTCTCTCTCTCTCGGAGGGGTAGGCCACTAGTAGAGAGGTAGGTAGCTAGGACCGCTAGGGAGTCGCTAGTAGCTTAATTCGTCAGACGCAATAAAAACCGCGAAGACGCGGTAGACTCAAAGAAGAGCACTTAGTCGACCGGCGCCCTAATCCAAAACTCGAACCGTCACCGGCGCCTGGTTCGGGTACCCGATGGCTTCCATCGGAGGCCTTGGAGGGAGTCGGCCCATCCCGTTGGCCTTGACTCGAACAGGCGGCTGAGGCGACGACGCCTTACATTGGACCTCAGTGATGTGGTGCCGCGAAGCGAAGCGACCCCGAAAATGAGAAACAAACACATGAAAAAAACACAACTGCTTCACTATAGGGAGCTATATAGGCTCTAGACTGATCAGGCCTACAATTTAGGACATGGGGCCGGGGCCCCTCGGAGCTCTGAAAGAACCAGGCCCGTCTGACACGCCCCGAGGCTTTTACCAGCCTTCCCACCGACGAGTCCGTCTGCTTCGCCCGTTCTGGGGACGCCGAACTGCCCGTCTGACATGACTGACTGGCCTAGGTGCGTTCACTGACTGGCCAAGAAAAACCGCGAGTTAGACTTAAGAACTGATATGACTGATAAGCACTGTTACACCCAGCTTAAGACGAACCGCCAGGAGTTGCAACTGCGCCTTCTCTAAGCCACGTGCCCTGGAGCTTCATCGCTGTTTTCATCGCTTTCATCCTGTGCAAGCAGGCTGAAGGGGCCCGATACGGATATCATGTTCGGTTTTGAAACGGTGTCCACGGTCAATCTTCTTGAGCTTGGGGGCAGTGGAAGTGCACGTTTCTGAGACTTTTTGATGCACCTAATCATTTGACATGTGTGAACCCTTATTAAACTGTTCCTTAAACCAACCTGGCTGAAACAAATCCAGCCTAACTAGCCCAATTCTAATACGAAAAACATCTTTGAAGGTCTGTGCTTTGAAGAATGCCCATCCTTTCCTTCCTTCATAAGTAGGATATCCCTCCTTAAAGGCTGGGTTGGATATTCTTATTCACATGTCATCTGTTTAAATCGTGCCTACACCTGTTAAAAAAAACTCCCGCCTTATCCTGAACCTCCTCTTTGTCAAAGGATAATAAGCCTTTAACTTTTTACCATTATCATCTTTCGACCATTGACCGTCCAAAAACAATTGTGCCCTCCATTAATCAACTTCCCGAATATGTTTCTTGTTGTAAGGGTCACAATGTCACAAAATGTCACAAGGATGGACACTCTTTAAATAAAAAATGCATATGTTCCGCAAAGGCACCATCTACAACTTTCCAAGAAGAGAAGAACTGCCGCTTAAGCAAATGAAAACACACAACTAAAGGGCAATGCGTTGTGACATATTGTATTAAAAAACAAACATAGCAAACAATCAGCCCTTTTCTCGCTGGTGAAGCTTGTAATAACGCACTTCCTTTGTATGTTTGTTTATCAGATTTCAACCATACAAAGAATTCAGCAAGAAATAGACATCTACTTGACTAAAGAAGAAGCACCTTGACAATAGGAACAGCTTGTGAACAACACAGCAATGCAATGAAAAAGGTAAAAGAACACATCGCAAGAAAAATGAGATATGCGATACACCTATCTGACAAAGGAACGTGCTAAGTCAAAGGAAAACATGCAAACCAGGAGCGGAACAAACTAAAGGACCAGCTACACAAAGGAACAACTATATATTTCAAAATGATTGGGTGGTATAAATTTTGATCTGCTTTTCCGGGAACGGGTAAAGCTGGAAAAAAAAAGTAGCAAAAATAACATATACTTGGGGACACTGATCAAAGGGGCAAGCTGCTCAAAAGGGAAAATGCAAATCCAAATTGCTAGGTAAGCAGCGCATTGGGCCGGGCAAACTGGGCAAGTTTTGTGGGCCCCACACAAACATCGATCAACCAGTGATAAGCAAAGCACATCAAAAAAGCAAAGGCATTCCCCACAAATATTTGTTAGCTTCAACTTTTGGCAGTACTCTTGCCAATCCTTGCTTGGACAAACCTCCCTAGCAATCAAGCGCCAATCATTGAACAATCTTGGACTGGGAAGGAAGGGCGGCCTCAAAGAAAAAAGAACCCAAAACCAACAACACAAGAAACACCACAAAACTAAACAAACAAGACACGTCTTTCCTGACAAGTCTTTCGCTGGCAGCGGTGGGTCCCCAAAGAGTCTATACTATACTATATAGATTGTTAGTTTTTGCTATTTTTTGAGTTTATGTTCTGCTTTACTATGTCTGTACGTATGTATATATACTGTATATATTCTTGGCTCAAGCCTTTGGCAATGCACTTGCAAGTGCTGAGGTGTATTGTTTCTCCTAAAGCCGCCCAAACATGTTTTCAGGACTTGGGGCATCCAAATAGCTTTGCCCTAGCGATATGGCAACCTTCTTTCGCAACCATGGTAGGGCTTCCCAAGGTGATTTCACAGCGGCCCTTTAAGTCCTTTTCCACGTGACGGGGGCATTTGTGAGAACACACCCCTAATCTCATGTGTCTTCTGGGTTTCCCTCGTCTAAAAATGTCTAAAGTAAAAACAAGGGCGGGAGGTGGCAACCACAGATTTTTGGGGAACCCCAAGAAACCACAAGAAAGTCAGTGATACTCACCAATGACAGCCATCAATTTCATTTCAAGGTCACAGATTTTGCTTCTTCTGCCAATTCCTGCCTCTAACGCATCAGGCGGTGCCATGGGGGGCCTGAAGCAGCAGCATCCGTTGTTGCTGCTTAACTATTGGAAGAGTTGGGGGGGGGCCTGCCTGGACAACCAGATGAAACATTAAAACACACATGTGATCCTTCATCTTCCACAAAGAGAACATGAAGTCCTTCTCTGTCCAAGGACTTCTCCAAAATTAGCCTTTATCCTTGGGCCATTGGGAAAAAGACCTGCTGACAACAGTGGTATATAATAACTGTAAATATATATATATATATGAAAAACCAAACCCTGGAGCAGTTGCTCAAACATGTTTTGCATTCCTTCCAAATTCGTCACATGGTGCCTGAGCGAGTCGAACTTTCCCTATATAACCCTTAGGTGTGTATAAAAATAGGGAGATCTCCCATTTTGACCCCTTAGAATAAGGAAACTAGACCAGACCCTATTGGTTGGATGCCTCCACCCCCCCACACCCTGCTTTTGCGTCCAGTCCTTGGACGATCCACTTCCTTCGGTGGCCAAGAGGCGCTTTCTTCTTGGCCAGCTGCTCGGAGGCCGGAAGGCCATTCCAAACGCTGCTCGGCCCCTCCCTGGCCTGGCAGGAACCGGCGATGCTCGCGACGGGATTTCGTGGGGGATGACGGCTCACTGGTCGTGCCACGTCCAGCCATAATGGTCTTTCCAGGGCTGTCGAAGTTGACACGCAGTGAACTACTCATCATATAAGTCATCGGACCACTGACATGGCACAATCTGCCTGCCTCCTCCCGCTCGGATGGAAAAAGCACTACCTGCCACAAATGAACAACCAACCAGGCTTGTCGCAAATGGCCACAAATGGCTTGTCGCAACAAAATACTGATTACTGTATAAGGATAAAAGGTGTCACACCCAAAACACTATGTGGCAAAGCTTATGGCGTATGCACCCCCCAAAAAGATTGTGTCTGGAATATTGAAACCTTGGATAGTGACATCGACCAAGATTCTCTACAAGCCAGTCTGGCGAGTTCCCCTGTAGTTTTTATGATTTTATGGCTTTGCTCTCCGGCAGTCTTGCGCAACTTTGACCAATTTGTGTTCATTGCTTCCCCGGTGGAACTGTCTGAGTCTCGGTTTTTCTTCCCATCTTATGCTTTATCAGATTTTCTATCATGTCCACCTGCCTTTCTACACCACCTGTTGGACAACTCCACTCACCTTCCCTTTCTTCAGGCCTCCGAATCGGCTCGATCCCGCGGCTCCGGGGTCGGACCCGTCTTGGCCCGAACCAAGGACACCGTGGGCGCCTCGCGGGGTCGAAGGGGCCGGGTCGGGTCAGGCGCGAGGGGGGCCCAGGGGCCTTGAAGGCAGAGTGGAGAGTCAAGGCTGAGGTGGGTCACAGATCAAAACGGTAGATTGAGGTCCCGGACTCTTCGGTTCGAGGTGGGTCAAGACAAATTGGGGTTGTGGACCGTGACAAGAAAATGGTAGTGGACCAACACTTGCTTCCTCTGGCTGCCAAGTCCATGTATGATCACAGTAGTTCTCCCTCACAAGTGGTGCAGCAAACATCGTCCTTATTTGGTCTGTGGGTGTCCTTGAGTTACCCAGATAGAAACTCCTATATATATATATATATCCAGACGGGTTTATTTAAGTTTATTTAAGAATGTGAGTGTTTTAACCTCACGTGCACTTGCATACGTCATTTGCGCGTTTTTTTGGATAGTCCCTTTTCGGAATTTGTCGCGGCAAATGCGCGTATTTACCGCGTGTGTTTTCGTCGGTCGGTGTAAAACACGTTTTGGTCGGATGGCACGTTGACGTTCTGTTCAAATTGCACGCCCATACAGAAGAAACCCTTCTACGCTACGCTGCTATACAATGCGACTGAGAGTGGGGGGGGGGGGGGGGGGATTTTAACGTTCGGTTCAAATTGCACACCCATACCAAGGAAACTTTTCTGCGCTCTGCATACCAAAATTTATACGCTACATAATGCGATGCGTGCTGTGTTGCGCACACATGTTTTCTTGTACACATGCGTGTGTAAAGCTCGTCTGGATTTTTTCGTATCTACAGTAACCTTAGATTGTTGTAAATACCTTCAAAGCTTTCGTCTGGCGTGTTGACCCTAAACGGTCAGGCAAGAGTGGTCTTCCTGCAGGACTAGCCACCAAATATCCCAGCACTCCATGTATGGAATATTTACCTGCATTGACCCCTGAAACCACCCCAATGTAGGTAAATATGCCATACATGGAGTGTTTGGGAAATGTGAAGGATTGGTCAAAAAGATTTGAAATGGCACGCTGGATGGCACGACCTGGAGACTGTTTGGATTGGACCTTTTGGACGTTGGGGTATAGTATGCTTTTGTAAAAATGTACAGTATTGTTTTTCTTTTGTTTCGCAGTTTGTCTTCCCGAAAAAAGTGTAAACACGTTAAACACACACATGGTGTTTTTCACAAACGTGTCACAATCTTAAGTAAACCCGTGAGGATATATATATATATATATGTGTGTGTTGTGACATCTGCGGCCGCAGCTGCTGCGCCTTGGCTGCTTGCTCTGCTTGCTCCGCTTGCTCTGGACTTATTGAGATGCGCCACCTGGCCACCGAGTCTGGAAGTCCAATGATGATGCATCAAATCTCCATGAAAGTATTTCTCTCTCTCTCTCTCTCTCCTTCTGTCTTTCTGTCTTTCTTTCTTTCTTTCTTAGTCTGTGCGTATATGAGCATAAATGAGAACATCCAATGTCCCCATTAAGAACACCTGCATTCTCTTGACTCCAGCTCCGCACTGACCCCTAAACCCTACCTCTCTTCCGTTGGAGAGAAGGTTCCAAACACGCTCCACCCCTGGCCCCTGCTCCGCCTGAAGGCTTCTTTGGGCCCGGCTTGAGCTCTCCACCGCTGAGCCTCGGGTGGCACTCCTCTGCGGTGGTCGCGCTGGTTGGTGAGGTAGGCCACTTGCGCCAAAGGGCATGGCCTCGGTCGGATCGGTGGAAGTCGTCCCGACGGAGATGGCAGCCAGTCTAACCAAGGCCAGTCGGGGTGACAGCAACGGGGGGCTGAGACAGTGCAAAAAAAAGTCCTCAACATGCCCACTCTCTGTTCGTCAGGTGCTTTGCCCGATGTTTCCGGATGAATATCCGGGTGCCCAGCTGGTCTGCCGCCACAGCTCTTGGCACATTGTCCAAACTCAAGGGCGCAGCACCTGGCGATGCACCCGGAGCTGCGAGGCACCGTTTTCACAGCGTCAAAGCAAACAGCGGCGATGCGATGCGTATAATATACTTAATTGCACATGCGTGTGCGCACGCACACAAAATGGACTGTAATGTAATGTAATGAGATGTATATAATAAGCAATTATGATAGTATGTCCGTGTGATGTATTTATGCATTTGTATGATAGCGTGTATGTATATATATATATATATATTCATATACATACATGATAATTGTGATTTCAGTGGCCAAACCTTGCAACCTGCACTTTGAAGGGTACGCTGTCACATGAGAGGTGACACTCATCCGAGTGTCATGTGTTCGTGCCCGTGAGAAGGGGCTCAAGTCAGGGGGCTTTGGATGGTAGGCCGTGGACGGCCGTTCGCCCTTGGTCGTGGACGACCCTCGGAGGCTGCGGTGTGAGAAAGACCCGCCCGGGAGCGCTTGGTGGGTAGAAGTGATAGGTGAGGGAAGGGCGACGCTTCCAGGTGGGGAATCTACACTGGTAGCGGAGCCCAAGCCGCTGAAGGTGTTGAAGCACTTTCGGAAGTGGCTGGGTTCGCATGGCTACTGCTCGTGATGATCCTTCTTCGGGCTCCGGGAGCTCTGGAGGATCGAGCCATTTGCCATACAATCAGGTGCCTGTGTTCAAACCTGGAGAAACTGACTTGAATGAATGGACTCGCAAAGTCGAATTTCTAGCTCAGCTATGGCCTCCAGAACAGTTGCACTACTTAGCACCAAGGATTGCGATGCAGTGCGAGGGTAGCGCCTTCCAGCGGGTATCCAGAGTTGATCCCAAAGTGTTGCGCTCGAATTCCACCGATGGAGTTCAGGCGATTGTGGAAGCACTGGGTGGAATCTGGGGTAAATCCCGATTGGAGGATAAGTTCGAGCGATTCGAGAGAGCGATTTACAGCACAGTTCAAAAGGGTGACGAGACCAATGAGTCCTACTTGGCACGTCACGACCACCAGTTTGAGGAGCTGAAAAGCATGAAGGTTGGGCTTGATGAGTTTCGTGCTTACATCCTTCTTCGCAACTCCTCCTTGAGCTCAGACGACAAGAAACGCTTGATCGTGGAATCCCAAGGGTCATTGGATTATCGTGAAGTGGTGTCAAACCTCAAACTGCTAGGGAGCAAGTTCTTCCACGAGGTCCATGCCGGGAAAGCTCAGAATGTTCGAACCAAAACGTATGACTCGTCGACCTTCTATGCTGATGAAGAACCAGCCATGTTCATGTCGACTCCGGCAACTGCCGGTGATGAGGAGCCGACCTTTTTTGGTGATCCTCTGGATGACGGACATCTGGAACAATGGGCCGAAGAAGGTGATGCTGATGCTGTTGTGTGTCTCCAATTTGAGGAGAGTTTGTTGGACACATTGCAATCCGATCCCGACATGGCCGCATGCATGAACAACACGTACATGGAAGCTCGAAAAAGGCTTTCCGACAAGGCCAAAGGGCGTGGTTTTTGGAACCCTCCTCACAAGGGCATGGGCAAAGGTCGCAAGGGGAAGAGCGACCGCTTCGAGTTCCGACCACGGAAACCGCTGGCACAAAGGATCTTAGAATCCAATTGTCGGAGGTGTGGGGCAAAAGGCCATTGGAAGGCCGAGTGTCCGCTCCGCAACCAAAGTGCATCCTCAGGACTCAATGCTGCCAAAGATGGTGCTTTCACTGGAATGGCCTTGCAGGAGTCCGACTTCGCTGAGGATGAAGACATGATTCTCATCAATCAGGCGCCTTGGACAAATTGGCATTCAGTTTTTATGACTCTAGCAGACAAGCCATTTCCCCACAGGGTAGTGAATTCAACGGACATGGTCCGCCGAATGCAGCAATGCTCGCAAAGGCTGATGCCATTGCTTCGAGCCAGACTGAGCCATCCAACAAGCCCTCTGATTGAGCCAAAGTCTTCACCCACCACGGGTGAGGCGACGACATGTTTCGTAAGTCATGGAACTCTAGGCATCGTCGACCTAGGTGCCAGTCAGACAGTAATAGGAGAACATCAGGTGTCCGAACTCACCGCTCAACTGCCAGGACATGTTCAGGTCCAGGAAGTTCCATGCAGAACAATTTTCCGTTTTGGCAATAGCAGCACTGTGGAATGCGACCGAGCTTTGCTTGTTCCACTAGGGCCGTATAAAGTGAAGATCTGTGTTGTTCCATCACGTACACCATTTTTGCTTTCGAATAATGTTTTTCGTAAGCTCGATGCATCGATCCACACCGCAACCGATTCAGTGTACTTTGGAAAGCTTGGATTCGGACTGCCACTCACTTTGTCCGAAAAGAAGCTATATCTTCTCGATTTTGCACAGTTGATTTCACGAGCCCAACAAACGCCAGTCAAACAGATAGAAACGAAAGAAGAAACTATTTTGCAAAGCAGTGACAGTCGGATCGGTTTCGGTTCGTCTCGTACATCGTGTCCTCGTTCCGGAGATTCTGAGCATGAGGGTCGTGATGCAGATGAGCCTCCTCTGAGACTCTCGTGCCCAAGCCCTGACAGTGAAGTGCGATCACAAGACCCGACCGACTCCGGTGTTTGCCATGGCATCCATGTCCAAGACTCCGACCTTGGCCGATCGTTTCAAGGCCCTGAATACAGCATCCCAGGCAGGAATTCCCTCCGATCCGGAGACCATGCCGCTGGAAGAGTTGGCTCAGGCCAAGATCGCATTTGGCGAAGCCAAGAAGGGTCAGACCTTTGCCAAAGTCCTCGAGGACAGTCGCTATGTCACATGGTTCCTGGGACATTACCAGGATTCCACCAAGCCGGTACACAAAGCCTTCGTGACGTTTGTGCGTCGCCGGATCGAAGCCCAAGAAGCCGTCGTGACTTCGGCTCCCAAATCTCGAGCCAAGGCCAAGGCCATGCCGACCTCTCGGCCGGCGACGGCCGAAGAGCCCAGGAACCCCTGGAGATGTGGGACATGATCGAAGAGGACCAGAGCACCCGTCAGGAACTCGAGATCCAGAGTCAACGTCTGACCCGCCTGGAAGAGACCATGCAGGTTCTCTCGCAGCCGAATCCCATTCTGGACTCTGCACAGCAAGTGAACCACGAGGAGCAAGAGCTCTAGATCCAACCGCAGGCACCAGTGGTCCAGTGGTAGTTGATTCCCGGGAAATGCATTCGTTGATCGCGGACTGTATCGGATGTGAACAAGTGTCCCTCAATCCTGACCAGGTCCTAGATCCATTGTACTTCACTCACGTGCAAACCGAGCCGCAGATTCGGAATTGGGTTTATCAGGAGATCATGTCGTACTTTTGCAAACATTATGGTACTCAAGAAGAAGTGGCAACTCATTTTTCTAGGGGGGGTATTGATGTGCTTGAGGTATACTGTTCATCTGACAGTCAGCTCACCTGTCAGGCACAGAATCTGGGACTGAAAGCCGTGCGCTTCTGTCGCCAACATGGTGACCTCGGGACTTTTCATGGTCGAAGTAAGTTATATGATCTCCTATGGGTGACAAAACCGAGGCATGTTTGGACATCCCCGAACTGTGGTCCGTGGTCGAATTGGAGCCATCTGAACGCCGGAAAGTCTCGAGAACTCGCGATCAAGATCGGATCAGCTCGGATGGCTGAGAAGACACATCTGCTTGTTTGCGATGCCCTGTGCCGTCTGCAGATTGGTCGAGGGTCTTACACACATTTTCATCTAGAGCAGCCTTCCGGCTCCGAAATGATATTTCAAGGTGAACTGTCATTCATTGTGCACTATACTCATCAGGTGAAGTTCGACATGTGCACTGGGGGCAACCTCCGACACCCCAATCGGCCTGAAGCCTTTCTCCCGAAATGCATGCAGATATTGACCACATCTACCATCATGCACAGAGCAGTGGAGCAGTGGCAATGTCGTGAGTCTCATGACCATCTGCAGATCGCCGGGAGTTGCGCGGCCCCTGGACTAGGGCGAATTCCGTTGTCTAGGTACACTGAACTGTACACTCAAACCTTTGCTCGTCGTTTGGGAAAAATAATCCAAACTAGTGTCCAAAGCAAAGAGCCTCAAAGATCTAACCAGGTGTGTGAAGTTTTTGGGATTCTTGAACCTGACAACAAACGCCGTAGGATTGAAGGGAAAAACACCGCCTCACACGTCAGAGTCCAGTGACAGCCGCCCAGCGACTTCCAGAGAGTTGAGCCAGCTACAAGCGATTCTCCAAGATGTGGACCAGGTCACCCCAAGGGTAGGTAGAGTGTGGATCACTGAAGGGCCCATCATGACCAAGCTCCAAAACTTGTTTTCGAACATGAAAATAGGGGGCATTGATGTGTGTAGGGGAATCAACCGTCTTCGTACTCCACCCGAGTCATGCCATACCGTGTTGCCCTTCAGAAGAGCTTTTGGGAGAAAAAGGGATGATCACTCATCACTCGCTTGTTGTCGACGACCCCCAATGGGAACAATGGAACACATTGTCGCACCGACAGCAAATTCGTGGCGGTACACCTACCCGGTTATTAGTGACCATGTTTGCCTCGGTTCCAAAAGAACCACATGAACAGGCTCCGGACGAGCTTGTATCTAAGCGACCGCGAACTGAGTCACAGTCCAAGACGGAAGAGTCAGAAGCGACACCATCAACCAAAGAGCCACCAGCCCCTAATGCCGATGGAGTACTCCCCGAGTCCCACCGACTGTGTCATGGTCCTCTGTTCCGAGCATTGCCCGACAAGTTGCAAGCAATGATCCAAAAGGTCCATAAGAATCTAGGACATCCAGGACATGCCCAAATGAAAGCTGCACTTCAGAGTGAAGGTTGGTCCGAGACTGTGATTCAGGCCCTCCAGGACTTCCAGTGCGATGTTTGCCATGAACAGCAAGCGCCAAAGATAGCTCGGCCAGCCCATCTGACAACTCCAAAAGAATTCAATGACATGGTTTCTTTTGATGCGGTTGAATGGAAGTCACCTCAAGGTTTGTCATTTGGGTTTTATCATTTCATCGACTCAGCAACGAATTTTCACATTGCCGTGCCATTCCATCAGGGAACTTCAAAAAGCTTGATAGCCTGTTTCAAGGACGCTTGGATTCGTTGGGCTGGACCTCCGAAGTCCGTCATGTATGATAGCTGTGGTGAAGCTAACAGCTCGGTGTTTGGAGATTTCCTGAAAGAACATGACATCCATGCATATCCCATTCCGGCTAGAGCCCGCTGCAACTAGGAAGAGCAGAACGACATGGTGCCATTCTGAAAACCATGTTAACCAAATTTCATGGGGAACAACCTATTTTGGATGGAGACACCTTTGAAAGGGCTTTGATCGAGCTTTGCAATGCCAAGAACGCACTGTCGCGTCATGCCGGATACTCACCAGAGATCCTAGTGCTCGGAAAGCGCCGCCGTCTACCCGGAAGTGTCATTGACACTGAGCCTGACGATGCCACAGGTTTCATCGATGGGGATGGGACTGAGGGGATTCGATTCCAACACCAAATGCTGATGCGGGAAGCCGCCCGTATCGCTTATGTTCGTGCCGACCACTGTTCCGCGCTCCGACGGGCCCAACACGCCCGTTCAAGACCCCATCGTTTGAAATTTTTCCATTGGTGACTGGGTCATGGTGTGGAAGGACTTCAAAAGTGAAGAAGGTAGGTGGCATGGCCCCGCAAGAGTTTTGATGGTAGAGCAAAATGCCATATGGGTATCTCATGACCAGGTTGATCCGAGTTGCCCCTGAACATGTTCGACTACTATCTAATCATGAACAACTTGTGGCTAGGAGCATTCAAGAACTGGGTTCGTCGCCAATCCAAGGGTCTGGGGTGTTTCAATATCAGGATTTGTCTCAACAGTCAGGTCAAAGACCAACCGAATCCGTTTCGGACCCAAGTCCTGACAGTGCATCGCTCGGACAGCCGGACCCTCAGATTGCTGGCAATCAGTCCGAGCCAACCGAAGGAGAGAGACCAAGGCCAGCTTCGGTAGGCACTGCACCCCAAATAATCCTGAAACTCTGATGCCAGACGCATCCCTGGTTCCCATTCCACCTGAAAGTGATGATGAACTCACGGTCGATTCAATTGATTTCGATACATGGAAGATTCATGGGAACTTTTTGATTCGTGTTCACAACATCCCAAGAATTCGACTGTTTAATCCTCGTACTGATCCATCGTGTCCTGTACCCCATGCCGCCATTCTTCCCGACCGATGGACAACTGGAAAGTACAGAACTGGTGATTGGTTCAAGATCCATGAAACATGGGAAAACAATCCGGAAAGTCATAGAACTCTTGCCGAGATATGGACCGGTCAGTCTGTTTTTGCCATCGATCCAACCAAAATGACTTCCGTAGGAAGTCACGAAACTCATCACATACCCGAAGAAGAGCATCCCAATGGGGGAAATCCCAACGTGAACAGGAACTGTTCCTGGCTTCTGCAGCGCAACGTCAGAGAGTAGAAGTAAAGATCAAAGACTTAACGCCAGAAGAGATCATTCAGTTCGAGAAGGCCAAAGATAAAGAGCTCTCTCAATGGCTTGCGACAGACACGGTCCGTCGCGTTTTGCGCCACAAGATACCTGAGGGACAACTCCTCAGGTCAAGATGGGTTCTGACTTGGAAACCGCTCGATGACATAGAGGCCGCCTCAACAGGACTGAGCCGTAAGGCTAAAGCCAGACTCGTCATTCTGGGATTTGAGGATCCCGCAATCGACAGTCTACCCACGTCACGTTGGGAAAGGACACCCGTATGCTAGCGCTCCAGGTCATCTCAAGTCACAGGTGGGAAGACTGCCCTCCTCGGCCTTGGCTTCATAATATCTCCATTGGACCCGTGCCTGTTTGTACTTCCCAAACGGAAAGTCCACCATCAAGATCCTAAGGGTGCTTGCGGTAAACACGGCATTTTTGGTGTCCATGTAGATGATGGCCTGGGTGGGGGTGATGCTGTTTTTGCTAAAGCCATTGATCAGGTCGAGGCCCGATTTCCTTTTGGAAGTAAGCGTCAACGGTCGTTTGTGTTCACTGGCATTCAGGTAAACCAAGATAGCAACGGTGACATCCGCCTTAACCAAACGGAACATATCAAGGATATCACTGGAATTGAGATTCCTCGAGAACGTCGCAAAGAACCACAGAATGCAGCCAACGATAAAGAAATCCAAGCACTAAGAGGCTTGATAGGTAGCCTTCAGTATGCTGCATCGAACACAAGGCCAGACCTGTCGTGTCGACTCAGCTTGTTGCAGGCGAAGATACCACATGCGACGGTTGGAGATCTGTTGATAGCGAATTGGTTATTAGAAGATGCAAAGAAACATGCTGACGTAGAAATTAGTATCCAATCTATGCCAACAGAGCAAGTTCGGTTTCTTTCATTTTCCGATGCTGCTTTTGCCTCGAGGGACAAAGCCCACTCCCAGAGAGGAACTTTCATCCTCGCCACAACCCCCGGGGTCGATGATAACCACGGTTCAAAGGTAAGTCCTATAGTATGGTGCTCCAAAAAGATCGCCCGTGTGGTAGCTAGCACCCTGGCGTCAGAGACATATGCTCTCTTAGGTGCTTTGGACCAGGTGAGTTGGATCCGATTACATTGGAATTGGATGATCGATCCTTCGACTGTTTGGAACAAGCCATCAGAGACTTTACCTCAGCTTCCTCCGGCATATGCCGTAGTTGACTGCAAGAGCCTCTACGACCTTCTCCAAAAGACGACTGTTCCCCAGTGTAGTGAGAAAAGGACACTTCTTGAAGCACTGGTGATCAAGGATCGCCTAAGGGAAGGAATAATAATTAAATGGGTGCACAGTGCTGCCCAAATGGCAGACTCTTTAACGAAAGAAATGGACACCAGTATCCTTAGAATCGGGATGGCAAGTGTCTCCTCAGGGATGTGGATGAGATTCTCAAACAGAGATCGGATCGTCGACTGCGTCAGACCTGGATGCAAAGCACCACCACCTCTCCAGGTGACCAAGCGTGCACCTTCTGTCAGGGATGTAATCTCCAAGATTACCAGACAGTTGTGCCTTCAACATGATGCAAAGACTCGTCAATCACCTCATCCGTGTGTGCCCTATGCATGATAGAGTACAATGGTACTGCGTTAATTCCAACTTTTAGTCCGTTTGAAAAGACAAAAGAGTTTTTTTTAGGAGTGTGATTTCAGTGGCCAAACCTTGCAACCTGGACTTTGAAGGGTACGCTGTCACATGAGAGGTGACACTCATCCGAGTGTCATGTGTTCGTGCCCGTGAGAAGAGGCTCAAGTCAGGGGGCTTTGGATGGTAGGCCGTGGACGGCCGTTCGCCCTTGGTCGTGGACGACCCTCGGAGGCTGCGGTGTGAGAAAGACGCGCCCGGGAGCGCTTGGTGGGTAGAAGTGATAGGTGAGGGAAGGGCGACGCTTCCAGTGTGGGGAATCTACAGATAATATATATATATATACACACGTATTCCGCACACTCGGTAGGACTCTGTAAATCTGTTCCATGAGTCTTGCTCGAGCCGTTCCATTGTCCGACTTGGCACACGGTCGTGACCCGGACCATGGGACCGTGGGGACGCGGTTGAACCGACAGTCTTCGGCCTCGCTTTCCACCACGGATCTTGGTCAGCCTGGCTGCGCGCAGGAAGGCGTCACAAGAAAACGGAGAACATAGAATGGCCGTCGCAAATGTCACAGTGAGACCTCAAATCGATAGAACCATATTTCATTTCTATTTCAACTGCACCCCCCCTGAGTAATCGTCTCATACCGATGATAGTCCCAAGCGACAGTCCCTAACATCCAACGTAACCCGTTCTGCCACGGAGCTGTTCTTCAGCGACCCTGAGCAATTCGTCGGGCTTCTCCTTGTTGTGGCGGAGACCAGGTGAACTAATGGACCAGTCACCCTCCCCCCCCAAGAGGGGCGCCATAAAATCAGAGTCACCAGTGAAAGGCGCATGCATGAGGGTTCTTCTAGACATGGTGCTTTGGACATTGAGAGGCTGGGTGTCAGTTGAACCCAAGTTCGTTCGAGATCCCCGACTCTGTTTGGGAATCGGTTTGTTGAATCAGCGTCCGGCCAACAAGATGTGTTTGAAGGACAGAAACTGATGTCTTTTTGGCCGATGACGTTCGTGGGGGGAAACACCTCCAGTGGAGCTGAGCGACTACTATGTTCTGCTCCAATCGCAGCCACAAAGGCTGCTGAGTCCCATTCAAGTTCTTCGCCGGATACACCTCAAAACGCAAGGTTTGCAGAGCCAAAACAAAGGGTTCCGGTCCCGGCCCGGGGGTGGGGCAAATCTCCACACTGCAAGCCTTACATACATTATTAAAGTGCACCGAAATATGATGGCATTAGTGTGTTTTTGGCCTCCAAGCGTCTCAAGGATCTCCATTTTTGGGGCCATGTACGATAATAACATCTTCTACAGGTGGGTCGAATGGACGGCCCGTCGATCCCGTCGATTCGTTCGCGGGATACGCCGCTGTTCTAAAAAAGTACGCGGGCAAATGAGCGTGGCAAGGTCGGCCACATACGGTTCCAGTCGGCCAAATCCGCCTTGTTGTGGCCAACTGCTTTGAGAATATCCTTGGCTCGGAGGCTGGAGGCTTGAAAGACGTTGGATACTTTTGGCCCGGAGGCTTTGCTCGGAGGGGCCTGTGGCGCTCGCGCGCACGTGGCAGGACAAGGCTCCACGGCTCCCTCTCTAGGAATATAGTTGTGGGAGAGGTGCAACCTCAAGGAAGGCAAAGCATTGCAAATCTGCACGGAGCATGGTTGTACAACTGTTTGGTTTCAGAAGCATGGGTCATCCAGAATTCTCAATGCACGGCGCATTCATGAATCTAAGTCTTCTCCATGAATTCAGCAAGGGCACTCAACGGCTGGAACCGGTGTAATTGTCAGCCAATCCATCATCGAACTGGCAAATGCTCGGCCCAAATGGTTTTTGAAGAGCTTGACAATTCGCACTGCCTCAAGGGAGTGTCTTGAAAAGGACAACGATCGGGTGAAGGACCGGTGAAGGATGGCGAACAATGCTTCTCCTCCCGAAAACGTCGCAGCATGTCACAGCATGTTTAGGTGCAGCTTGCAGGTGCAATCTTGTGCGTGAAAAGGACTCGGAGGAGCGCACGGCCACCCAAATCACCAATCATGTTGGCTGAGAAGTTGGCCTCCCGACCTGCAGAAACTGCCAATGCTGCTCACCGATGTCAAGATGACACTGTACATGTTCCATCTTCGGACTCCTCAAATCTGGCAAACATTTCTTTTTAACGGCAAAGCTTTCGAGAGGAATTGTGTGGTATTTTGACCCAAATCCCAAACTCAACTATTGATCCAACAGTCCGGAATTGCATAGTGATAAAGTTGGCAACCCCCTCAACGCGCACATAATTCGCTATCAAATCATATATATCTGGGCACGGACGGGGGACACGAAGCCTTCAGATCGGACACACCCGCAAGTCCAAGGTTCCCAGAGTCCCTATCTTTCGACCCTGTCCAAAGAACAGATCACCTGAGACCACCAAGCAGCTGCGCTAGTTTCTGAAGACGGTTCTTCTATGTTCTTCCAAATGATGGATCCGAAGGTCCGAAGACCAGGACTCTTGGCTCAAATCCCCTGGTTCCTCAAAACCCCGAACCAGGAGCCGAGAGTCCCAGCGAGTTCGGGGGGTCGGCGGTCGGCCCTCGATCCACCCGTCCCAGTGGCAAAGGAGAAAGCCGTCGGTTTCACGCCGCAAGCGCTTGTTGCGGACGAAATCCTCCAAGCAATCATCCATCCAAGAGCCTTGGACATCTTGGATGGTTGGCCAGGCATCGTGGGGTGGTGTATAGCATCAAGTTCGGTGAACACTTTGATTTCTGAGATGTTCTAATCAGAACCTGCACGGGTTGGGCAAGGGTCTGTATTGGTGTGTTGACCCTGCGAGTGCTGGATGATGGGCTGTTCAACAAAGACCCTAGCGGAAGGCGGAATTCTGCAACTGCTACCACACCATGGGCTTCAATGTAGGTATACCAGCACCCCACAACAAAGGTCTCCGTTTCCGGTGGCTGAAATGGAGACTTCACAGTGGCAGGTGGGTTTTCTGTGAAGTCGGAGTATATGTATACTGTATATTATACTATAGTTATTGCTATTATTACTATTACCCATTTATTGCTATTATAAGATTTATAAGTCGGAGTGTTTGAGTGTCACTGCTTGGATCGGGTATAATGATTGCTTCCTTCCACCTCTCTAAAAGGTAAGGAGGTGGGCTGCGGTTTTCGAGGTCTCGGTTCGCTTGGCGTTCGCTTGGCGACCCGGAGAGGTTCTTCTTGTTGAGTGCTTTTTACTACCGGACCATCCGAATGGGTGCCCAATGGAAGCGGCCCGGTGTTTGGTTGGGGACTCTGGATGGTGCAGGTAGGGTTCAGGTATGTTTTGCTCCCCTTTCGGCGCCTGGCTGAGGCTTGTATGAAGAGGCCCTTGAAGACTATAACCAGTCGATTGAGCATGACGGGAGCTATGCAGGTGGATGAGGTATACAAAATCGGCTGGATGGAAGTTTGGGTTTATGATGGTTTAGCAGCTTTATGTGCTTTATGTGCTCTCTGCAGCCATGTGCATCTTTGGCTTGAGCGATTGGGGCAAAAGGGTGAAAAAGCAGGGAACCAATCTCTGGAAGCGTTTCTGAAAGCTCTGTGTCCGAATCAACTCTTGTAGCTCCTTTGGTTCAGAACCGGACTCAGCACCCGCCTGCGAGCGCCCCATTGTTCACTTTGATCTGATCTTCCTTCCTTTTTTGAAGTCTCGCTGGCATGAATGCGCCAAAAAATGTAGGCTTGACAATCTGGTCAGTTCGCAAAAGCGAGGGTTCTCTTGTGTTCCTTGCAGTTGAGGTATTGCCACATAGGCAAGGTCAATGTTGTTGTCTGTTTTTTCACCTGTTCGTTCGCCCCACACGATTGGCACACCCCTTGACGGTCGACCAGTGCGGACTCGACCGGACTCGCGCCACGGCGCGTGGCCATAACAAGTATGATTTCGATCCCATGTGCGTGAAGAACTGCAAGCATTGCCAAACATCCAAGCCCCCGTTGGATTATCTCCAAGCGACACCACTTTTCCACACCTGCATCGTCCAGATTTCGGGATTGCATGCCAATGCAAAGCTGTCCACTGGACACCTCTGGCAGAAAGGCTTCACTCACCCACACTCTCTTGGGTTTTATGGTGAGCGCTTCCCATTTTCTGATGTGGCATGCTTGGGGAAATGAAAAGAACACAGGAGAACCATTCTCAGTCCTAAGGGCTGTGGCTGTGGGTCCATGATGTCTGGAATGCCTGGCTTGAACATTTAAAGTGTTTGAAACTGAGAGCTCAATGCTTGCCAGGGTGCAGTGAGACACCCTTCAAATTCCGATCTGCCGATCTGCTTCCTTGGCGCGGAGAAGGACCCTCCAAGAATCAACAATTATTTCTCTTGAAGGACTGTTGTTTCAAACATTGTGTCACATTTCGCACACTTATGTATGTATAGCATTGTGTAACCGTGTAACCATCGTATCCAGGGCGGCCGCTGCGAAAGTCTTGTGGGCAGGGGTTGTCCATGACATTCCGATGCCATCACACATTCAGGCTTTCTCTTCTGCCCGAGCTTCTCAGCCATGGTCAGATCGCTGAAGTACGGTGGGCCTGGAAGAGACAACGTGCACAGTCCACTGCAGAACATCAAGGAGTTCAAACGAGAACGCCCCTCGTGCTGCGTTTGACCATTTGACAATGCTATGCAGCTTCGGATGTGTTTGTTGCACTATGCACTATGGCAAAATCAGTTCCGAAATGCACTATGGATCACTATGGTATGCACCGAACGGATGTTTGACAACGCTATGCAGTTCTGTTCCCTCGCTCCCGCATGATCCCGGCAGAGTCCGTGCGGGGTCGTTCCCGTCCTGAGCGTATCCTGAAGGCATTTAGCTCATGAAGAGCAGGAGTGGACGAGAACCCTACTGGCAGCCCGGTGCGGGCAAGCGGAGTTCTGGTTCTATGTGCTGTTTTTTTTGGGGGGGGCCTCTGGAGCAATAAGGAGGTGTTTGGCTCATGAGTCCATGAGGCTGAAATCGGGCCAACAGGAAGAATGTGTTGATCTGGTCTCATCTGCTCTAAGTCTGCCACCGCTTCAGGTCTTTCAACGGTGGAAAGAAACACAGTGAGACTGCATGACTCACCTGCTGTGATGCTGCATGACTCACCCAGGCTGCAAAACTGCGGGACAGCAAGCACTGCCAACTTCAATCTGCTTGTCACATTTCCGTCACACAGCGGTCAGTGCAGGCTGAGGGCCAAGGGCGGCCGAGGGCATGGCTGGTCCCAATAGTTAGCGTCCTGGCACAGCTGAGGAGACACTCGTGCCGCTGAAGGCCCTCCAGACTCTGGACCTCTTTGTGCAGCTCCAGTCCTTGGTGCCCTCATCCAACTCGGTCTTTTCGATGCGAAGACGGAGGAGCAGTTCTTGGCCCATCCTTGGTGGTGAAAACAGGGACAAAAGAGTCAATCATGCACATGGGATACCTTTATTTCAATTATCGCCGTATATCATGTCGAGTCAGGATGCATACCAATTTAACCGCACCACAATCTTTTTTAAACTCTTCCACAAATGAAGCCAATCTAAATCAACACTGAGCGTTGTTATTTTCACCCTAAATGACCGGTTCTTTTCTTTGGATGTCATTTTTGTTCTGATGAGATGTCCTTTCTCTTGCTGCTTCTTTTGGCAATTGAAGGAAGCAATCTTTCAAAAACATCTCTAAAGTTCAGACCAACCGTTTGACAAACTCACAAAGGGCATTGATACACGACTATGCCCCCTCCTTATATGTTGATCCTTTGTCTCGGGCCGTTCTTGTAGCATTGCATGCCTTTGATTTTGTTTGTCATCTTGTTAGAGGATATTATTTCCGTCTTGTCTCTTCTACTCTCATGTCTCTCCAAACTCCTGAAACTTGTTGACCTTCCACCGTGGCGATGGGGGGCCCCTTACTTTCACTTGCAAGCGGATTGTGGTCCCAACCGGTCTTAGCTAAGTCATCCATTTCCATCAGAATAATTTTCATACGTTTGAGAGAACTTCACCAACCTAAAATTGACACTCCTTGTGTAGTCACCATCATTCGCCTACTATCTCTTACCTCGTGCTTGCTTTTTCTTCCTCCCTACTCTTAGACTTTTCATCACCCGATGGCACACGGCCCCAACAAAACACCATGGACACCGAATCTCCCACCTCAAACCACATTAGGCAGCCCACTCTTGTTGCTGAAATCGAGCTCGGATCTTCGCTCCAAGGGGCGACTCCCAAAGCTTGGTCAGGAGCACCTTGTTGGGTCCTCGGCGTAGATTAAAGAGTTGATCCCGAAGCCTCGCCGCGGGACGCGGACGTAGATTCACGCGCGAGGCGAGGCTAAAGGAAGGTGTGCAAGGAACCGTTGGAAGGATCGTTGGGCGATGTCTGCTGGTATCGGTATAGCATTGAGAGCCCAAGTGTATAATAGTATATAGATATATATATATATGTATATATACTGTATATATATATATACATTAGATATATAATAGACCCGTTGGGAACCACATGGAGCCCCCAGCTGGAATTGTGTCATGAACATCCTCGAGCAGAACTTAGAATCATCTCTGTTGGAAGGCACGGTGTCATTCTGCGCATGAAGACGTGCCAATGCTGCAATATTCTGTCATGGTCCCATTCCGGGAAGTACAAAGCTGGTACTGTAACATGAATTTAACTGATTTGAGTACTGCAATCAACAACATATTCATGCACCCGTTACCAATTCGTGCAAGTTTCCACGATTTTGCAATTTGTAATCCTTTGGTTTGACATGTTGGCATCAGCGCAATTCACACGCAAGTGGCAAGTGCATCTATTTTCCCTCCGTCAGCAGCCAGCGTTGAGTCCCACAGGCTCTCTAACCAATCAATTCCAAATGATTTCCAGCGCGCTGTGGTCGGAAACTTGCCTGAGCATGTGCGGGGAAACTGCAGAAACTCTCAAAATATCTTGCCATCGTATCCCAACATGTCCCAAGGACATGTCTCTGATCATCCCTCACCAAACACGATGCCGGAAACAAATCCAAGCCACTGATATTTGTATAGCTTGCGATGCTCAGCTGAAGCAGGCATGTGGTCAACTCGTGCGTGAGAACAAGGTTTGTCCTTGGTAACTCCGAATGCGAAGGGCAGCTGAGGGAGTCAATTGGAGGACCTCCCAGGTATGATGCGGGCTGAAATGAGTTTACGTCACGGCTTTCATCCTAACTTGCTTCATCTGTAGGCTTGAAACATCTTGAATCATCGCTAAGATCGGAGGCACCTTGCGACCCATGAATGATTCACCAAGCCACAGAAAAGACATGATCGATGACACGGGGATGACCTTGTGATCCGGGCTTGGTGAGCAACGTTTCCAAGGGTTTGCCCGTTGTCTCGTCGACCTGAGGATGGCATGTCCCTTTGCAGGACGCCATGAAAAAGAACGAATTGGTGCTTGCAGCCATCCCTGAATGCAATAATGTAAATCATACCATATAAAGAACATATTAATATTCTCCACCAGGGAATCGTCCGAAAAATCCACAACTTAGCAAGCTAAGCTGCGCATGCAAATGTTGGAGGGGACTTGGGATAGACATCCACCAGCTTCAAGCGGCGAAGCCTCAAGCACGTGTGGCGCGTGCGGCGAAGCACTCAGCGAGTGCTGAAAGTGCCGGCAGCTGCCAAGTGGCGCATCCTCTCGAAAGCGAGTGAAAGCAAGAGAATCCTGAGGGCAAGCAAATACTTTGCATTATATTGCGTTATAACTTGCGTTATATATGCACACATACATAATATATATATATATATTTATACACATGCACACACACACACACACGTTTGGAATGATGCTCCAACCATTTCCAACCCATGCTTCATGATCATGCATGCTCGCAGCCAATTGATTTAAGGATCCTTGCTCACGTTGAAGTCGCCGCAGAAGATTCCTGAGCACACGCCAAACATGCGGTTCAGCCAGTTGGCACCGTGGTGTGGAGTTGGGCCTCCCCAAAGTTTTCCCTTCAAAGGCAAAGTACAATATGGATCAATAATGATCAATATGGGTGTGCATGAAAATAGGGAGACCTCCCAGTTCGACTGCTTGGAAGAAGGGACATAGATCTGGCTATACCCATCTGTTCGACACCGAGACCATGATGCCTGTGTACTTCAAGACCTTGAAGGGGCGCAAGAGAAGGGGTGGTTCGAGCTATCTCCTACGTGATCAGAGTGTGAGGGCGGATTCAGCACGAGCTGATATGTCGACCCAGTTGAGATGTTTTGTACAGTTTTTTAAGTGGCTGGCGCAGCTTTTTCAGTACGATACCTTTTCGTGCTATAGAGGTTCAGTTCAGAAGCTCGGTTACCTGAGCCAAACTACATATTTTCATCAGTCGTTGCAACTTCCCTCACAAGAGCGTGTTTCACATGCTCTTTTGGATTTCTTTCATAAAGATGCAAAATCCACACATAATTTGAAGCATGTTTGGCGCCCTGTTTAGTCGGTGCCTATGACTCCCAATTGTGTCTAGTGTACGCTCTGCTGACACTGTCACCACCTGCGTGGCAGGTACTAAACTGCAAAGGCCAAAATTAATGATTGGGCCAGGGGGTCTCTTGTTCAAATGCAGACCCATATAGATGGATCAAGTGGGGAACATGGAGGAAGGATGTCCTTTGGCGACCCCTCTAGCAGTTCCCAGTGGCGCTGGTCCGCTCCGCGCGAGAAGGCTTCAAAGCGAAGCAGGGCCTGTGACACCGTGGACGCGGGAAGTCAAAGGGAGCTGGACGCCAGCCATAAGCTACTAGTAACAAGGAGGACGCTTGGAGATCTTCCCAGATCCTGCACTCTTCCCCTGAAGCGGACCGTGGAACACCACCCAGTAGTGGACCTTGGGAGTGCGGCCCGGTTAGATCCAGCTGTATAGGATAAAATCATATAATGATATACATAATTCAACAAGAAGCTACGAACGGAGGAAAGGGCATCGCTACTAGGAGCGATCGGACGCTACGAACGGGGCTCCTGGCATCGCTACTAGGAGCATTGTGTGACTACTAGTAACAAGAAGCTACTAGAAACAAGTGCCACGCTAGTAGTAACAGGTGCCTTACTAGTAGTAACAAGAAGCTACTAGTATTTTCTTGTTTTCAATCGGGTGGCTTCTTCACCCGTCCCAGGTCGCCTCAAGGAGCTGGTCCAAGCCCACGGGGTTCACGGCGGAGGCCTTGTTTTGGGACACGCCCACGCCCGTCTCAAGGACTTCCAGGCCTCCGCCGGGGGTCGGTTCCAACCGTTTGGGGGTTGAACGTTTTCACCCATGGAACGAATGGGGCGCCGGCTCATGGATCGAATGGGGGGCCTAGGCGACCTAGCTAGGGGCTGATCAACGGTCGCTAGAGAACCAGTTGATCCTGTTCAAGGGAGCAATAGGTACCCAAAAATCCGCGTGGTGAGTGTAGTGGGCTCAAGAGTCCAAGGTTGACGCGGTCGGTCTTCAGCCTTCTTGGCTACATGACTTGTCTGAATTGCCAGTGTTTCAGGTAATCGCCTGCTATCCCTGTACTTGGGTGAAGGATGCACAAGCGCATCTCAGCACATGCCAGTACCGCACCCACACACCACGAAGGCCATCAGTAGCACATAGTGACATAGTTGCCCTATGTCAGCCCAAGGTCCAGTGGTGGTCAGAGGTCAAGGTCCCTTTTTTTTCGCGCAGTGGTGATTCATGGTCGTCCTACCCAGCTGGCCCCCGGCCTGGCCTGCAGTGGTGTGGATATTCAAGACTGAGATGCGCTTGCCTTCGGGACCTTCCAGCTCGACCATGAGAAAGCCACGTTGGATGGCGCTCCACTCGAACCAGGCTTGTCTTGAAAAGGAGGAGTATTCACTCCTCACAGGGCTTAGTAAAACCATGGAACGCATTGGAAAACCATATCATAAAACTGCGCTGCCTGCGCTACATCTTGAACATTCTTGAACCAATCAATCAACTTGTTGCCTCCTCCGGTTCTGTGACACACCAAAACACCGCAGGTCCTGACAATGGGATACTTGGAGAAAACGCCCAATCCAGCCGCAGCAAATGTCGCTGGCCAGTCTGGCCTGAGATCCAAGGCACCCATGGTAAATGCCCTTGTTACTAGTAGTAGTGATGCCCTTGTTCCTGGCAGCTTCTTGTTACTAGTAGCGATGGCCTCCACCTGTAGCTTCTTGTTCCTAGCATGAGGTAAAAATGAGTCCAACGGTTTCAATTAACACTCCTTAGCCTTAGCCATCCTCAGCCTTCTTTATTGCATTCTCCCGATCATCGATTGTGGCCTACATGTTGAACAATTGTTTATATAAGCAAAAGGCACGTCATTTTTATATCTGGTGCATGTGAACCCCCAAGCCAGTCAAGTCGAACAAAGAGATGGAACCCACCTCCGGCTTTTTCATCGGCCGAGTGACCATCTCCCGCTCGAGGCGAAATGTTTGAGACCGCAGCTGCTGGCATGTGCCCGAATGAGGTCAACGAAGGAATCAATGCCCCAAAAAACGGTGAGCCTGAGGAGGCCGGGTCGCCGACGTCAAATAGCGAAGCCAAGCGTCCTTTGCAAGGAACCAATCAAGGAATTGCAGGCAGGACGCTCTTGAAGGCAAACAACATCCTGAGAGTGGGCAGCTTCAAGCACACAGGCTCACTCGAAAAATGCAACGTCAACTGCATGACAGTTCAAGTTATTCTACTTTTGTAACCCTGTTGGCACACACTACGGTCAAATGAGACAACTGCATCGTATTATTCGGACATTTTGAATGTGCTGTCCATCTATGAGTCTATGCGCTCAGTCGAGTTGTGCGCTACCAAACACAGCAGTGACATGCTGCATGCATGGGTCAAGTGCTGGGAATGCGAACCTGCCGTCGAAACATGCCCGAACATCTTCACAGGTCCCAAGAAGTACCTGGACGGTCCCAAGAAGTTTGGATAAAAAACTACGGGGCGTGGCGGTTGTGGCACTTCGTGGGGCATAAATCATAATAGTTTTGTGATATTTCTGTCAGCAACCCAAGCATCATAGTTGGGTAGCAGCTCAACGAAGCGTTGTATTCGATACTCTTGTGCGTTATGAAGAAATTGAGGTGCCACCAGCTGAAGCACCTGAGGTGTCAGCTTTCGGCTCCACTCAACAAGCTCCACGGTTGTTGCTGCACCGCAGGCTCCGCAGGCAGCCAAGTACTTGGAGTTTCTCTATGGTCGAGGCAAGCCACAATTACAAGTACTTGACCACAGGGGATCATTGCAAGGTAGAGAAACCCCACGCCTCAGGCTTCAGTTTTTGCGGTGATTTCATCAAGCACAATGATTTGGACATTTGGATTTCCCAGTGCATCGGTGGGGCAACACATGCCAGAAATTATCCCATCCCCGATGTCCGGCAGCAGCGGCAACGGACTTGCATGAAGAAGCGCACCTGTCTGGTACACACCCAAACTCAGGGTCAGCTGTCTGGCACACAAGGTTTGGTGAATGCCTGCAATAAGAAGAGACAGAGCATGTGTGAGGTACCAGCAGTTCTTCATGCCAACAAGCAGGTATGCCAACATACCTGAGCAGCAGCACGAGTCGGACCTTTGTATGACCCTCCCCAGCAAAACAGGTGACACATGATTAGGATTGATATCCTTCCCCCCATGTATTTTTACATGTGTGTTGAAGCAACCAGAACTCAGGTAGCCTGGGGCTGCCTTTCTTGATTTGGTCGATCTCTGCATGATTTCATGCGAGTTCCCATGCCAAGTCGCACAAAGCCAACGGGTGAGAAAAGTCAAACCTCGGAATAAAACACTCGCATCTGAAATTCCAAAGGGGAGTCTAGAAGGAGCAACAATGGGTTCAACAATCTTCAGTAGATGTCATGCGCACATAACAAATGCCTGAGCATGTCGGAGTCTAACTTTATGCATACTGAAAAACAGTGCCTGTTCTCCTCTTCGGTGAATGTCCGTGGGAGCATTCCACTACAGTACTACAATTTTTCCACAAACAAAAAGCCTGGAAACAAACTGGGGCAGCGACACTCTCTGCCGCAAAAAGCTCAGACTCAGAACCAGGATTGTTGCAGTGACAAAGCCGAAAATTCCGCACACGACGGTGTGCTTCACACAGCCGCCTCAGCACAAATGAGCAAAATTATCTCGCAGGGATACGCAAGGCCTCGCAAAATCCAACGTGACACTGGGCCTCACATGCGATGCCGCCCAAGATGCTGGCACAAATGGACCCACTGGAGATCATACATAGGTTGGCGACCAGAAGTTTCCTTGGAACTAGGCAGGCGTTAGGCAGTTTGGGCACAGAACGCCGCCCCCACAGCACCAATCTTGCCAGCCAAAGCTCATAGGCAACACAACAGGCTCCACACCAATAGCCGCAGTGATGGAACAAGTGACACGGAATGATCGATTCAGCGATTCATCACTACCACAACATGGCCAAGAACACTAGCCTTTTGCTCTGGAGATGTCTTTGGGACTCTCTCTTTCTCTCTGTCTGGGCCCTCCCATTTCATGTGGACGCATGTGAAACAACATGAAACAACTGCGTTTCATGCAAAGCAACCGAGTGAGCGCAGCTTGTTTCTTGACTTTCTACCGAAAACAACTGAGTTCATTCGTTCTTGCAGCTATGAGGCTGCATCTTATGTCAGTCAAACATAAGCATTGCTACGGAAGTTCCACTGATCTGTTAGCAGCTCATTCTTCGATCTCTTGCACCACACTTGAGCAGTCACTTGGGGCAGGTAGAGGTGTGCACCTTCTACTGCTCATGCCAAACATGCAACTACTAAGCCATTGATGTGGTGGATACCCCAAGGACGCTTCTAGGGGCTCATCGCTACTAGGAGCAAGGACGCTACTAGAGGCTCCTGGCCTTACTACTAGGAACAAGAAGGCTATGTGGTGGATTCTTAGTGATCCTCTTGGGCCATGCCTCAGGTTCGCTGGCACACTTTGAACCCCCGGCAACTCCAGCCTTAAATCACAGGCGGCCATTCTGTTGACATCCGGTTGCACACAATTTTCTTGATTGCAGTAAGGCTCCCGCAGTTTTTCCAAGCGTTGGTAAGGAGTCAAAGCCTCCAGCAAACTCAAACGGAGACTCTCTGGGTAGTAGTTAGGCATCACAAATCATATCAAAGCCCGCAAAGCCAACAGCTCTTCGATCAAAAACCCGTGTCTTGTCCCCTAAGTGGGTTCAGTTCAGTACCAATGGCACACGCACAAAAAACACACACAAGTGTTGAGAAGCCCTTAGGATCCTTTTGGAACGTTCCTCTTTCTCATCATCACCACGTGATGATATGTGTGGCCGCATGGTATTTTTTTCTGCATGGGTCGCCCACCTGGTCCTTGAGGATCGGCAGGATCTTTTCCACGAACTTGACGTCTCGGACGGTGAAGAAATCGGCAGGTGATATCTAGTTAGGCTCAGGGCATCGAGCTAGGCAAGGCGCTTGCGGCAAGGCGCGATGAAGAACAGAAGTGTTTTAAGAACTGCTGGGGCATCTGGATCGGTGATCGGATCGACGGCTGATTGGTGGGAGACAGCGTCATGGTTCTGAGTACGGAGCAAGGGGATCCGAGCAAAATTGATCAAACAGGCTTTTGAAAGGCTTGCGACCGTATGCCACCGGAAGGGCAGGAGAAGAGACCAAAAGCCTGCACGAAATGACCTCAACGAAATGATTCCAGAATCTCTTCTAGGAAGGCTTGGACCCTTCCTTTAAGTCTTTTCCGCAGGCCAAGGCTTGGAAGCTTCTTTTCCCGGCACCCGATCTCCATCGAGTTCGACCCTCCGGTGGCACCCTCCGGTGGTCCAAGAGCTTTCACCGCGTCTCGACCCAAAGGTCGGTTAGACCTGAGGCGAAGAACACACCGCGAACAACGGGACACCACCGGGGAATGGGGGATGAGTCTGGGGGGGTTCCTGATTTGGGTTCGAGATTGGTACTATTATGTACTATCCCTGGGAGTCAAAGACAAAAAGAAGAATTGTCTTTAGGTGACCCGAAAAGAAATATCCTTTACTATATCTTTACTTCAGTCGGTCCAACTATAGTCTTTGGACTTCTAGGGATATTGCATGATTTGTATTGATTTGTTCTCTGCCCTCAAAATCTATTGAACTCTGAGGGAGTTTTCGTGAGCTCAGGCTCGGACTTGTTAGCACCTCGGGCATGGACTTGTTAGTGTTGGGAGGCGGTGCTCATGCTTATCATGTTTCAGATGAGTCATCCAATTGGATCAATCTATCATCAGCCTATCCAAAATCTTGAACCCCTTCTCATGCGGACCCTGCTCTGCTCGAACCATCTCCAAGCAGTCCGCAGTTCGACTCAGCTCAGAACTGTCCAGGAGCATGGCAGGTGTAAAGCCCTGATCATCCATGACCTGGCAGGTTGGGAACCAATCTCCACAATTCTTCTGGACATTTTGGTCATCCCGAGCGATGCATATGTATCAGCCAATCACTTGCCAAACAGTTGGCAATGTGAGTGGAGCGCAGGCATGTGCATGTGCAATAGGGACTCCAACTTATGCTTAATTTATATTCCCTGTTAATATCACCCCCTGCAGTCGCACCCATGCATCACCCCCCCAGGCAAAGGGTGATAGAGCTCTCTTTGAGTCCCTCGGTCACCATTTTTCATCCATCTTCAGGCTCCTTTGTTCGCTTCAGCTCCCGTGGCTTTTGACCTCGATCTGTGGGTGGCTTTCATGGCTCGAGCGGCTAGCACAACAGTAGCACACTCAGCCAGGGATCCGGCCATGCGATGCCTGGTCCAACAGCCACTGCTGGAAGTTGGTGCGGTCTTCGATGCTAAGTTGAGCCAGCCTTTCCTTTCCTTGCAAGGCCAAGTTTGGAGTGGCCACCGCAGATTGAAACAACCGTGGACGTTTTAGGCTTCTCAATAGATGGCCTCTGCATCCAAGTCTCTTGCAAAGCCCTTCATCTGAGAGAGCTCTACTGCCAGCGCCTGGCACAGAAGCGCATTGAAGCAAGGTGCTGTAGGGATCCCTGCACCGAAAGGCGTTCATTTGCGTGCCTCACCAAACCATCAACAACTTCCTACATCATAGATTCATCACGACACGAACCATCAATGCAACACAAGCACACACACATACAAGACATGACACAAGTATTCAAAACCCGTCTAAACCAATGCCCAGAACCTTGACACCAGTTAGCAAAGCTCAGCATATAGCTACACAGTAGTCTACACAGTACCCGATCACTGAACACAAACAGCACAACAGCGTCCGGCCTGCCAGCGTCTTTGCTCTTTCTTGATGAAGGCTCGTAGCTGCGCCCGCTCCTCCCGCTCCAACAGAGCAAGAAGGACGGGAACACCGCTCGGATCTTCAAAGAGACCACAGGAATCAATCAACAATGTTTAAAATACATGAGCAAACATCAGTCAATCTTTATCACTATCTAAATACAAATAGGTTCAGGTTCATGATGGTTCATGATCCAACACCACCGGCCACCCCTAGAACACAATCTATGTCTGTGTGCAGCTCGTGTCGAGCCTCAGGTCCCAGGGCTTTGAGCAGCGCCTTTCGATTCTGACCGCAGGAATCGTGCAAAACCTGGGCAGCCCAACAGTGGCCGACACTCTCACAAGCAGCAGCCTAGGGCTAGGTGAGTGGAACACAGTGGAACGATTGAAATTGCTTCGACAAGTCTATCAGTCTATCCTTCCGTCCGTCCGTCCGTCCGTCCGTCCGTCTCTCTCTCTCTCTCTCCCTCCCTCCCTCCCTCTTCCTATCCTTTTCATCTCACTCCCTGCCCTCAGTTTAGCCACGTTTAGCCAAAGTAGGGGATCGATGGGTCCAAACTCTGACCCTTGAGGCCCGACTGGTGCGGTGCGGGATAAACATCCTTCCTCGCCGTGGAGCACTGCGCCAGTGGAGCCGCTCGCGCTGCCGTTGCCGCGCCGTCCCCGGGGAGTGGGAGCTCCAAGGACAGCGCAGGAGCTCCACGGACCACTCCGAGGCATCAGGCCGCTGGCGTCGAGCTTTCAGGGTGACCTTAAAGAATTCGGTGATCTTCAAAGAAAAGAATTCTTCAGGTTGATCTTCATTAGGATCTTCAAAGATTTCAAAGTTAAAAGCAAAGAATTTGTCTGTTTCTTTTAATGTTTTCAACTTTTTTTTTGGGGGGACTTACTGTGGACCCAAGAAAGAAGCATAAAGGCTTCCATCCTTGTCATCCTGATGTCCCGGTGGAGATCAACACGCCCAATCTGACCCGGGGTGAAAACGCTCGTGTGACGATCCGCTGGCTTAGGCATTCGAAGGCTGCCTGCCCACTGACGTCCGAGGCTATGGGCGCCCGGGTGATCCAGCGATGTTGGAAGTTGGGAGCTGGCGGGTTTGCTGCGTCTCCAGGGTCGGGCTACACATAGGGGACTGGGGCAAGTGTTTCCAACCGATGTTCGACAACACCATTTCCAAACGTTTCCAATAATACTTACTTCCAGTACATGATAGACAAACAACGACAACTACAACATGACCTCAAGCAAGGTCAACCCAATAATCACAAAGACTACCGGAAAATCCCTTTTTGTTAGGGTATTCCTGAGCAGTCAAGGAGCCGAACCTTTGTGAACTGCCAAGCTCTCACGCTCAGTGGGGTCCAATGGCTCTGCCAAAGCCCAAGGATCTCGTCCGGGTGGGACGTAGATCTGCTCCAAAAAGCGGCCAAAGGAGGGCATGTCCAGGCAGCTTCCATCCTGGAATCGAACGAATCGCTGAAAGAAGTGAGACCCGCCGATGCTTTTCGGGTGCTTGATTTGAGACCCCTTTCGCCCAAAAAAGCTAGGCTTTGTGGGGGACCTTTCACATTACGTTGATCCCAGTCCCAGTGAAAGTTGCGAGCCAGGTTATCCATTCTTATTCTTAGCGGGCGAGTTCACAGAACAGGCGCGCACGGGAGCCCCAAGTGGCCCTTTGAACCCCGTCACCGCTGAAGAAAGCTGAGCCGCAGGGTCAGCAGCCCCGAATTTCTGAAGGTGCTCTTGCGCGGGCGACGCCCAGCTGATTTTCAGTATGTAGGAGGGTGTAGGGGTCTGCAATGGCTAATTGAACCCATGCTAGTCAAGTCTTCCAGGTTTCGCTGGTCAAGCCTTCCAGGTAAACATGGCAAATCCTCACAACGAACTGAGATCCCTTCGCCGAGAAATGTCATGGATGTTTCGACTCGGAAGTTCCTCAAAATAAGGAACGAACTTGAATCAGGAACCCATTCAGATCAAAGTGGTGGGCTGGGAGGCGCTGAGTATATATAGAACCTCCATGTATTTATCGAAAGCATGAACTCCCCGGTCACTGTCCCAGTGTAACATGCCAAGTGTCGATGGGCACCCAAACGCTCGAGTCATCCGTGGGTTGCGCTTGTACTCCGGGCGCATGTGGCACGGCAGCCACGGTGATCTTGGCTTCCTCGGAGTACTCCACTCCCCAAAGGTCGCTGGTGCCCGCCACTCGGATCCAGTCCCCTTGCCTGGAGGCGGTGTTTCACAGAACGCACCGCAAAAGAAAAACAAGGTCTCAAAATGTTCCAAACAAATTCTACACCTTTAAACCTTAAACATCATCAATCATAAAACTTCAATTTAGAAGGATATACTACACCTTTAACCTTAAACATCATCAATCATAAAACTTCAATTTAGAAGGATATAACTTATAACTGCCACACGGACCGTCGACCCAACATCAGTGTCTTCATCTATCTCCAGGTTTTGCAATGTTTTGCCACTGCATTGGTGCTTCCTCCTGTTTGCCCCCAGTTTCCGTCTAAAAACGTCTAGCTTTACTGCCACAATCTGCCACCCTGTTCCCACCTCTCAGCTGCAATGAGCACCTCGCCCGGGGAAAACTCCCCAAAGGCTTGGCCATTCGGGCTGGGCTGCTGGCGGCTCTTCACTGGATCCAAGGATCTCACGCGCCAAACCTCCTTGGTTGGGTGGCCCCCCCGGTTTGTGTGGTTGGGTGGCCGTTTGTGGTAGGTAGTGATGAAGCCAAAGGTCCAGGAAAAACCATAATTAAAGAAACAAGGATGAAAAAAAGCTCGAACTAAGGTTCAAAAATGGACTCAAAGACTTGGTCTTAGGCGCCCGAACCGCTGACATGTCGTGTCTTTTTTTCTGCAGTGATCTGTTCCAGTGCAACACTACATTTTCTTGACATGAACATTTTCGTGTGATGCAACACATCAGGCTTGACGCCGGACTGGATTAGGCTCGAGTCAGCGCCAAGGGTGCATCCTTGTACAACCCCACTGTCTTTAAGGGCTTTTAAGGAAAAACTGATGAACACCGCCATCTTCCCATGCTACTAGGAACAAGTGCATCGCTTCTAGTACCAAGTGCCTTACTAGTAGTAACAAGGTTCGCTATTAGGAACAAGGGCATCGCATCCTCTGGTTCGTTTGTCTTTGTTGCCCGCCCTCTGAGCAGCCCTGCGAGGCCGATCTCTTCAGCCCGTGCTCGTTCCGCTTGTTTGAACCGGTGGTCGGTCTCCAACTGCCGCATGGCCTGGGACATATGGCAGTCATACAATGGCAGTCATAGCGCAAAAGAAGGGAACATGGTAGCCAATGGTCGGCCAATGGTTCCTCTTCCTGGGACAATCTCAGAAGGTCGTTCAGCCTTTTCATCTGGATCTGCTCCAAGTAGGTAGTCCTGCCAAGGCACAAATGCAACATGCAAAGCGACCACAATACCTGGGAAATCTGGGAAGGCAGCTTGGTTGTGATTGTGGTTGCGCTTCTGTTTCTTCTTGTTGTTGATGGTGTTCTTGGTGGTCAGAAGCCTCATGGTCGGAGTTTTGCAAGATCTGAATGCCAAGGATGAGTGAGTTTATTGACTCAGAACCTTGGACTTTCAGCAAGTTTGACACCTGACTCACAGAAGCACCAAGTGTTGCCACAAACATGTTGCCCCTTCCCTCGGACGCTTCGGACGCATTTTTCGCAACAGTCAAGTGTTCACTCACGTTCACCCCACCATGCCCTCCAAACACACTTTGGTCAACTCGGTTTTAGCGATCCACCGTCCTGAAGCGGTTCCAAGTCACCGTCACCGTGGGAAAGCCATGCCCCTGCTGAGAAGGGTTCCTCGCTGTGCTCCTTGGAGTGTGGAGGTTCCAAGTGTTCCACGTTTAGTGGAGACTGAGTGTGCCCAGGGCTCGTGCATAGGGAGCCTTGAGGAAAAGGATCGAACAGGTTTTATATACAATTATATATATAATATATATGTGTGACTATATTAGGGATTGTTATGGTGCACTTGAAAGAGGTGCTCTGGCATATTTGGTTGCGCAGCTCGGTCTCGCGACTGGCGGCTTTTGGCACTAACTGCTTTGCAAGGAGTTGTAGCTTGACTTGTAGAATCCCGCTGCATCCATGACCCATCTCAGATCTCAAAGAGCCTGATTTGCCTGATTTTTCGTGGTTCTATCATGTTTCGTCCATCCTCCGGCTCGCGGGGGGGCCGTTTTGGAAGCCACACCCGCACGGAGCATCTGGGCGCCTGCTGCACTTGCCAGTACTTCCGGAGCATCTGGGGGCCTTTCCTTAGCGTGCAAATGAAAGGGTTCATACTGTCTTGTCCCAGGTTGTTTTGACATGTCTTGGGGATGACCTAGGTAGTGGTGCCCAAATCAATCAACATGAACATGATTCTTCCAACGTATCCAAAACGTTGGCTTTCTATTGAGTAACTCTCGATCCTGCTGAGTGGCAGAAGCATCTCCTCTGGGACCTGCTTGCCTCCGAGGTTGTTCAAACGGGCTAGTAGACCTGGCCAGCATCCAGGCAATCCCGAGAAGTGCCGCTTCAACTGAGTGGCCGTACTGACTTGGGAGCTCCATCGACCAAATCTCCGGTCGCTTCGGTTTGCTGCTGTTCTGGAAGAATAAGGCATTACAACAATAGTCTTGTCAGGCTAGTGTGCAGAACAATTACATAGGGAATCATAGGGATATATAAGGGGATAAGGCACATGACTTGGGAATGCGTGAATTCCCATGTATGAATCCCATATGATCCGAAGGTGGTATACCTGAGTAATGCTATCGTGCTCCTGAAGATCGAAACCCTCAAGCTTCATGAGTGAGTTCAATTTTTTCCCTTCCGGTCACCAGTCTCTTTGAAAAACAGAATAAACCTCAAATCAGTTTCAATATCGAATCAAATCTGGAGGTGCGGGAGGTGTCAACAGCTTTAAAATCACCTCTTGATCAGCCAGCCACTTCATCTGCGACATGGCTACGTGCGGGTCAAACTCCCTGGATATCCTCAACGGTCTACATCCCGAGATCTGCCCGCTCATGTTAAAGTGCTGACCATGACGATCTTGGATATAACAACCCCAATCCTCACCTCACCAAGGAAATGTCCGGGGTACAGTAGACCCTCCAAAGAACACTGATTCGCAAAAACAAGTTCATGTTTGCAGCGCCCTTTTTGACCCCCTGGGTTTCCTGTTCCAGGACCATCCGGCTTGCAGCGATCCAAGGCACCCGTGGAGACCAAGGCCTTCTCGGCCAAGCGCCGGCACTCTTCGTCCGAGCCCTGCCATGCAGCATCACAGTGCATAAAGAGATTGCAGCCAGCGGCCACTCCACCTGACGGGAGGATGGAACTCCTGTGTTTTTCATCTGAGCACTCATCGAATTCAAACCAAGAGGAGGTCACGGAATTCCCTGCACTAAACATTGGCAGTTTGGGAAGCATTTCTCCTGCGAGCGGCTCAAAGCTTAAACCCTTCAAAAGGAAAACGTTAGCCCAACATAGGCATTGGAAAGGCCTAACATAGGCACCTCGCACCAGCGGATAGCAGTTGACCCATGACGGTGCTTTTCAACTTCTAATGTCAATACCCCCAACGCAACCAGGTCTCCTACGCCGCCCCAGAGTTCTCATACCTGCGCTCCAGAAATCCCAAGGCACCTTGCCCGCAATGATCAAAATAGGCTTGGGCACTTGGGAAAGCTAGTACTTGTGGTGCTGGCTCATCCCAAAGCTCTGCCACCGCAGCCTTCGTGAAGAAAGCGCCCCTTCTCCCTCTCGCTCTCTACATTGCCTTCTCCACAAGTTTCGATGAAAGAAGTCACACCCCACTCCCATATGCACTCCCACAGCGTCTCAACAGCTGAGGCTTTTCCCCCGCCCTCGTACCCAATTCCAGAGCCAGCTCAGCCATATCATCCACATCTAGGGCTTCAACCTCTACAAGACTATATAATGTTCACATCACATGAATATATAAACCACGAGTCAACTATAATCCTGATGCCTCTCCAGCCAAAAGCCCGCCAATACTTGTGTACTGTAGTTTGATCTCAGTAAACCTAGCTTCTTACTCCGCACAAACTTCGCAATATCAATACTTGCGTAAATCTGACCCAATACTCGCGCAAATTGACCTCTAAGAAAGTCAATAATAGTCACTTGAGAGGAGGGAGACACGAAAGGTAGGACAGCGGGAAGAGAAGAGAACGCGAGAGGCAGGAACAAAAATGCAATGTTCGACATGGTGATTTATCCCCTCGGAGGCGACCTTTAGGCGACCTTTCGTAAATATATGTTCATATGCACTCTAAATGTTCAAACATATGCTCTCGAAATGTTCAAAAAGGTTCTTAGGAAAACAAACTTGCCCCATGGCTCAGATCATCGGTGAGCATTGAATCGGAACATCATAGGATTTGAACTATCCTGAAACCATAAGAGGCTCACGAAGACGCTCCCCAGGAGAGAATTGACGTGCTTCACAAAACAAACTCTAGGTATGTATCCCCTCGGGGAACACCTTTCGTGATTAGAATTTCATATTCACTCTTTCTGAATGTTCAAGAGGGTTTCAACTATCCTGAAATCATGAGAGGCTCACGACGAAGACGTTCTCCAGGAGAGAATTGATTTTAGAGGGGGGGAGGGGGGGGGGGGCTGTATGGAAAATCAATTACAGGGGGGGGGGGTGGGGGGGGTCTGAATTGAGCGATCAATTATTAGACCCGGACGTCCCAACACTTGCTTCGCAAGACAAACTCAAGGTATCCCCCAAAGGGCTACCTTTCGTGACCTGTTGTGCCTGAAAAAACTACATGCTCTTGCGACTTGACCCCAACAAATCTCAATTACTCCTCTTATTTGGCTTTAGAAACTTGTACAATGAATGTAATACTGCTAAACAGTGGACGAGCTGACTCGGCTTCAGCCTGCCAATCTGCAAAGGTTTGCAGCACCAACAATGTGATGTCATCAGGCTTGGCATAAGCCATGTCAATCAAGCAAATCTGTCGGATTTCCTTGGCCATAAATTCAAACGCAGGAGCACGCGGAGCACTCATTCATAACTGTTACAGAATCGATGGTCAAACAACTTACAGTGAAAGTAGTGAGATGCGACTTTTCCAAAGCAACCCATAGATTGGGGCTTTCCATATTAAACCATAAACCCACATCGGCAGGTCGAAACGTTGAATACCTGGCCAGTGTGGCAGGTTTAAATGTTCCACAAAAAAATCCTAGGCAGCCACTATTAGTCGACTCCACTCTGGCCGTGGATCGATACCTTCAGCACGGATCCGCTCCAGAATTTCGCCTCAGTGATGGCGCTACACGGACCGATGCCTTTCTTTGGTTGTTTCCACTTGATGGCTTAGGGCCAAGGGACTCAAAATATTGTAAATGGCCACAGCACTGCACCCCTGGGGTTTCTCGATGATGCATCTGCAGTATCTATATAACCGACGCTTGAGTTACTTCTGAACGACACGCAGCCGCCAAGTCACAGTCCCAGAGTAGGTGTCCACTGCCCAAAGATGCATACTGCAGTCCATCCCTCCACCAAGCAACATCCTGCAAGCATGTGGCAATAGAGGTGCTCTACTAGGTGCTCTTCATATCCTGAGTTTGTACATTGTTCCCGCATCTCTTGCAAAGGAATCAGTCCCGACAAGAGGAACTCATCCGGCAGTCCGGTTTCTTTTGAAACTCAGCACCGCTTGCTTTTGTGATTCTTTTTTACCTTTCACCACCCAAAAGTAGCCCCAGAAGCTCCTTCTTGGACCTCCGAATGCTGCGCGTGATGAAGCTGCGGAATCGCTGCCGAACCTCGGGGAACTTCAGCCGATGCGCACCGCAGCGGCTGTCGCCACATTCGCTCAAGATGTGGATGGGCGACTCTGGGTCCGCGTGGCGAACGCGGTAGGTGCCATCACACGCGAAGGTCAGTCCATCCCCTCGAAGACCCTTGGAAATCCTGGAGATGTGCGTTGCATGGAGAAGTGTTCATGGGAAACCTGGTCCATCACCTTCTCACTTGGCTTCTGATGATGTTCCCGAAACAGCTAGCAACCAATGGATTTTTGAGAGGTCTTGACTACTGTTTGGAGTTTGCTCGTTGGGGAGGTCCATGCTCTGCCTCATGATGAACCCAAGAAGGTTGCTTTTTTTGAACCCATCGACTGCAGAGTGAGTGAAGTCCGCAATAGATCTAATTACAGTTGGTGGATTTATGATTATGTTGCCTTGAAAATCACGAAGCACAGAACCCTCTCCTCATCACATTCTCTAATTCCATGGCTGATGCGTCTCCCTTGAACTCCACATACCTCGGCGCTCACGTAGGAACTTTGGGCTCGCCCAGGCAAAAAGAGGCTGGAGGTTTTTAGATGCGCTTGGTCCATGCCCATTTCGTACCATCAACCGAACCTCCTACGCAACCGGTGCACGTAGGTGACAAGGGGCCGACACATGGTCGCTGCTTCTTCGGGTGTCGCGCTCAATCCACAGCACTCTGGCACCAAGCCATATGATGCCAGCTGGTCCTGAAAAATCAAAACGAGTCGACCGCGGTAAGCGCATCAGAAGTGGGCACATAACGTTTCACGGTGCACATCTGACTCACACTCAAGGAGGGTACTGCAGCCTGGCTGACTGGCAGGTGGAACTACAATGCACCTGCAAAGCATCTCGGCAAGCACGTACCGACAGGGTACTAGAAGTTAGGAAGCTGGTCTTGCTGCGCAGAGTTTTGCCCCGAGCCATGAACATCAACATCACCAGTTTCGCACCCCAGGAAATCCCGCCGAGCCCGCACGAGCCTAGCAGTGTGGATATGGATCAGTCCTTCTGTTCTTGACTGAGGCTGTCATAGATCTGCTGGCACTGCTCCAAATTCATTCCGCTCAAGCACTTCTGCCATGGCTCCTGCAGGGTGGCAGTCAGTCAGAAGAGAAGTGCCCAAGCCACTCCCTTGAGGGTCATGAGTCATGAGTCACAAGATGTCCTGAATGTCACTTGGAGATATCAGGACACCAGTACATACCAGTACCTTTACGAAAACCGTCACTCTATGATCTCGAACTGTCCTCCCTCCATCTTCCTCGAACTGCTCCGACTCGTTCAGCTCGTCCAGGTTCAACGTCGGCGTCGGCGCGCTGTGCAGATCGTTCGCGTTCACGTTCGGCGGAGGAGGCGGCGGCGCGGGGTGGGCGGAAAAGCCGCGGACGCCTGGCATGAATGCCTGGGAGACCGGGGGATGGATGATAGAACGAATTGCAGGATAAGGAACAGGAGAATCAGGGTAGGTCAGGATAGTGGGATTTCAACGCACTCAAATCGGAGATATCCAGTGACTTCAATGGTTACAGCATTGCTTTCCAGGCCCAGACCTCTGAATCCTCTAAAGCCATGATGGGCCTTTTGAGCCATACACGTTCATGATCAGCCAGAAAGTGGTGCACCGGCGCACATGTTTTATGACAGACTCAAACTGGAGAAGACTGTCATGCCTGGCCCATATCAGCAAACTCTCACTTCGACCAAGTCTATCAGCAACTTGGCAACAGCCATTTGGCTGCGCATGATATGTGAATTCTTATTTGACCATCCCAAAGGTGCCCAGCCACTAGGCGAAAACCTGGAGGGTAGCAAGCTGCGATGCCATTGCGGCGACGTTTAAAGATTTTAAAGGGTCACCAGGTTCGTGGATCAACACTGAGTGTTTACAGCAGAAAGACTCTGGTTGAGGTCTTGTGTTATCACAAAGACGAGCTTTCTTTCAAGCACGGCATCAACCATTCTCACACACACACACACACATATATATATATATACATACACATATATATATATATTTAGTCTTTGGTGCTAGTGAACAACTGTCCAAGCAGCTCTGAATGCCAAAGCCAAAGGCCACGGAAGAATCACACTAATGAAGTCGCAGCTGACAATGGTGGGCCTGTAAAACCCCATCAGCTGCGCATGACACCGCCCCCACAAAGATGACAACATACTCACTAGGCATCATCTTGTGCGGGAGGCATCTACATTGGTTTCAAAGACGGAACCCCAACAAAATGTCTCTCAGCTCAAGGTCCATATACTGTAAACCACCAAGCTTGTGCATTTTCTCCATCTACTCTCAACTGAGTAGCTTGCAGGGGGAGCCTCTTCCAGTCTTAGTCCACACATGTCCACACCCTGCCGTCGGGCACCCGAGGGTCCGCTGCCCCCTCCAGCAGCTTCATGACCTCGATGTTCGGTGGTCTGCGGGGAAAAGGGCGGTCTTCTGGCAGTTGCTGACATATCACATGATGCAACCCCTGGAATACCTGAAACACCCATGAACTCTGAACAAACAAACAGAACACCCTAAATAGATCCTTGAACAATCTTGAAAGTCTGTGTGAATTCTCATGAAACTACGACTCTCAGACTTGCTAAGCATGTTTGAGACGGCATGGGATTCCTTGAGCAGTTGGGACCTCCTCATCGAAAGTCGCTCTAAGGGTGCTGCTGTCTCCGTGTGGCCGTTGAACACCGCATGGTGCAGCGCTGTCCTAGCCAGGTGGCCATGACTGAGGGGTTTGGTCTCATCTCATATCATCCTTCATCTTCCCATCTGGTGGATCAACAAAAATAGAATTCAATCTTGAATCCGGAGGGACGGATGTCTTTCCACCGTTTTGTGTGTCTTCCCATCGGGATCAGTGCCAATCACTAGCGGTCCAGCCATCTCCATCGCGTGCGTCTTGGTTTGCTCGGGCACCAAGGATCAGTGGCACCAAATCCTTAATTATGACAATTCTTCAAATTGCACAAGTGCAAAGCTCAATAGGATGCATGCTGCTTGGTCCGACACAAAACAGAGATGTTCTTCGAAACTACTGCTATTTTGCCCACCCTGAGGCTCTGAGGTGCAGTCTGACAAACCCTTGCGCGCCGCCACATGAAGTGCGGTTCGTCCACGGCTGTCTGGTAGGTCGGCCTCCACACCAGCGTAGAGTTGGCTGTAGGGTGTGGGGGTTGCATGACACAGCTCCTTCTGGTTCACAAATCTAATCTTGGGGCTACCGAAGTTCGACAATCCCTCCGATCGCCTTCACATGACCTACCTCGCCAAAAACAATCTCCCAATAAATCTTATGCCTATGCCTTAATTATACTATATAATTACATCTAACTAATTACTACAGTAATTCTTCAACAATGATGTGCATGTATCAACATTGTCGATATTGTTGGTCCTATCTTGGACAATCTCCAGAGACCAACCCGCACATCCCTGACAGCATCGGAGCCTGCAGGGCGGTTCGAGCGGTTTTGTGCGGCAACCTGCTAAGCAAGTGATGCAGGCGATGCAAGCGACTGTCTATGCTGATGTTCAGCTTTTACAATGGTAGGTCAAGCATAGTTGACATGACAGATCTTTGGATATCTTTGGGACACATATGTGCTACTTGAGAGGCCCTTTTGGGGTGATGTTCAAGGGATTCCGATTACGTTTGAAAGAAGCAGTGATATGCACCTCACCAAGCATTCCACATAATCCTGGTTGTTCCAGAACCTCAGCAACGGCTCTTGTGCAGAACGTGGCCAGGAGGAATCCCAACAGCAATCCCAACAATCCCCATCCTGCTTCAAAACCATTGCCAGCCAGGAATGGGATTCAAATAACCTCCAGTTCCTAAACCAAAAACCTAAACCAAAAGAAACGAGAACAACACTGGAGGGTTTTTGGTTTAGACAGCAGCTTCAGTGAATGTGAGAACAAACAAAACTTCAGCAGCACATTCACTGAAGCATGTGACATGCTGGGCTCCGCTGGGCTCCGATCACAGCAGCTGTCAGAGGAGTCCATCCACGATCGTTCCTGTCGGACGCAGAGTTTCAACGGAATACTTCACCTCTCAGTAACAGAATGCCAAGCGGTTTTTACAATGCTTTCATAGTATTCCTTATTATTCCATTATTCATGGTCTTTATTGACTTTATCGTGTCCCAATCCAAGCACTCTCCAAGAAGATGTGCCCCAGGGCTCCACAAACACCCCCCCACGCCGCGCGCGAAACCGCGCGGTGTCGTCTTCAGCTGTCTCGGTCTCCTGTAATTGATGTTGGCCCCTCGGCTGATGAGCTCCTTCACTTCCTGCGACGCCCCCCCACCGCGTGTGTCACCGCCGTCCTCCAGGCAAGTTGACCGGTCGACCGCCCGCGGAGCGCCTTGGAGGTCAACTCAGCGGCCTTGTCGATGAGCTGCATGGAAACGACCTCCTGGAGATTCCCCGGTGGACGAGGTCCCGGGTGGGGGCTGATGGCCAAACCACCAGCCATCAACAGTTCGTGTTGAAGTGTAAATAGCTGATGGTGGCAAGAAGTATAACCGGTTGGTCAGCCATAAAACATACTTGTCGGATGGCCTTTTGACCACTCCTTTGGCCTATATATGCCTATATATATTATATTGTTTGGCCACATGATCATGATCTGCCATTTCTTCACATTTCTTCAGGGCTTGGAGAAGAAATGCTGCCAGTCCTCATTTTCAGCTCCAGTCTCCACCAGCTCATTAAGCAGCAGCAAGCGAAGCACCTGGAGGACTGGAAAGTGCCAAAAAACCGCAAGCCAACTGCAGCACCCAAGCAGGACGATGCCACGTCCTTGTGCAGAAAACAACACCTTGAGGAGCCAAACGTGACCCGCTTTTCTTCACTAGCAACGTCATACACACCATGAAAAGCCCTATCAAGTTGGTGAAGTCCAGTGTTCTCTTTTTCTCCAGGTTTCCATGTGACATCATTGTGACATTTAAAATCCAAGAAATCTAAGATCTCAACATCACACCAAATCTAAGATCTCAATGTGGAGATCCGTGGATCTCCAAAACCAACGAAACCAATTTGAGCACCACACCTGCAGCTTCCGTGCCCGGGCAGCAGCAAGCACCGGCGAGTCCAAGTCAGGCCCAGCTGCACAGGCACTGCCACCATGTTCCAAAAGCCTCCGCCACATGGTAAGAGGGCATGTATCCAGGTGGAAGCTGAGTGGAACTAATTAGCTATTAATAACTATAGGCTATACTGGATGCGATTGGCTTTGGTCAAATGGTTCATTTTAGCTGATGCTAATTGCCTCTTTGAGTAGAAATAAGTAATTTACATTTTTTTTACTTGATTGAAGCGACTTGCGAAGAAGTATGGTGACAAACAGACTGATCGTTGCGGTACCAGCACGGTAGGATGTGTTCGTCAGCTAAGGCCTTGCCATACAATGCGCATCGCACTTGGTCGCGGCATACCATAAAACGGTTTGCCCTTGACCTTTGATGCAAACATGAGGCACTTTGGACTGAAGAAAAGCGGACATTGCGAAATGGCACATGTTCTCTCCCACGAGTGAATCCCAAAAACAACTCCTGCGACCAGGAAAGCCATGCGGATGATCGTGAGAAGGGCAAACACTTGCTGAGCATCTCGCGATCTCCATAGTTTGGATCGGCAAATTTCTTGAGCAGCCCCTGGGGCGACGAAGAAGGACCCCGAGAAGGCCCTCCCTTCATTGGCTGCGTCTCCGCCACTGGCGGATGTGCAAGCACAGGTCCAGGTCTAAAAACCAAGCGGGATCAGTGAAGTATCAGTGATATGAAGCCACTGGCACAAAGATTTCAATAAACCGTGAAACACACTTTCTGACCAACTTGCTCGGCCCCTCAAACTTTGCAGATTGGCCACTGGCCCTGGTAGCTATGACTGAGGCGAATCAGGGTACAGTGGATGCTAAAGGAATCTTTGCAGTGGTTCGCGACTCTTCCAAAACAGATCCCTGATCTATGCCAATCTGTGCCCTAGAAGCTGGCGTCTATGCTCAACGGGGAGCTGTCCCTTGCCTCAACCACTTCTTCTTGATCCCGGCCAAGGTGTTGCGCACATGAGACCTGCCGCACTCAGAGCTCTGCACTCTCAGAGCTTCGCGACGTCGAGACGGCCAAGCGGTGGACATGTCCCCGCCAGACGGTGGACTGCGCTGTGGCGGAGTGGACGGGACGTGTCTCAACCTCGCCTTTTCAAGCAGCTGACGTGAGGCTTGATCATCATACCTGGCAAACATTGGCAAGCCATGCTGTCTGTTCGAGACCGGTTTCCTATGACTCACTGAAAGTCGATTGTCTAGTGAATCTTGCTTGCTCGACCACATCAAGAATCCGTTCGCTCAAGGCGTCCGAGGCATCTGCGAACTGGCTTTGAGACACAAGAGAGCTTTTCTTCTCTCTTGGCTCAGTGTGCCGAGGCTAGAAGACCGGACGTTCTGAGGTTCTGAACATGTCTTCTCTTTTGAGTTGGGTTGTCCCTGACAATGAGCATGAACAGCTGAAACATGCTGAAACCACTTCGGCTTTGTCACCTTCTTCCACCACCCTACAGTAGAAGACAGACTCCCCTTCTCCTCAGGCATCTCTGGTCGGGCCTCCAGGTGAAGGGCCCAGCGACCTTCCGGGCCTCTTGTTCATGCTGCTCCCGCAGCAAGCCTCACCCGGCGGTTTGGGTGGCATGTTTTTTGCGGTGAGAAGAGTGGTTTCGGTGGTTTGGGCCTTGGATGGAACATGGTGGAACAGCATGCTTTTCTTTCACATGAACAGTTGCATCAAGTTGCTGAGAGAGACGATGTTCTTGTTCCTATCCACTCACTGATTGTTTAGTTGCTTAGTTGAGGTGCTCCACGGACAAAACCAAAGAGCTGGCCTTTGCAAGCATCTTTCAGATAGGCCTTTCCCAGGACCTGGGGCCATTCGAATGGAGCCGATTGTTCATGGTGAACCCTTATGCAGTCCCTCAGATCTGGACAGCAATCAAGCCTTGGGCACAGTGCACCGGTGAAGAGGGTGAATGGACGGACAGCCAAATGTGCACGCACGGCACGACGTAGTCAGTCCGAAAGACCAATTCATACATATAATATACATATATATATATATTAAATTATTAGGAACAAGAAGCTAGTAGTCACAAGTACCAGGTGCCTTACTACTAGTAACAATAAAGCTAGTAGTAACAAGAAGCTTTTAGGAACAAGATAATATGTCTTTGTGATGTAATATTGCACTATATCACTATAGCCTCCATTAGACCGCACTAAACCGGTGTGGTTTAACCTACAGTAATTACTTTACGTGGGCAATTGCCCATCCACGTTGCCAGTTGAGGCATGAACCCGCAAAAAGGATCAACAAGGCATATGCTTTGAGGGAGAAAGCTGGGTCGATCCTCAGACTAGTGGTTTGGTGCGAGTAGCACCTGGGAAATGGTCCAATGTCACGTGGTTCCAAGCTATCACGTGCTGGTTCATCAACTGGTCAGCTTAGGTATGGGCTTGTGGAGTATTCATGCCACTCCGCCTGCAACAACATTTGCAGTGAATTCGCCGTGGTGGTGTCACCTCTATCAGTATCAATTCATGTCAGGGTCCAGTCCTAGGTTGGTTCCTTGATAGTTGATGCTGCTCTACCAACATGAGGCAATGATTGCGCGAGGATGTTCAAAAATGTTCAGGTGCATCACTTCAAAGACCGCTGGTCACAAAGGTGATCAAAAGCCGGGAGCCTTATCCAAATGATTGTCCTGATCAATGTCATACTTTCGGAAGACCTTGGTCACAGGTCTTAAGCATGGCTTCCTGGAATCCAAACTAACTGGTCTAAGCTCATGGCCTGCTGTGGGTAGACACCGCCCAGGCTCTGAAGTCTCTCTTGAATACTAGTGTTTTGCCCATTGTAGTACATCCTCAGACAGCACTCCCATGAGGCACATGAGGCACAAAAGCATGGTCAGCAGCTGTCTTACAAAGGCAGGCATGTTCATAGTTGTTCCTGTAGGGTTGAACGAGGTACCAGGTGCCACTGTCCTGAGTGGTCCTGCATGTTTTTTTTTCAACAAGAACCACTCATCTCCAATGCCCCACCTTTCCTATGGCAGTGTGTCCTGGAGCAATGTGCGCAAGACTCAGTCCCCCACAGCCGGACATGGAGCCATGCAAAGTCAATGAACCGCACAAGGCCTTGGAAGGCCACCGGAAACTGAAGCAGGTCAGCCAAGTGGCTGTCACTCGTATCGCCAAACATGAGTTCATGAGACAAAATACTATACAAATATGATTACTCAAGGTAAGCGCAGGGAAGGCTTAAACATAAGACTCCGAACCCCTAAAACTCCAGCTGCTCATGGCAATCCATACTGTCTTTTTCGGACGTCCATTCCATCTCCCTGTCGCTCTCTCCGGCCTTTGCTGTAGGGGTCCACCAGCTCCAGCAAGAACTGGTCTAGGGACCCCTCGCATGGCTGGCACTGCGCGACGCATGTGATGTTGCCAAACATGTGTCAACACATCATCAAGATATTAGTTGTTGCACTTTCCCGTGATCTATTGCATCGATCTTCCTGTGATTGTCCTTGTAATCCGCCCACAAAAATTGTCTGAAAGCGACTCATCGTTGCTGTTTGGGCCGGCGTCAAGCGGCTGGTTTGCCTTGCTGGTAGAGCGGACGGGACCTTCTCCATGCGTCTCATCAGCCTCCTTGCACACCCCGCGAGCCGCAGACCGTTCGAATGAAGGCTGCTGTAAGTGTATGGCATTTATTGGATAGGATCAGTGAATACATGTGAATGCCCACAGAATACTGACTGTCCGAGATATCAAGAGAAGAATTCGCTTGAGTACAACAAATCAAAGGACCGGAGCTTCTTGGGTCGTGCCAGCGATCATCGAAAGCCACAAACGGCGGTATGCCACCCACCTCCGGTTTGGCCAGCTGCGGCAAATGGCCCTCAGGGGCGGGTCTCACGTCACTTCTCACGTCTTGTCTCGCTTGGAACGAGACAAAAAGCGAAGACGATGAGATAAATGGAGAAGACATGAGAACAAAATACACAACTCACCTACACAATTACAACTTCGACATCTTTTTAATCTTCTCTTGAGGCGGCGGGGTGGCCCGGCCGATGCTCACAGGCGCCGTGGTGACCCGTGGTGTGCCGATGTTTCGGAGAATCCGGAATGAACGCCGCTAAGGCTTGGGAGTTTATTGCCCTGTCAGCAATTGCTCTGGGCATATCCTCACTGGCCTGAGGTTCTTTGGCCCGCGAGTCGTGCCTTCAGGGAAGAACAATGCCAAAGTGCAGGCGCAGTGTTGAAAAGATAACTTTGACCGATATTGAACACACACCACAAAGGAACACAACAAATAGATATATACGCATAATTACTCATTATTCAATATCGCTCTATGTCACTACTTACAAGTCTTTCTGGAGATGCCAACCTACGTAATATCAATCTACCATGGCCTGAGTGTCTAATCTGTGCATGCTCAAATGCCAAAGGAATTGCTTCACAAAGTCTCCCTACTTTGTTCTGCTCAGGGCTTGACGGTGATGTCTCTTGCTTTGTCTGCTTGTAGCCAGTGCCAGTTCCGTTCGGTGCCTTGCCACAGACCAAAGCATGCCGGGCCTTTCTCGCCTTTGTCCCATGGAGCATGCTGGGGCTCGGGCACCAGGTGTGAGAAGTGCGGGTAACTTCGACATGGCAGCACGTTCTTTGCTCATGGCCTCAGCTCAGCTATCAAGTCCGAAGCTCACTGCGGAAGGGGACATCGGGCGATTTGGAGGACCGGCACAAGCTTGAGTGTCTGGCCTCCGCTTAAGGCGCCCCGGAGCTCTTGAAAAGCAGGTCCTACTCCCTGTGAGCCATTGATGCCAAAGACATCCAAAGACATGTTCAAGCAAGCTGTGCAGGACTGCAGGGGCAAGTGATCTGCAAGGACGATCAGTCAGCATTTTCACTCCAAGCACTTCAGGGCAGCTTCGACACGTTCAAACCAATCGCATAGGCATGTCTGGTTTCAAACATTGAGTGTGTCAAACACGAACGACCTGGTGTTCACCGAATGCTCGCGTTTGCAAACGAGAACCATGGAGCAGCGTTGGCCCATCTAGTCTTCAGTTTTTCCCATGGCAGTCAGAGTCGCACCTCTCATGGCTTCAACATTTCAGCTAAGAGCTCCTCAGCTGCCCTCCAAGAGACTGCCGCAGCACGCGGGCAGTACCCAAAGGATGGGTTGGGATTCAAGGCCTCCCAGGAACGATGGAAGATAGTCGGAACGACAAGAGAAGAACATAAGTGAGTCATATACGTATATATATATAATATTGAATGTTACGATATGTTACGATATATATATATAATATATACATATGTATGATTATGTATGTATAATGGATTCATGGCTTCAAAAACTGGAGGCCTGTGGAACAAAAACATTTAACCGCCTTTGTTTATCATGCTTCATTTGTGTTTCATTATCAGTTTTGCGGAGTTTGATCAAACCATCAAAGTCTGCAAACATCTGTAGACTAGTTAGTTTCGCAAGAGTTGTCGCTGTAATCAGTATCCAACTATGGGTTAATTAGTCAGAGCTTCTTGTCAAGCCTGGCATGCAAACCAGAGACAATAAAAAACACAACTGATGGAGAACGAAAGCCGCGCCAAAGCCGCGCCACGCGTTGGGCACGCGTTGGACCTGAGCAGGATTGGTAAATCCATGCCGCACACCTCCGAGCACGAGCATGTCCTCGCAGCGCGGAGAGGCCAACAAACAATCCATGAAACTCGTTGGACCTCATGTTGAAGGCCGATTTGAGTCAAAGTTCGGTGAATGCAGGACCTTGAAGCCAACTGTTGGATTCGATTTTGCATTTTTCGTGATCATCCTGATGTCTCTCAACTCCTCCCGGATGTGCTAGACGCAACAGTCTGACCCGCGGCAGGTTGCCACCAGTACCCGCCCAGCGGTCCCAGCGGGCATTGGCTCCACGAAGTTGTGCCTCACACCTCATCGGATGTTGTCGTCGGCTCGGCGCCGCCGAAGGTGTCTGCCCCCCCCGCAGCTGAAAAGGATTGGAGGCTCACATTCATCAGTTTCACATCCACAGCGAAAGGGGGCCGGCCCACTTGCCCGATTCCAAGACCTGTATATAGTCTATAGTCTTTGCAAGTCAGAAGTGCAATTGTAGCTCTGGCCGGCTCTGGCCCCCCCAACGCTGCGCGACTGGCTGCGCTGATGAAGGGGTCGGCATCACCATGACAAATCAGCACGCGCGGCCTCAACCAGCTTCGTACAGGAGTGCTTGCTGTCTCGCTTTGAATGGTCTCTCACAACAGAAACTCCCGGTTCCGGGCGCATCTGGGCTGGACATGTCCTCCGAAGCAATCACCTGAATGAAGGTTATATGTATGTCATAAATACATACGCACACACACACATACACATATGTACCTAAATTTATACATGACATATAGACACAATTCTGCTTATTTTATATTCGTACATATACATATCACTGATATGATGACTATAATTTATACAAGCTATACTGTGTACATCTATGTGTATAGATATATCACAAATATATGTATATATATATATACTGTATATATATCGTACATGGCCAAACCAAGATCAGACTCTCGAGGTTACAGGTATCTCAAGGCTACGACTGGGGGCCCCACTCCATCGTCAAGTATGCCGTGGAATGAGACAGCAGCCTGTAAGAAAATCCTGACTCTTGACAATCAGACTTTGCCTCCACTCGTCTGTGTTTGCCCCAATGTTTGGTGCCAATGGTCACCAAAGTGGATCCTTTTTGCGCACGCCTGCTGAGACTTCTAGCCGGGATTACAATGGCTAGATTTTTCAACCTAGCACCGGTTCCATTAGTGGTCAGCTCTAGAACTTCACTTCTATTGATACATGTACTATTCTGCTTCAAAAGTCTTCAGCTTCATCCCTTCTTTCAAGGACGGCTGCAACTCCATCAGCTTCTCCATGCATCGCAAATCCCCACAGCACAGCTCCAATCCTTCATCCAGCGACTGCGCCGGCTCCGCCCCATGCACCGCTGCCTCCGCCGCCTCCCGCGGGCGCGCACGTGCGACGCGGCAGCGCTGCCAGCCCTGCAGCAGCTCGGCAGAGCCGCCCGAGCTCAGGACGCCGCGGGTGGCGCTGGTGGCCGCGCGCCGGGCGGTGGCGCCGAAACGGCAATAGGAGGAGAGTGCGAAGGCGCGATGCCTCGGGAAAAGGGGAAAAGGACGAGGTTTGTGCGCTGCTTTCGGGGGATCAAAGTGGAACCATCATATCACCATGACATGCCATAGATATCAATTGGTTTAGATATTTTATACTATATACTGTACCAATAAGATCCAATAACAAGATGCCAAATTGTTTGAAAAAATACATCGTTTTTGGATGAAACGGCTGGGTCTGTTATGGTTTGTTATGTTTTTTTGCTTCTCGGTTTTCCACGAAGTGAGCAGAAAAGAGATCTCGCGAAACGGCGCAAAAGAACGCAAGAAAGAACGATGCAAAAATCCATACATGTTTTAAAGGGAGGGGCGATGTGAAACGACATGAAACGACCATTAATTTGTGTAAACCACACTTCTTCCGCCAAACTACGAAAAAGAATGTCCTTTCACTATTCACGTTTCACGACCCTAAACTTTAGACTGACACACATCTTGGTGGCACAGGTTCTTGACTTGTCCCGTTCAGGTGCATTGGGCTCTTCTGGCGCTTCACGGCATCGGCCGCCTCCTTCGTGCGACGGTCCTCCCAGCATCGGCGGCACCACCAGGACAAGCTCTCCTCCAGCAATCGGACTTATGATGTGCTGAATGGCCTGTGACTATAGATCCTGATGGAATCGTAGAACCTCATGGAGAAAATGTCCGTTCTCAACGTACTTATGACATCAACTTACAATCTGTGGTGGGTGGGGATGGGGAGAATTGAACTTTCATGAGCTTTCCAGATACATTGGAACGATGCCCCATCACTATCCATCACTCAGGACTTTGGTACACCGTACACCTGGAAGTCTTAAAAGCATCATACCATACCTTCATTGGTGCAAAAGCCGCTAATAAGGCATTATGAACACCAAACATTAGACAGCATAAACAGCATAGATTGCAGTAGGATCTGCACATCCCCACCGACACCTCTCGCATTTTGGCCCCCTCCGCCTCATATGCGGACACCGAGGTTGCTACCTCCTGGAAGGCCTCACTGGCGCACCGCGCGTCGTAGCGGCAGCGGCGGAAGGTCGCTTCGACCAGCGCCTGACGATGCGATCTTGGCCGAAGTGAGGTGTGATATGGACCGAACGGTTTCCCAGTCTGAACCACAAACAGTTCTGGATGTTTCCTCAGTCCCAGCCACTTCCTATGTAAAGGATCTCAATTGCCACATGGACATCATTTGTTCTGGGTTGCTTGGGTTGCCAGGGGGAGCTTACACAGCTTGTGGCATTTTTTTGCCTCCAGCCTCGTGCACGGGTGATGGCGCAGCATAGGCGAAGCTGCTAGCATGGTAGAGCCACTCCACCGCAGCAGGGCTGGGACCACCCGTGGCCATGGCCTAGCAACGGAACTCAGCCAGGGCTTGTCATGCAAAATTGGCCCTGCAACAAATAATTAGGCATCAATCAAGCAAGCTGTTGATCTTCCACATGCTTTTCCTACTGCTTGTCCTTCCGTCCAGGAGGGATGAGGACTCCAAATCATGGAAGGTCATGCCGGGGACCTCCCTGTTCTGCAGAACCATCCGGCCTCTGAGTTAATCGCGCCACCCATGGGAGTCGAGATGGATGGAATCATGGACAGCTGCAAGGAGGGTATCTCCATGGCAAGTAGAAACAAGAAGCTACTAGGGGCTCCTGGCCTTACTAGTAGTAACAGGTTCGCTATTAGGAACAAGTGCATCGCTACTAGTAACAAGTGCTCACAGCTTGGGGCTCCTTCGGGGCTCGGACCGTGGCAGGCGTCGGAGGGTTACAGGTTGCATGAGGTTCTGACCGAACACCATGCGATTGACCGAACAGGTATATCCAATTACCTGTAACAATGGATGATGGATAGCAAAGGCCTTTCGTCTAAAAATGTTTATATATTTATATTGTTGTTTACCGACTGTTGCAGGTAAGGGGACACCCCCAAGATCTACCGTTTTTGCCATCACTCTGGAGCCACTCAGTGGCATTTCAATGGGGTCGCGGCAACAATTCCAGCCGAAGAGCCCAGGCCTTGTCAGACTTTGTCATCTTAGTAGTTTTTCAAATTGTCGAAGAAGCTTCAGAAGCACCGGTACTAGATGACACAATCTCCCAATACATGAATATATCAATTAATTTGACGATCTTAACCTGGCCTTCTACTCACTTTAACTGTGAACAGCCGCGAAAAAGAAGTAGGTTCAAAATGGTTCATCTAGGACAGGATACTGAGTAAACCTGCTCCGCCTTCACCCACCGTGGGGGCCGTGGGGGGCCTGTTCGGATTCGACTGCCGGTCCACTGCTGAGGTTTGGGCGCGCCAAGTCCAAGACAGTTCTTCCTCCAAAGCAATAGCCCATGGCCGCGATTCGCTTGTGGTCAACGCCTCTGAAGAGACAACCAACCATCAAAGTGACACTCAGCATAATGACGAGACCAGCGGCGGTTCAATGGCCTGGTGTCGCTGCAAGCGCTTCAACTGAGGCTCTCATCCTGACTCAGCTGCGAATCAAGGCTCCGGCAACGTTGGCATGTGCATGCAGGTGCTAGTCGCTAGTATGCGCGACTCCCTCGATCTACGACAACATTGTATCATCAACATGCACACCTTGGTGATCAGTCAACAACATGCCCATCTGTGTTGAGAGAACCCATGCCTCGATGGCAAACATCGTCAATTTCCACACCCGCGAGCAGGCAAACTTCACTACATCAAACCGTGTGTTCTTGCCCAGCATACCCCTCCACAAGGCCCCAAAACAGGCTATCCCCATCAATCCCTTGCTCCCGGAGCAACGTGCACCAAACCATGTCGAGGCCCGTCGTCCACCGTTGTGCGCCTCTTGCGACTTAAGGCCCGATCGTCCAGCGGCTGCCGGGCCCGGCTGTTCCACTCTGGCCTGCCGTCCGCGGACGACGCGCCGCACAGCGCACGTCGTCCGCGTGGACTGCAACGGCTGAGGTCGGTGCTCCCAACCATCTCCGTGCCTTGGAAGTGTGAGAAGGGTGCATTTGAGTCCAAGAAAGAGTACCACCTCGACTCTGAGGACCACAGGACTGCAGGGGGGTGGGCTGTCAGTTGGGCCCCCCCCAAAACAGAAGCCATATAGAGGCAATCAACGGCAATTGAAACCTAACGAACCACACCACCACACATATCATATATATATATACACATCATATGATGTACAACATGCTATTTTCATCATAGCTTGAGCCACGCCAGTCTGCCCGAACATCCCCACATGCCATTGCCCATTGCCAGCGGACAGGAACAACCATGAGAAAGGAGACTTGGCTTCGGGCTCATCACCCAGCAAATCTGCAATGAGAACCGTGTAGCCCTGGGCCGCCAAGACTTCAGCTCGCCAATGCAAGTACCTCTCAACTAGAAGGAACCAAAGCCCACTGCCTTCTCACCCTCCACGGCACAAGTCTCTAGGCCCAACAGCTGTGTGGATCACCACCTCACAAACCCCCTGGTCCCCATGGCCCAAATGCAAGGCACTCATTGCGCTCAAATCCGAGCTGCAGGCCACACCTGCTCCATTGGAACCGCTCCGTGCTCGGACGACTCGTCCATGGAGCCGAGCACGGCCCGCCTCGGAGAGCGTGGCGCTTCGTCTCGCGCGTCGCGGCGAGAGACACGTCCGACGGATCTCCTCGTCTTGGTAGAGCAAGGGTTCCACCGAGAAGGGCCCAGCTCCCTGCAGCTGAAGCAAAGGTAGCTGAAGACCGCTGAGGTCGAAGGCGACAAGGCACCCTTGCCTTCAAAGCAGGATCGGCTTGCCAAGCAGCCTGCCTCAACAAACATGTCAACAAAGATATCTGCGGACAGTCGCACGGCAAACGCAAAGACTGACCGCCCCAAAACTCGCCCCAGCTACACTGCTTCAGCATAAGCCGCATCTTTGGCCATCCGAGGCCCTGATTCCTTGGGAACTTCTTCGTTCGCTCATGCGAAAGGAATTTGTGCTGCAAATACTGCATGCGCTTTCTCTCACCAAACCATTTTTTTAGGCCGAGAATCACCACCTCCAAACTCGGCCATGCGGGCGGTGTGGCGCCGTGTCCTCGCCAAAACGTTCAAAAACTCATTGCCAACTTGGTGGCAAGATTGGCAAGTGTTTCGCTGAATCAGGTTGAACGCGCTAAAGGAGTATATTAGGTTCAGGTGACTTGGGATAGGTGTATAGATATAAAGATAACATAATGTATATTTAAAAATATATATAGGATGTCAGCCTTGCACCATCACTGAGGAAATAAGTCTGCCACTGGGCACGGCTGCCACGCAGGACAAACGACCTGGGACCGTATTTCATCGTATTTCTGGCCTTCTGTGTGAGTCCATTTCGGCATGGCAATGGGCAATATTGGGCAATGGAAGGCCACTCAAGGATCGGCCGACATGCAAAAACTTGTTAGTCTATCCTAGCTTTTGCAGAAGAGTGCTCTCATATGTCATTGATCAACCCGAGTCGAACAAAACTGCGAAACATCGGTAACATCAGCCACCGCCTCGGTGCTAGCAACGTCCAAGTGATGCCCGCCACCTCAGGTGATGCGGAGTCACTGACCCTCCTTGCAGCACGGAAGGGTGAGCCGCCCGGCGGCCAGTCGGAGGCCCAATCGACCAAGCATCAACGCATGATTTGCAGCATCCTAGTAAGATTGGGAAATGGTGAAACTTGCTCGATCATTTTTGCTTCAAGAGTTTGTCGTCCGCTCAAGAAGGGTAGTTATAAGATGTTATAAGCTAAGGCTATAACTATAGTTATAATTATGGTCCATTTACAGATCGAGGCACAAGAGCATAAAAGCACGATTTATATCGATGTTCATCTTGGTCAGATCGTTAATATGCCGGGCCGTTGTGATTTCTTCAAAATTCGCTGCGAGAATGACCACCCGAACATGACCATTTCAAACACGTGCACCATGGGGGGCTAAGCCTTCTAGAGATGGAGCTGGCAAGCCTTTTTACAAATGACGAACCCCAGATCGAGGTCAATGATTGTTGCGACCCCCAGCTTAGAGGTAAAATTGTTCACATTTAGGGTCATCATGGAGGACTTGTCAAACATATGGGATATATTGGGTCGGTGAATGTGCGCGCGGTGTGTGTACATGATGTCAGGCTCAAAGGTCCTTAGAGCCAGCAATGCCATAGCAACTTGCCAATGCAACATGTCCACAACCCAAAGTGTTCCAAGCCTGTCATGCACAGTGTTGACAAAACCTCGCACTGCTCGCGTTGGGGAGGTTACAAACATCCTGCAAATGCTAACGAAGCCTTTTCGACATATACTGACGATGATACGGTTGGAACGGTCTTCAAATCTCCTACAGCTCCACATTGGAGCCCGCGACGGGCTTGGACCCCACTTTGAGGGTCGGAGTGTTTGCTGTCGCGGGAACGGTAGTATGAAGGCAAATTCAATTGGGTGTGAGGCTTGACACCAGTGATCCTTCTGTGGCTACTTTGGTTTGTAGAAGGGTTTTGGACTGGCCAAGTGGAAACACCATTGAGGCACCCACGCCCAAATGAAAGGAAACCTCCCTGCGCTTGACCTAAGGACGGCCACCACTTGATTGGATGGCGGAAAAAATGACCACAAGGTCTGGTCCAGCGGATGTGTTCGCCCCTCCTGGACTTGGACTGTCTCAGCGGCACTGCAGGGACACTTTGTGCTCGACTTCGTAGTAGCCTGGCGCACGCTTCTTCAAGTGTGGCAACTGGTAGCCTGGGGTGGTCTTCTCCCACCACTCGCGCGCGCACGTCGCAAACAAAGAGAGGCAACCGCCAACCTGCTATTGCGACCGTGACAACGAAGGTTACCAATAGTTGGTCATGCCTACAGGTCTTTTAAACGATTTTAAACTTGATTTGCATGGGTGTACCCACCACCCGCTAGCAGTCTCAACTCTAACAATGCCTGTCAAAGGCTAAGGGCTTCACATTCCACGAACCACACTCCAAACAAAGGAGTGTGACCGGAGTGTGTGTTTGATTCCCTTTGCTCACCTTGCGTATGTAAATCTGTCTGAGACTTCAACGTCCGAGACCTATATGCGGGAGTGTCCACCACCACACTCCTGCGCTCACCCGTATAGGCACATGTGCAACCCAAATCAAAACGTCCGACACCCCAGTGTCTGATCAATGTCCGAGACCCCCATAGCTGATACCACATTTACCCGCGGCTGCCCAACAAAAGCTATGTATGGCTGTAAATTTTCACCCCGGGTTGCCCACAAAAGGTGGGCTAGGTTGGAATGGTGCCTCACAAAAGGCATGCTACGTTGGAATGGCTCCTTCCTTCTCCAAATGTTACCCTCGGCTGGCGTTGCAATGTCAAGCCACACTCTTTTTGTGCTCCTCCTGCACACCATATACCAACATGTCTGACACACCAGTGTCCACTACCCACATCACCTCCCGACGCCTGTCCTTGGCTCGCCCCGCGCACCATAATTTTACAGGTCCCACACGCCCCATGTCGGAGACCTCCATGTCCGAGACCCCGAGCCAGCTTGATATCACATTCCCTTTGCTCATCCTGCGTTTACATAGACATCTATGAGTGCAGAAAATACCAAAATTACCGTAGATATCCGGAGATGTTTAACACCAAAAGAGTGGGATTCTTTACCGTCGCCCTCAGACTCTGATGCACATTCACAGGTCGCAAAACGCCTGGCTTCCGATTGAAGTTTTAACATGCTCTGACTACTATGGCTATCAGATTCATATGCTGTCATACTGGGCATCGTCTTTGTGTAACACCCGGGCTTATACTGCAAACCATTACCAATGCCAAACCAATATCTCATCATTTCCCCCCCATGCATTCAGTTTGATCGAAGGTGCGTTTGGATCAACACCTGGACTTTCGGCCCAGGGAGCTCCACCTGTTTGCTCATCGCCCTTCATCCGACACAGCTCGAGGGAGTCAACCATCACGGTGCCCAGCTCCACCTTCCGGAGGGCCTGAGTGGGAGTTGGAGAGGTCGACCCGGTCACAACTTGGTTGGTTCTGGACAGCGGCATTTCAGGGTTCAATCGTGACGAAGCAAAGAAGATCACGTGGGTTAGTGGCCTAGTGCCGGTGGGAGTAAAGGCTACAGTTGATGAAGGAGTCGAGAACATGCAGCGATCAAGTCCAATGATTTTCTCTCACGTTTCATGCAGTTTTCTGGGTGAACATCCTGAACTCCAACATGGGAACAGGTCAAAAGTAGGGTGCCGGCTGCCAGGATGCAAATCAACTTTGACTTGTGCAGCTGAACAGAATCTGTAATCCCCAGTGTCCTTACTCTTGACCCATGCCACGTATACAGCAAACAGGGATATTTTTTCTGGATTTTGGGTCCAGCCTGCCAGCAGCTCTCTGGAATGCGAGCACCGCTTGCGTGCTGGCGCGCACGACTGGTCTTTGCGATGGTCACATGCGGCTGGAAGCCTTGGGATGTCGGCGTGTCAGCTCGTCCCAGTCTTGGCTCGACAGAGTGGGCTGACATATTTTTGTTGGAGAATCCACACAAAACGATGGAATCATACATCACAAATTCTGTGCCACAGGTCCCATGGGTGCTTCGCAGAGTCAAACACACGTCGACAGTGAAGCCCTCTGCTTCGTGTCCCAAACGCGGGCGTCGGCCCTGCACCCCAGCTTGCAATGCTCCAATTTAGCCCAGGCGCTGTCCTCTTCCTGGAGGAAGCAGAAAGAGTGTCAGTCCAAAGAGACCACTGTATAGTCGTGGCAAAGAGACCATTCCACGCGTTGCATAACACACCAGCTCAATTGCACCCCTTGCTCTCTATAATGATGGAGCACCTTCTACTTTCAATCGACCCCCATGACGGGCCCTGCGGTTTGAAGTGCTCTTGGCCCGGGAAAATGGCTTGCGAACGCAACCAATTATAAGTCCATAACTCTGGCAACATATTTAGTTGCCAGCTGCATTGCGACAGCCGGCCACGGCTCGCCAAGACGCTCTGGCCGCGGGCGGTTCAAATAATAAATACATTATGGCTCAACCAATATATATATATACATATATATATAATGGCTTTCCCTGGCCCAAAGGACCAATATGTCACAATACACAAAACGCCGGCCCAAATGCAACCCACTCGCCATCGAAACACGATCCAATTCGTTGACTTTGGACCATGAAGCTCTGGGGAGGGACATGTTAAACTAAGACTCGGACTACTAAATGTTAAACTATGTTAAACTAAGAGCCTTTGGAAAGTTGAAGCTCCTAGGGTGGGTTTGTTTGGGGTTCCTGATGGTTCCCGAACTCCCGATTCCAAGTAAACGGAATTGGTATAGAACTCCGGCTATATTACTCAACCTGGCAAAGCCCATCTCCCCCACCTCAGTCGCATCATCCACCTCTGGGTCTGGAGGCCTCGGATCCAATGGCACATCAATACACGACGCGCAGAGTCCAGAGTGCGGACTGATGGATTGGGAGGTCACCACGAAATATGAAACCTCACTAGAAAAAAGAACCTGAGGCAAACCATACAATTGAAGAAGAAAAACAGGAAAGGAAGGTGCGGTGGGGGTGGTAGGGGGGTTGCGGGTGACTTCGACTAAGCGAGCCTAAAGGTGTACGAAAGAAAGGTGCATAATCGACTAAACGAGCCTGAAGGGTCACCTAACAAGCCTGGAGAAGCAGGCCTAACAAACGAAGAGCCAGAAAAAAACAGAAAGACGGGGGCGAACATTTGCCGGCGCTCCCTTGACTCAAAAGAAAATGAGTTACACATAGCAAGCCATCAGCAACGAACGAAGACCTAGAAGAGAAGACCTAGGAAGGAGAGAAAGAAAAAGCCCGTGCATGAATTACTCAGTTGGATTAAAAGTTGGAACTCCTGGACTAAAACCTCACTTACAACCTAACAAGCCTCTAAGAGAAGACCCAGGAAGGAGAGAAAGAAGGACCGCTGAGTGAATTACTCAGTTAGATGATTGAAACTTGAAACTCCTAGACGCGTCCTACTGCATGATATTGGCCAGGCGCGGAGCCAGCCCTGGTTGCTGTTCACTGACGACGTCGGTGCGCAAGACCGCGCCTCCTCCTGCCAAAGTCGGTCCTTTCACGATGGCTCGTGCAAGAGTAGATTTCATTTTGACTACAGCGCCTCATCCTCGCTCAGAAAATCACGAGTGAGAAAGGAAGGCGAGCGCACATAGGAAGGAAAGTCCTGTCAAAAGGTTAGAGCGAGGTTTCACGCAACAACAAAACCGTAACCCCCGGCCTCGCTGCCAGACGTATTGCCAGTCAAGGCGTGCGCCAGCCGATTTCTCTCCTGCGCAACTACCCAAATGAAAGTTATGTGTCATGTCTTAGTTTCTTGCGCGTTGCCCTTGGTATTGATAGTTGCTCTTTGTTTGCCCGGAAAACGGGGAGCGCGCAATTGCTGTGAACAGTGTGGGCCAGGCGGTTTCGCTCCTCCGCCAATCTTAAATCAAAGGGTTTTCGGGCGCTCAAAACTGGACTGACGCAAATCATTGCGCCCGCCTTCTTGCTCAGCGTCCCTATGTTAACGTCTCACCCGGAGCCGCTTCCCCCAACCAAGGTTTAAATATTGGCTGGGGGGGCACGGCGCTGACGCTTTGACCAGCCCTTGCCGCCCATGCTTTCGCATGAAGGCGGCGTCGGCAGCCTTGAAACGGGAAACGTGCCGGTTCGATCAACGAGTTGGGCCCGGTGTGTCCAAGAGCCGCACAGTCTGCGAAGGGGAGGGCGTCACAGGCGATGCAAAAATAGGGGCTGCCTTCACACGACAACAAATGCATCTCAGCCTGCATACAAACCGTTTTCGTCCTAGTGTAAACACAAAAGGCACGTGCTCCATGGGCGATGTTTTTTGCGCAAGAAGTGATCAAAAACACTCTGTTTTACAGTGCTTTTTTGCTAAAACATCACAAAAGCCTAGGTTTTCAACTATTTTTAGATCAATTTTGTGAGGGCCAGGCCTATAACAGTTTAGCTTAGAGGGGATACATTGTGTTTTACAATGTTTTTTTGCTAAAACATCACAAAAACCTAGGTTTTTTTCAGCTACTGTTAGATCAATTTTGTGAGGGCCAGGCCTATAACAGTTTTGAGGGAATACTACAAGCCAAAAAAAGAAACAAAGAACAAAAACAATAAAAACCAATGTGGGGTACTATAGGAGTTGGGTTTTGTTTGTTCTTTGGTTCTGCATCCATTTTGTCTCACACATTGTTTTTTGTTTGTCTGTGTTTATATTTTTTGATTTTCTCTTAAATTTGTCGCGCCGCAGACATTCGTGATGAGTTGCACAGTCTTGTTCATATATTGCATTTCTGACACGGTTGCATAGATTTCAGGGTTTGTACAACGGCTTTTGCCGAGTACTGGCGCCATGTGCTTCCGACAGTGTCGCTAAACTCAAGTCCTGCGTTGTAAAAAACATCTCTATAAAACCATTTATTAAAAGACATTGACATTTGATCGAAACGACTCTGGAAAGGCTACCCGTCATGAAGCCACCATACCCTAAATAAAGCGCACCCTAACTAAAGCTAAACATGTCTGTTGCCTGTCCTAAGAATCCAAGTAAAGATTCATTTCATTTCCTTACTAACCTCATTTCTTAGAATTCCCTTTCTGTTCTAAATGAAGATTCGTTTCACTTATTGAACTCCTTTCTTAGAATTGCTTTTCTTTTCTAAGTCAAGATTCATTTCATTTCCTTATTAAACTCCTTTCTTGAAGCCGCCGTGCCGTAAATAAAGTGCACCTAAAATAAAAGCAAAACATTTTTGTCGCCTGTTCTGAGTATCTAAGTAAAGGTTTATTTCATTTCCTTATTGAACTCCTTTCTTAGAATGTCCTTTCTGTTCTAAGTAAAAAGGTATTTCACTTATTAAATTCATTCTTAGATTTCCATTTCTGTTCTAAGTAAAGATTCATTTCATGTCCTTTTTAAAATCCTTGCTTAGAATTTCCTTTCTGCGTTAAAACAGGATTCTTTTCATGTCCTCATTAAGTTCGTGTGAGTCTTTGAGGAACAGGGTTTGACACACACACACACATGAAGCCGTAACGGCACTCCTTAACTAAGAAACCTTCAAAGAATCACCTAAGAACCTGAGAGGCAGACCCAACAAACGATTAGAGAAAAGCAGAAAGAAAGGTGCGGGGTGGCTGGGGTTGGGGAAGAATCGACTAAACGAGCCTGAAGGGTCACCTAACAAGCCCGGAGAAGCAGGCCTTACAAACGAAGAGCCAGAAAAAAGAAAGACAAGCGGGGCGGGGGGAACATTTGCCCGAAGGCAGGGCATGTTTGCCAGAAGGCAAGCCCGAATAGCCGTATCGGCGCTTCCTTGACCCAAAAGAAAACTGAGTTACACATAGCAAGCCATCAGCAACGAACAAAGACCTAGAAGAGAAGACCTAGGAAGGAGAGACAGACAAAGCCCGTGCATGAATTACTCAGTTGGATGAAAAGTTGGAACTCCTAGACTAAAACCTCACTTACAACCTAATAAGCCTCTAGCAACGAACATAGAACTACAGTAGAAAGAGAAAACCCAGGAAGGAGAGAAAGAAGGACCGCTGCGTGAATTACTCAGTTGGATGATTAAAAATTGAAACTCCTAGATGCATCCTACTGCATGATATTGGCAAGGCGCGGGGCCAGCGCCTGGTCGCGGTTCACTGACGACATCGGTGTACAAGACCGCGCCTCCTCCTGCCAAAGTCGTCCTTTCACGATGGCTTGTGCAAGAGTAGATTTCATTTTTGGACTGCAGCGCCTCATCCTCGCTCAGAAAATCACACGAGCGAGCAAGGAAGGCGAGCGCACATAGGAAGGGAAGTCCTGTCAAAAAGTTGGAAGAAGCCAGGTTTCATGCAACAACAAAACCGCAACCCTCGGCCTCGCTGCCCGAAGCATTGCCGTTCAAGGCGTGCGCCAGCCGATTTCTCCCTCCTGCACAACAGCCTGAATGAAAGTTATCTGTCATGTCTTTGCGTGTGTCTTTCTCGGTTTCTTGCGCGTCTAGACCTTTCACCTCTCATATTGACAGTTGCTCCTTGTTTGCCAGGAAAACGGGGAGCGCGCAATTGCCGTGAACAGTGTGGGCCAGGCGGTTTCGCTCCTCCGCCAATCTTAAATCAAAGAGTTTTCGGGCGCTCAAAATTGGACACAAATCATTGCGCCCGCCTTCTTGCTCAGCGCCCCTATGTTAACGTCTCACCCGGAGCCGCTTCCCCCAACCAAGGTTTAAATATTGGCTGGGGGGGCACGGCGCTGACGCTTTGACCAGCCCTTGCCGCCCATGCTTTCGCGTGAAGGCGGCGTCGGCAGCCTTAAACCGGGAAACGGGCCGGTTCGGTCAACGAGTTGGGCCCGGTGTGTCCAAGGGGAGGGCGTCACGGGCGATGCAAAAATAGGGGCTGCCTTCACACGACAACAAATGCACCCCACGTGTATACAAACCGTTTCCGTTCTATTCTTTAAACACCAAAACGCGCCAAAGTTTTTCCGGCGGGGCCTTGACAGTCGGAGCAGTCCGCCGCTGCAAGTCCTTTGTCAAGGACTCTTGAAACAGCAATCTCGAGTCTCGAGCAGATAGAAAACCGGGAATAGCAAAGGACCGGAAACCCTGGTGAAGGATCTCCCTTTTAAGGGCCTGTGCTAAACGCGCCCAAATCTCGGGTTCACACAGTGCACCGTGGTGGGACGGCAGTGGATCACACTCAGATATAGGGTCGCAAGAGAAGAATCAGTTGTGAAGTTCCACTCTATAGTGACTTTATAGGACTTAGAGCGCGACACTAAGACCTGCAACAGCCCTGCTCACAACGGAAGGGTGGTAAAGTCAGCCTGAACAGTTATTGTTTAAAACACCTCGACGATGTTACTGACGATGTTCCTCGCAAAGTTTAACATCTAAACTGGAGGAAAATCCGCAGGTACGTTTTCACCCAGGTGGAGGTTGTCTTCGTTGGCCGGAGACCTCCCACCTGCTCCGGCCCCTTGCTTAGACTGTACATTGTGAATCTGAATTCCTTAGGAACAGGGCTTGCCACACACAAAAACACGCACACTTGAGATAATGCGTGCGGAAATTGAATGCCACATGCCACGCGCCCACCTAGGTATGAACGCCTAAGGGCACCACGAATACGACGAACCTGAAAGTCCAACCAAATCAATCTGACCTCCATGAAGCCTCCAAAGCCCGCGAACTCGTTGGTTTAGGTTTGGACTCATTGGCTTTCCGGCCGCTCCATTTGTTTCTTCTTTCATCGCTTCCGCTTTACACACCTTCTTTTCCGTTTTCGTTTCACGCCTTTCTGTCTTCATGTCTTTTTCTCTCTCTTGCGCGCACATTGGTCTGGTCCTTAATGTATACGCGCACTTTAAACCCAGGTCTGAGGCCGCCCAGGTGCTTACAAGGAGGCTTGGCTTCATCGGTTGTCCCTGGTCACTTGGTTTCTTTTCATTTCAACCACATACACCCGGTTTGTCTTGTCCTCCTTTCATGTTCTCATCTGTTTGTCTGTTTCGCGTGCACACATGCACACCTGCCCGTAGCTTAGTTTTTGCGCCTCCCCTTGTGGGAGGCCAAGGGTTTCACACACACAAGTGTATGTCATGCTCCCAGCAATCTAGATGCAAGTGCACACCAAGCTAATCAAACCACGCAAACCCATCCGCCCACTGTCTTTCGATGCTTCAGCCCCTGAACCCGATCCGCCTGACCTCCACATGGTGCCGCTTCGGCACCAAAGCAACCGACCCGTCTTGATCTCCACGACTCGTGTGAAGAGCTCCGTTGGAACATGTCCTGCTTCGTCCCCGCGGGTCAAGACCTTGCCACGGCGCGAAGGCCATCGAAGGCCGTATAGAGGCTGCCGGTTTTTGCGTCAGCGAAGGGTATCGGACACTGAAGGTCCTTCCGGTTCTTAGAAGTACATTCAGCTCTGAAGAAATCATGAATAAACCAATTGCATCCTGTCCTGTTCCAGAATTCAGGTAATTGTGCACTCTGCAGGACTGGGTTGCTTCCCCTGAACGCGCGCGTCGTTGGCCCAGCAGCCACGTCGTTGGCGGAACGGAAGAGCTTGATCCCCATGTCCAAGGCTTTTGGCACATCCAAGTAGATCGCAACAGTGCAATCTGCCAAGCAGGCGAAACAACTGCTTGGGCGGGGCAAGTCGAGTACAGTTGGCAACGGGTGAAACATGTGAAACCTGTCCTGAAACCTCCACAAAAATCACAAAGCGATGGTCCCCAAATCTGCCAAAACCATCCAAAACCAACACACATCACAACTATACAAATACTACTAAGTCAATAATTCCAATATATTTCAATAGAAGTTTTTCATAGTTTTTCATGGATTGATTTTATAGAATGTCCAGAAGATGACAGCGGGATCACCACGCCTTGGCGCATGCCACTGATCACCGTGCGAGAGCCGACCTGTCGGAGGATCTTCTGAACTGGAAAGGTCGATGGGCCGCTCCACACATGTGGAGCCCATACACGAATGTCCATACAGGTGCTCAACCTGCTGCACAACTGCTTCAAACATGTAATGTAAGAGCTTGTCAGTGTGGAACAAACACACACACACACACACACTCTCTCTCTGTATATATATATATGCACACTATCTCCATTGATTTTTAGGACTTTATTAGACGGGGCGTGCAGCATGAACAAAGACCCCCCTATTGTCCAGAAGTGTTGGCTGAGAGGCACCAGCTGCCAAACATCCCAGAACTCTTTTGGGATTCCGCTATTTCAGAAGCGAGGCCGGCACTACTCCATACACCTCGTGGACATCCGAGCTTCAACATTGCATGAGAACAATCCTGTCTTGAACTTATAGAAACAAAAACATGTGGCCAAACGTGCTCGGTGTATGATGACCCTAGTCTACCAGTCGTCTTAGACTCTCAAAGCACAGCTACTCAACAGCTCCCCGGCCTCATGAGGCACAAAATGGATATGGTTGCGGCCCATGGGTTTCAAACCTTCGCGTTTGATGGCAGGCCAAACGTCCACATAGCACTTCTTCTTGTAGTGCCACCTCTTCATGTAGGTTCCATGAATGCCTCGGCATAAAAATGGCCTCGAAGTGGCCCTGGCCCTAGCTACAGCATGACCGGAGAGAAACATATATATTAGTAATTAGTAGTCAGACTGGACTCCAAACATGTTGAAACCACATGCTTTCAATAATCACATCCACTGAACACTTCCCAAATCGCTGTAAGTCACCTCTTGTGACTCCGTCGGGCCAGGAAGGTGCAGGACTCCGCCTTTGACCAACCATGACTTATATTGAGCACTTTTGAACTATATTGTTAACATATTTAGTTGAGTTGAGAGGGGGAAACTTGCAAGAGAGTTGATGTGAGTCGTTGCTCCTAATATCGAGCAGCCTGCCATGAAGGCTTGATCAGGTTTGGGTCCAACCGGCGTAAAAGAACACCTCATTCTTCTGGGCCCTCTCAACGGGCCATGGCGGTGTAAGCATCTCAACGCATCTCCAGGTGGAAAGTGACAGCTCCACCCATGGCCAAACCCATTGAAAGACCCACCGCTTCTCCCTCCCGAAGTCCGAAATCGACAAAACCGGAGGTGCCGCGGAACGACCGGACGAGAGCGGCGTAGCAGGTTGACCAAGTGGCACACCGGCAGCTCTGAGGCCGACAGGATCGGCGTCAAGAGCTCGGAGTCCACGACCTGTCGAGACCAGCGTTCGGTCTTCCCGGTCTGGTGTCTTGGGTGAGGGGGTCTGGAATGTGGAGTCCAAGGACTTACTATGACTTACCACTAAAGAAGGGGAGGAAAAAACGCACGATTGGGTGGAAGAATGCATCCGTCTCCAGAGGAAAGTATATGGAAAGAATGAAACGTATCGAAACGTAGTCTTCCGTTCCAGTCAAAAGGATTCACTTCCATCAAACCATATCAGCTTTGTATCTTTGCGGGCTTCGCTTGCCTCTTTCATCTTGTGGCCCTGGTTAGCGCGAATGCGCTTCACGCCATCGTCTAGCCAAAGGGAGAACCGTTGCTTGGCGTTGCATCTCACTTCTCTTTCCACATCGGCCCTTGGTGACAAGTGTGCAAAGATCTGTCCAAACCACAGTGAAAGATCTGTCCTTTTCATGTCACCTCCCATTTCCCTCCCTTCGACACTACGGCTCGAAATCCTGTAGTGAGATGAAATGCATTCCTGCAGGCAGGCCGCTCCGAATAGCCATTGGTTCTGAAGAACGACAAAGCCACTAGATCCTGGCGAGGAACATGCGTTGGCCTTGTCAATCCCCAAACCTAATGGAGTGCCTTCAGAACTTCACAACTGGAAAGCCAAATGCAGCTAGCGAAGCACTGCGGAACAGTGGCGCGCAGCCTACAAACAAATCCCAAACAACCATCCTTTCAACATGTTTGGAGACATTGGCACTGACCGTTTTGAAGCGGATGACGTCTCTAACCACGTTGGGTAACAGGCCCTCCCCAGAAGAACATGCTGTATTTCTCCTTCCCACCCTTTGACCTAGCGCCGCAACTAGATGGTGAGAGCTAGACCTTTGGCTGAGGGGGAAAACCCAAAGTGTCAGTCGTAAATCCGTCCAACCGAGAGCTCTTTGCCCGTCCTTACTAAACCTTTGGCGTGTCTGGCATGAAAGCCCACCCATGCAATATTTAACATACAAATAAATTCTGAGATATTATGAGTAATATAAAGTGCGACACTAAAAGCCGAGTTTCAAACGCCGCTCGCAGCCACCAAGATGCAGATGCTAATATCCCTGTTCATCCACCCTTTGCTACCAATCCCAGCTTCATATGCAACCCCACCTTCAGCGCCACAGATCCATCGCTTCGCATCTGCAGCCCCAGGCGCTTGGCATCGTGCCGGAGGACGCGCCTCGACGAAGCGGTGAACATGCAGGGCATCGAAGCGTAACCCGGGCCCCATCACGGAGTTGAACACATAAAAGACTAACTAAAAACGGTGACATGCTCAACTTGGCCCACACTGGAGTCTTTTTAAGAGTCTTGCACCAGGGTCATTGACAACCCAACAGCTTGGACAAAAACATTATATACATGAAAGAACCCTACTCTGACTCTGATGTGCGGGTACCCTGTACATTCCTAAACGACTTGCGTGCCCAAATCACTCCAACTCCTTGAATTGCAGCCGAAAGCACGTTAAAAAGCGACTCAACCGCTCCTGAGACACTTCCAATTCTGCTTGGTGTTCCTGGAAGTGGCACAAGCTAAGTTTCTGGGTCTCTGCCTGAGTCCAGAGCTTGTACTGATGATTTCCCGTAAGTTTCTAACTGGGGTTAGCTTGAGGCTGAACCGCCCGCACAACTGGCCGGCTCCTGTGTGGAAACTGCCTCTGCTGGAGGCTCAACTTCTTCTGTTGTTGTGCCTGCCCAACGGAGGTAAAACTGAGGAGAACCAATCAAACCAATCTGACTCAATCCAAAGAGCGTTGATGTGTGTTGCTTGCTCCGAGTTGCTATATTACGAGCTTCTAAGAGTGAGCCTGCCTGGTAGCAGTGAGGTTTGGAATATGTCGGCTAAACGCGTGTGCAGAGAGCAAAGGGATGCAAATCCCTGGGACCCATCATCACGAGCACGGGCAAAGAGTACCTCAGGCAACGGGCGGTTACGGCCCCACAACTCTTGACAAACCGGTGGACCCGCCCGTCACCGAAGCAGAACATTCATGGTCTATGCCAGGACCTTCAGTAACCTCTTTGGACCGGAGTCTCTGTTTGTGACCTCTTTAGGGACGATTCGTGACCTCATTGGATCTCAAGGATGGTCGCTTTGAAGGTCCTGGTGATGGTCTTATGATGTCCATATATGTCCATAATGTCTGATGCACCGTGAAGCCCACAAACTCGGCATACCCTACAAGGGTATGTTCGAATCGCCATCTGTGAACATGAGCCCCAAAACTCTCAGGCCTTTTTGCGCCTCCATTGAGGCTCGAGACCACACACACGCCATTGAGTACACGATTTCGATGCATCTTTAAGGATCTCAAGACCACACACGCACACCATTGAGAAGCACGCCAAGCCACTCGGTGCCCGAAGGACTCCAAGCCTTGTAGCTTGAAGCTGAAGCCTGCACAGGTCAGATTCGCATCACTCTTGAGGGCCCGGGTGCTTTGTGGATGTTTGCTTGGGCATGGTGGATCTATGTGGATCTTATAAGGCTGTCTTCTTCCTGTGATCTTGCATCATCTGAAAAGGCCTTTCTCATAGGCTGCATCGCCCAGCCTTCTGCATCAGCTACTTGATTGAGGCGTTCTTTGGCAACCTTGTCGGGCTGTCGGCACGTCGTTTTGGCGGCATTTCAACGCTCACGACACCTAACGACCCCGTGGTTTTTGCGCTTTTACACTTTCCACTTGCCACTCCACATCTTCCTTGGCATGAAGCTGCTGCCGACAACATGCTCATCGTCTGCTTGCATAAACTTGTCATCGTTTTTCACAATATTGTTGCCTTGTTGTCTTACGAACCTTGTCATCATTTTCCCCACATTGGTTTCACAGCCCTGTCATCGTGTCACAACATTACCACCGTCGTCACAACATTGTCATCGACGAGCCATGCGATTAAATCGGGGTGGGGTGGAAGGTGAATCAAGCAAGCCCCGTTTTCTCGAGTGATGGGAAACCACTTTGTATGACAATCCCTTGTCAATCGACCAAAATAAGGGCTTTCTTCAGCAAACGCGGTAAAGACTGGACAATATGGACAAGCTTCCCACTGGTACGCTGTCAAGACGCCGTCGAAACGCCAATGTTTCTTGGCAAACACATGCGTTTTCAGTTAGTTGCGGGCGTCATGAAGACTTCAACACATAATCTTCTGATGTTCTGGCCCCAATTCGCTCCAATTCGCCCCAATTCGCTCCAAATGTTTGATGCCTTTTCTCTTGAGACGAGACCGCTCGGGTCGAACGTTCAGACTCCCCCTGTTTCATCGCTGCTCGCCGTCGCAGGTGAGCCTGTATGTCCTCCTCTGTTTGCAGCGTCAGCGTCAGGAGTGTCAAATGGAGCTGGCTGCTTGGGATCAAACACCTGAAATTGGAGTTTCAAATGGGGCAACGGCAACTATCTCCATGAGGGCAGCGATATGCAGTGATACCAAACACAAAATGTCTAGAAGAGATACCAAAACATGGTTCATCCACTCAACTGGGGGTCCACAACACAACTGTTTTGAATTTAGAACTTTGTCCATGCAGCCTTTAAAGGGAGGTGGATGATTCATCAGGATTGACACGAAATGACTCCGAAATGACTCGGTGCGTCAACACGCTGAGTGCCGGTCTCCACAACATCACGTCTCAAGCAACGGGTGTCGAGGGGTGGAGAATGAGCAAGCACTGTGAGGCCTCTCAAGCTGAGTATGCATCTTTTCATCTGCTTTGATCATGAGCTCCTGGAACATTGCAAGCACTCACCATTGATTCGCATTCACACATTCATAAACACAGAGCGGGTAAGCACCTGAATTTGCCAGCGACAAAATCGGCCGTGTGTCAATGACAGTCCACAGTAAACCAAGAACGTACTAGTTATTTGATTAATGACCACCAACGGGCATCCCGTCTTAGTCTGGACCTGTGACAACCAAGCATGACGATCTTGCTTACCTGAGCAAGCAGGCACTAGAATCACTAGAAAGATGTTATATGACATATTACAGTAAGCAGTTAAGTTAGACTGTTAGACATCCATTGTGTAGCAGCAACCCAGGAACTTCCGCCCCTGTCTCTTTCTCTCTCTCTCTCTCTGGGACTCCTTCTGCACTTTCACAGCGGCCTTCCGTACATCTTCGCCCATTCGCACCGAAATAAAGTGGCTGGGTCTCTTGGGATCCTGCGCCAGTCCACCGAGATCTTCGGTCCACTCGGTCCAGCGCGGCGAAGCCACGGAGCACGTTGAGTATGACGCAGTGGGCAACTCACATTCGCAGCTTCGTTAATAAATATGTCTATGTTAGGGTTGGATAGGGTTGGGGAAGGTCGAAACTGTCAAAATGGGGACTTTTGTTAAGAACTGTTGAGTTGGAACAGTGGAGCGGCATCATGCGCACCAGGTTTGGATTCCAAAGACTGATGCTCCTCGTGTGATGTTCTTAATTTACTTGAACTTACTCATCGTTATGTTGCTGTCCAAAACATGAGGATACATCTACTGCCTCCCAAGCTCACAACATCTCGAAACATCTCATCAAGAATCTCAATCGAACCAAAACCGAACCTGTGGCTTCTTCTCCCGGCGTGGGGAGCTGCGAGCACCGCCTTTGGCTGCCGAGGCGGTGCTGCGTGCGCTGTGCCAAAGCCGGTGCAGTGGCACGCAGCAAGGCATCCGCAAGAGTCTGGAGGCGTGGTCGGACAGGTCGGACAGGGGGTCGGATGGGCGCCCCTTCCTTCAACCACGAAATATCCTGAAAGTCGTCTCTTCTGGCTCCCCGACCTCCATCCTAATTGGGTCTTAGGGAGGTGCTAGGACTGCTAGGATTTTTGAATGTTGCTTCCTGTCCCATCATCTTTCCATAAGATTCCATACATCTCCCGCGTACACGGCCTCTGGTAGATGCGCGACCCCCAAGTCCAGCGTCGTCGCGAGGTTAGGCCCTGTTGCAGCACTGCGCCCGCATGCCAGGGAGGCTCTGCCCACAAGACCTATAGATCAAGGAAGGAGACTGGGTTGATGAACGATGATGATCGGGATAGGGTGTCTTTCAAGGTTCAACACAGGTATCGTGATTGTCCTGTAACTGTATCCTGTATCGTCATCAAAGTTCTGTTTTTGTAGAAACATTGGCATATATTGGCATACAGCATACAGTCTGTGAGAGATGCATGCTGACTCTCATCTGGAAGAAATGGATAGGCAGTGCGCACGCCGGCGCACGCCTCGGACCTGACCAGTTTCCTTCACAGGTTGGGGCAATGCCATCTCATCTTGACCATTGTGGCAACTTTTGCAGTCCCGGGTAAAGACCATGTGACCGTGGAAAAAACGTGCTTGTTGCCGTGGACAAAAGGATGCAACATGAATAACGATAATTCACTGATGAATTTAATATATCCTGACATCATTGCAGGTCATGGTATTTCTAACATGACTTTCCATTGTCATTTCTGAACCACTGTTGCATGTCCCAGACCTACTTGTTTTGCTCTTGACTCGGTATGTTCCGGCAGTCCTCACACTCGCGAGAATCACATCTTCAATAAGAAGCTACTAGTAGCAAGGGCATCGCTACTAGCAACAAGGGTATCGCTACAAGCAACAAGGGCATTACTAGTATATAGTAACAAGAAGCTACTAGTAGCTCCTGGCATTACTACTTTTTTCAAGAAATATTCTATATAGAAAGCTACTTAGTAAAGAGTAGCTGACACTCTTTTGTGCACACATTGGAGGGGCTCGATGGGTCGCCCCGGAAATCCCCGGTCCCGTCGCGCCTTCTCCCTTTGGAGCTCTGAGGTCTGCAGCTCCCGGAGATTTCCACTGGGTGTTTCGGTGAAGAGGTGCCGAGGCTTCCAAACCTGAGTGTAGATTGTGTAGGGTGAAGCACCGAACCCAGGCGTTGTGCATTTATGGGTGAACTCTCAGAGAGGGGGGTGTCTTTGTGTTTGAAGCGTGAGTTGGATGGCCAAGGCGCATTACCACTCTGAGGGTGCACGAAATTCAAAGCTCTGGCGGCCTTCTCCTTCAATGCCTGGAGCATGGTGCTCGCTTCTTAAGAGGTAGTAAAGGCAAAGCGGCAAAGCTTGAGGAGGGACAAGTATATATATAGTATATACAATCCTAAATCCGACTCCTCATACTTTCCAACAGGAAAAGGCACATGGAGGCACTTGATCATTCCGCTCATTTCTTCTACCAACATCTTCATGTCTACTTTACCAGTCTCAAAATAAACCGTTCGCCTTCAAACTCTTGCCACTGGAAGGTGCCAAGACTGCAGGTGGTTCGGGCCCGTTGGGGCCAACGACCCCCAAAAGCATCGCGTCTCCGCGAGGCACCGCCGTCTCCGCGAGGAGAAGCCGCCGTCGAAACGGACTAGTCCGCCATCCGTGTCGTGGTGGGAAACGTTTCAGAACAACGCTGACGCTGGAACATCTGCAACGAAATGCTTGTAAGCATCATCCATTAGCCATTCCTTTTTGTTCCGCGTTGAACTTGGAGTGCTTTGATGTGCTTGGAAGACCTTTCTGTTGACCAACTAGTTCCTCCATGTTCCTGCCACTTTGCTCACCTGGCTACATCGTCTGTTCCAGTGGAGGTCATCATGGCGAACTGATCTTGGCGGCTGCTTGGAGCATACCAGACACGAACCATGCAAGTAAGAATTATCAAAAATAATGCTTGATAGCATTCCTGTAGTCGCATCAGAAAAACTCATGCCCGTGCGCGTGATCAAGACACATGGCAGCCAACCATTTCTTTTATCGATCTAAACTTGGCGAGGCACAAGCTGAGAAGTCCTTGCCTGTGCCTTCTCTACAGCGTTTGGCTTTGTACAGTTGCCCCAGAACGACACTGGTGGAGCAAAAAAGACTGCGGAACGAGATCTGGGGAGTCCCAGATGAGCTATGCATGAAACCACCAGGACAACATGGAGCTGATCAAAAAGACCAGCTCCAAGGATTGCCTTGGGCGAAAGATCAAAGAGACACCTGCAGCCATACACGTACACATCATTGTTGCCAAATACCAAATACAGATCGCGTATTTATACAGTAATAAATGTGATGTTATGAAACGGCGGATCCAAATGTAATGCACCACCTGTGTCATGCCAAACCCTGCCCTGCAAATACTTGGGCAATCCAAATTAGACGACAAGGTGGTTCTCCGAATGCTTTCCTTCAATTGCAGGGATATCTCTTCCCGTACTGCTTCGAGCAAAAGGGATGCCAACTAGACTCAATCACTTACAGATCTTACAGTGGTTTCATAGTATGTAGATGGCACAACCCCCAGGATGTCCTTTAGATGGGGACCATATAAACCACCGACAGACATCTATATATATACTCTGAAACCACTGTACGAGTAGACTCTGGTTGCGGGATACCGGTCAAAACTGGGTGCTTCATACTCTCCTCTTCCCGGATTCGCTCGTCCGCCGTGCAAGGTATTGACCAACATCCACTGGCAAAACGTGTCCCGGACCCTCCACGAGGCCCTTCTGAAGAAGAATTCCATCCATTTCCCAGGTCTGGGCAGCGTTTCATAGGCCCAATCGGTCCGGTGTCTCTTTGGTCCGCTGTCTCCCTAATGTCGGAACGACCCCCCCGCCAGGAAGGAGAAGGATTTCACTCGCTGCCGTGCGATCACGCTCTTAAGGCCGCACGGCAGCATGCATGCTAGGCTAGCAATGCCAGCGGCAGAGCCTCAGGTACGATCCGGGTGGAGCATAGAAACGGCAAGTGAACACTCCTCATAACCAGCAGAGAGGGTAAAAACGCGAATTGGTGATCATATGTGATGATTAGGAATCATTTTAACCAGGGGAACATGCATTAGTGATTATCATTCATTGATCCATTTTCCCTAGAAGATCCCGACCTGAAATGCAAGGAGCAAAACTCGCCCTGATTTTGTGAACCAATGACTGGCAAATCGGCCTTGTTCATGTAAACGCTGTATAGCCATAAGCATCTGTTTGTAATGCAAATGTCCACTTGCTGTGAACTTTGGAATCCCGTCAGTTGCATGGTTCCCTCCTTGAGGAGCAGGCCAATCACCGGAAAAACCAGCAAAGATAAAGAGGGCTTTCGCCACAGCACAGCGCTGCAAGCCAGACCAAAGCAAAGCTCCACAGTGTACGCATTGTAGGCGTTGCGGAATTCCTGCAGCCACGTGGGCCAGGCTTAGCAAACCACGAGAGAAAACCCCCATCTTACCAGGTGGGTTGCTGCGGGAAGCCCTGCAAAGGAACCAATTTAGCTTCTAATTTAGCTTAATGACTAGAGTCATAACCCACCTGAGAGTCATAAACCATTGTCTTTTGAAATCAGTCGTTGGAACTTCCCACCAGGTCTCTGACAAAGACAGCAAACAACACACAATCCAAGGCGTTGAGCCGTGGCAATTCGAATTGCGGCGGGTTTCGCATCTCACACTCCTCTGGCTGTCCCGACCATTCGGGCGAAGCCTTTTTGGTGCTTCTATGTGCCACTATCATTCGCCACGATCATTCCAGGTCATTCCAATTAGCCCAGCTGGAGACCCCAATAGCAAGATACAAACCGGGACAAAAAGAAAAATCTGGAAACAGCTGCTGTTTTCAACACATCGACCATCTCTTCCTTGGACACCATCATCACATAACCGGGACACCATCACAAAATGACCAGGGCACCATCAAAACATGACCGAGACACCGAAACAACATGATTGGGACACCATCACAACATAACCGGGACACCATCACAAGGTGACCGGGACACCAGCATGACATGACGGGGACACCATCACAACATGACCGAGACACTATCACAACATGACCGGGACACCGTCACATGACCCGGACACCATCAAAACATAACCGGCACACCGCCAAAACATGACCAGGACACCATCACAACATGACCGGGACACCATCAAAACATGACCGGGACACCGTCACAACATGAGCGAGACACCATCACAACATGACTGGGACACCGTCACAACATGACTGGGACACAATCACAACATGACCGGGACACCATCAAAACATGACCGGGACACCATCACAACATGACTGGGACACAATCAAAACATGATCGGGACACCATCACAACATGACCGCGCCACCATCACATGATCGGGACACCATCAAAACATGACCGGGACACCGTCACAACACAACCAGGACACCATCAAAACATGACCGGGACACCATCACAACATGACCGGGACACCATCAAAACATGACCGGGACACCATCACAACATGACCGGGACACCATCAAAACATGACCGCGACACCATCAAAACACGACCGGGACACCATCAAAACACGACCGGGACACCATCACAACATGACTGGGACACAATCAAAACATGATCGGGACACCATCAAAACATGACCGGGACACCGTCACAACACGACCGGGACACCATCAAAACATGCCCGGGAGACCATCACAACATGAGCGGGACACCATCACAACATGACCGGGACACCTTCAAAACATGACCGGGACACCATCACAACATGACCGGGACACCATCAAAACATGACCGGGACACCATCAAAACAGGACCGGGACACCATCACAACATGATTGGGTCACAATCAAAACATGATCGGGACACCGGGACACCAGCATCACATGACCCGGACGCCATCAAAACATGACCGGGACACCATCCGCCCACCAGCTCTGACGGTGACCCGACGGCGCCCGTCCGCCTATTAGTTTTGCAAGACCCCATAGCATGGCTATTGGGGAATCAGAGTGGGTATCAGTGTGCCACTTTCCTTAACGAGCATGCTACCTGCCGCATGCGCCAATTGATGTCAATTGATGTCACTGGCGCCATGACGTGTCTGTTTCTTTCAACTCTTCTCGATCTTTGTATATCTTTGTCTTCCGCCCACAGAGCCCTGACAAAACACCAGCCTCTCCGATCCTCTTCCGATCCTCTCCATTTCTGGAGGCCCATCCCTGAGACCCCCCACTGCTTCCCATCGTTCCTGCTCAGCGGCCAAGTGCTGCCGCACCTGTTTCCCGCCACTTCACCCCGGTGATGCGATCCACCCGAAAGGCCCTATACAGGGACGTGGCGCCAACAAGTGCCCCTGCCGCAGGGATGCTTGGGGAGTCCAAAATGTGACTATATCGATATGATAGCAGGGTTGAATGAATGCTTCTCCTGCCTCTTTGAGCCGGGGCTCCACTTGCTTCTGCACCGCCTGGTGCTCACGCCGGCACAGGCACCTGGAGCGAACTTGGGTAGCCGGGCTGTGGAAACGACCAAAGCTGCGAGGAACACAACCTGCTCACTTCAACTTATTCCTCACCCCACAGTCTAGTGTCTTATTCCTGGTGATCCTAGGTTTGGTATGGTTTGGTGATGATTCATGATATTTTTGTGTTTTGGTACTTGCACCAGGGCAACAAGAACCCAATCAAGGTGGGACAGGCGGATAATTTGCCTGAGTCACAGCCGCTGGAGACAACTCTGGCATGTCAAAACTGTCCGGACCATTCCGGATATGTCCGGAATTTTCATGAATTTTTCGGACCTCTCTGCAGGCCTTCGCGTGGAAGTGGTCAGGAAATCGAACACGAAGGGTGCGCATTTTGAAGCAAGGCCTACAGCAGTGAATGACCCGGGGCTCGACGGTGTTCCCACAGTGGATCAGCTGCTTCATGCGAAAGCGGCGAAGCTCAGTCACCCACCCGGGATAAAACAACATGGGGAAAAAAGGATAAGAATGGCCTGCATTTAGCAATCAAACATGCATTCAATATGCCTCAATGATATCTCAAGACGCGATGAAAGGACTAAGGAAACCATAAGTCCGTTCAATGTGGACTTTTTCAGTAGCAAAGAATCTCCTTCTTTTTGGCGTGCACATGGACAGGGGGTTCGACGGTTTGAGAAACCATCTTCTCCTTTTCTTCCACATGGTCTCTCTTTCTCTCTCTCGCTCTCTGTTGATTCTGTTGACTTGAGGTGATGGACATGTCCAATGCAGTTGACAAAACCCTTCTCTGTCCCATGGATCGGGATGGCTTCGGCCGACCGGGCCTCCGCCTTCGACAAGTTGCTCAGCTTCTCCATCTAAGCCTAGCAGTGAGCTAGCTTTGATGACCAGCTTTTTGCCAGCTTTCCAGGATTGCTTTGTGAAGAGTTAGGAGCGACACATCTGAGGCAAGACACTAACTAGCGTATTGCGTTGCATTCCTGATGCCGGCAATTTCATAGCTGCGGCAAGCAACCAGTTTTTGTCTATTGATTCTTGTCGCCGTAGTCTGAGCTCCAGTCTCATCGTGACATAAGCGGGCCATTGCGCGGAGAACGACCTCCTCTCTACAAAGGGGCGTCGGCAAAGTGCACCAAATGTAATCAGAACTAGGCACAACTTTCCAGAATCTTTGCAACACTTGAGTCAGGTCAGTCAGGTAGCTAACATCTCCCCTAACGAGCCATGCGAGGACATCATCTTCGGACATCTTTGCACGTCGGTTCGGCAAAACTTCAAGTCCTGGCCAACCCACAGCATGGCACGAGTGGAATGATTCAAATGATGCAGGCAAAGACATTGCAAACTTCATTAAACTTCTTTGTGCCCATGGAATCACACGCTTGACGGGATGCTTGGGAACACATGGGAACACCCAAGATCTCAATGATCAATGATCATCAATGAACCGTTGAACTTATTGATGCTTCTTGCAATGAATATCCACTCCACCATTGCAGATCGCACTTGTGGCTTGTCTATCGTGACACACATCTGTGCCAAAGGCAGAAAAGATCAGAAAAGCAATACAATGAAAACGATACATCTTTATACTGCAGGTGCCTGGTGCTTCAGCCAAAGAAGCAAAGGCTGCCCGGCCCAGTGACATTCTGCAATACCAGTGCAACAGCTCCACTGGTGAGAAAACCACACATGCCGAAGCACCAGCCCGCGCCATCTACACACCGAAAATTCTTGCTATCACTGGACGTCGCTGGCACTGCGAAGGCCAAAAAACACCTCATACGAAGCGGTTCGAAGCGGATCGCACAATCTCGACCTTCGAATGAACATGTGGCTCTCAAAGCAGGGTCTGCAATGCTTTCAACTGAACCGAAGTTGACAATTCTGAGTTCTCCCAGGAACCACCGTTTATTCATTGGTAATGTTCCCGAAACTCATGCTCCCCATGGACAAAGTGCCAGACATTCTCTCAAAGCTCCACCTGAGTCGCTGGGACATCGGCCCATTGGACGGGTCAGTCTGGTCAGCCCCGACTGGGCAATGGGATGTAGTGGGAATGGGAAACCTGCGCTTTAAGAACTCCCAAATTCATGGGTCTGTGAAGTCAATTTGATAGAGGCACCCACTACACGACTGACCTATCTGTCATTCACAGTGCATAAGCAAGCCTTCGATCATGGCCAGCCAACTTCTAATGGAGTAGGCATCAAACATCCACCTGATACCCCAAAAAAAACAGAAGGATTCTCCAGGTATTCTGGTGATTTCTGGTGCATGTTTTGGGCGGTTTGATCTTTCCAAGGAAGGTAGATGGTGTTTTGGGCGCTCAAACCGCTGAGCTCTCCCACGGTTTTGTCTTCGTAGGTGCCCGCAGCCAGCTCCTGGGCAGCTTTGGTCGAGCTTCGGCCACTGGAGAGACTTCAACGGAGAAATATGAGGAACTATGAGGAACTATGAGGAACATGAACTACAGTACATTCCGACAGATCATGGCAAACAACATGAAACAACAGCCCCGTACCATCCGAAAGACCGTTCCTGGACAAACATTGGGCCTTCCGCATCGAAATTTTCGTCTCATCCCTGACAGTGCCAGATGCACAACCCATGACCTTGCGATTCCCAAGTTCACTGTGGTGGTTTCTGGTGGCTATGTGCCATGTGCACCTGCAGGAAAGCCGCGCCTGCGCGCCCCGGCGCGAAACGCGCTGGCCTTGGATGTGCCGCTGCTGTTCTTGACGGTCACGGTACCTTTGATGATCACATCCTTCGCAAAGGTCACGGGTCCTGCGGGAATGGCACACACACAACATGGCATCCTCCTAAAGAAAGGGCACCCTATATGATTCCATCCCCCCCCAAACAAAGGACTCCGACGCCATGGTTTTTCAGAGTCATCATGGGTACCAAGTGCTGAGTCCCAAAATTGTTTCAGATAGTCTTTTCCCCGGGACAGGATGCACAGCTGATTCGTTTCGGCCACATTTGTCTCCGGCATCTGCCACATTTGTCTCAAGCATGTTCTTTCCATCGGGCACCTTATTACAAGCGGAACAAGAAGAAGTGCATCTAATTGCTTGAGCTATTCACAAGACGTGAATTCGGACAGGCGCCAATTCCAGGATTAAAATAGAAGGTGATGAAACAGACGGCAAAAAAAAGGTAAAGCAAACAGGTACATGAAGAGCAAGGGAAAAGTCGAAAGGCAAAACACGTGCAAGAAAAGAGGCGAACAACAGGCACTGCAAAAGGCAATGAGCAAGGCAAAATAAGGCAAACAAAGCAATTCAAAAGCACGTGTTCTGAACTCTACATACAAAGCTTGGGTCCTTCCACGACCAACTTCTTGCAATGAAGCAAGGATGGTGGGCCGTTGGGAATCAGCTTCTCCATGGCATCCTTGACAGCAAGTCGGCCAGCTTAAAAGCAAACGTGCCGAAGCACTAGGCGGACTGTTCGTACTGTTGATGGACAAAATCCCGCAGAACCTGAGACCTCGCGTATCTATGTTCTCCTGTGTTTATGCCGGTATACATGCCGCAGGATCTTGTTGAATTTGCGAGATTTTGTGTGGTGATTCTTGCCAGGGATCGGTGAACTTGTACATGCCGTCCAACTTCACTTCAGGAGGCACACCATCACGCTCAGGCGCCAAAACGATGGTAAAGTCCTCTCACAAATTGCAGGACGGATTCCTGAAGACTATATAAATTTTGATATCCGTCCTGCAAGACATAGGTCCCATTGAGAAAATCCACATATATATATATATACACTCTAAATTCCGTTTGATGGCACAACATGCAATAATAACATTATTGCTCGTGCTCTGCGATGCAAGACCTAGAAATGGGCGGTTGTCTCATACAACGCACATGGAACTTGGCAGAATTCAGGTAGCTGCTCCTCTGTAAGCTTGTAGGCATCAGAGCGAAGGGCAAGCAGGTCCTTATAGTGCAGGCATGCGGCACCAGTGCACAACGCGCTCCGGGTGCAAATCTTGCATGACTGTAGTCTACTGCAGTTTTCTGCCTAAACCCTTCGAAAGGGCCTTTGGAGACCAGGAATTCAGGACGGCCCTTCCCACTTGATGAAGCAGCTTCGCACTTTTTCGACTTCCTACCCTCTCCAACCTCTCTTAGCCTGCCTTCTCAGCTCTTACGGCTGGGCCTCAGAAGACGTATAATGTATCGCAGGTGGTAAAGGTAAAGAGCCCGGGCGCAGCAGCGACCGCTCCATGGAGTGGGGCGGCACCAAACTCTCTGACTTCCGCCTGGTCTGGACTGACGATGTGGTACCTGGCCATTCTTTTATTCGACCGGGCCAAAGGGCCGGCCACGCGGCATGAGATCTACACGTGATATTTGGGGCAAACCACATCAAACCACACAGACGTGGTTTGAACATGTTCATAGAGCATCAGTGGATGGCTCTCTTGAAGCAGCTTGGGGGTTCATTGGGTTCGGTCTTCATATATACTTTCCCCTTTGATCCTAGCTTCACCCGGGAGGCTCCTGGAGAGATGCCAAGAGTGGGACTGGAAAAGGCCCAGTTTTTACACAGAACGGTCCAAAACTGTTGTGAAAAGGTCACATGAAATATCGTCAAACAAACAAAGACTTCTCTCATCTCATCTCAGCCACAATTTTCCATCCAGGCGGCCCACCAAAACTGTCCCAGCACCATCGATCACGGGAGCGCTCCAATGTGCTGGAAGGCACAATTCTTGAATCCCTTCGCCGCTCCGAATATCGAAACCCTCCATGTCACCGGCTGCCTGAAAGTGTAGACCCGTGTAGGGCGCTGCATGGTATTCCCAGAAAGTGCTTCCGGTCTCAGCATCCAAGGCCAAAACGCTTCCCTTCATGGCTGGCGCTCCCACGAAGCGGCCCGGGGTCACGACCACTGCAAGACGATCAATGCCTTGAAGATGCCCGACGGAGGGATAACTGTTGCACGGATCTGGTGTGATGTGCTCCCAAACCATGCGCCCGCTGGAGAGCTCGTAGGCACGCACGACACCGTTACCCTCAGTACCCATGCTGTTGAAGTAGTTGCCTTGCGGCAGGGAATGCATAGGCGATAGATGTTGACAAATGGTTCATGGGGTTGATTTATCTTGCGTAATGGAACTAATGGAACGATGCCACTATCTATACAAAAGAATTTAAACGGGCAGAGTTAAACCATGTTAAACATTGTTAAACCATATCATGTTGGATCATTTTGGCACATCAAACGGTAAGCACACTGTCATCTGGAACCAAGCGACTGCAGGTGTAGGCCATCTGGTTTGGCCCCAAGATGGCTCCGCCATCGCTGAAGCTTGCGCTCGAGTTCCTGGCTGGGCTCCTCCAAATCAGCGCACCACTGTGAAGACCCAAGCGCAAAAGGCTTCCCGTCCAGTCCTGGAAGAGCACGGAGCCATCACCTGGAAACAAAGGAGTTAAGTTCCACGTAGGAACGTCCAGCTGATATTCCCAAAGCTTTTCACCCGTGCGTGCATTGAGACCGAAGACCTTGCGATTGCCCCCATCGATGGGTATCAAATTCTTCAAGGCTCCAACAACCATGATGCCATCGAAGGCAGCAGGATATCCACAGTCGCCTCCAGCACTCTCCGCCAGCTTGGTCTCCCATCGAACCTCTCCAGTGACCCGATTGACTCCAAAAGCGACCCCATCCTTGGTGGAACCAAGCACCAGATCCTCAAAAAGGCTGGGCTCATTATTGGAGATTCCGGGCGTCTCATAATGCCACAACTGCTGGCCATTCACGGAGAAGGCGTAAAGACCTTTGGCACTCATTAAGAACATGTTGGAATCCTCATCAATCACCACTCCGCCGGACAGGAGATTGTGAAAGCGTCCAGCTGGATCGTGCCACATCCACCGAACGGACTGATTGGCCCAAACTTCCGCAGTGGTCCCAAACTGCGGTGGTTTCCCCCTGGCATGTGGCCAGTGATGAGCATAGGCATGGGCTTGTCCGTGGGCTTGACCACGCTGCACATCGAGTGCCACCTGCAAGAACTCACCTTTGCATTCACCTTCACATGCAATGGCTCCACAGGTCGTGAGCAGAACCCCTGCCCAAAGGGAGATGAGCAATACCATCGTGCTATGGAGATACAGCACGGCCGCGGCTTTTCCCCGCGCTTTTGAGCATCAAAATATGTGTGAAAGTAATGATGACGAGATCGTCTCAAAAACTCGCAAAGAAGCCCACAGCCAAAACCTATCGATTCTCCCTTCAAGGGAGACTATTGGGGCAAAGCCATGTGAAGCCCCATACATCAACGAAGCCCCTGTCGAAGGGCCAGCAGAAATTCAGAAGACTCGACCTTGCGCAATGCTCGCAATGAAAACAATTCAACCGCGCCATAGCTCTGCACTGATACAATAGCACATCGCTTATGCATGTGTGTGACCCCAAAGCCTCACACCTCCTGAAATAATGATCGGTAGTGGAAACATTGGAAAACTATATACAGTACCTGTTTGATATTTGAAAACTGGTCTTCCAAGGGGCCAGCTTATCCACTTCCATGAATTCTTTCAGGAAGCCTGAAACAGAACTCGGATTCCGACGCTTTTCACTCCTGACCCCTCCAAAATTGCCCCCAAGTCTCGTTGGTGGTCTTCACCGGCGCGAAGCGCGAGCGTGGGATCACCAAAGCGCTGGCGCCTGCGGAAGAAAGTCGCGCCGGGCACCAGCGAAGAGTGGTCGCGGCTTGGTGTGGTTGGCCAGTGTGTTTGGGAGCAAGAAGGGGGATCCAAAGAGCAAGTTCGCATCGAAACTGTTGGCGCCTGGTTTTAAATACTGGTTTTCAGCGAATTGCGAATGTTCCATCACAACTAACACACGTCGTCTGTAGGGTATGGACATCCGTTCGGGTCTTCTTGTAAAGACCTCTTCACGAACAGGGGCCGCCCCTGAACGCCCCCTCATCCTCGCCCTCGACATTGAACAACGCTTGGATGAGCAATGGCTTGGAAGGCCTAAGTTTCAGACATTCTCGGGTGCTAGCCACACCCACAGGCAGGGTTTAGAGCCGGGAGGTGACCTGTGACGTGGGTCGACATGTGGTCGACCTGTGCGGGAGCCTGCGCCTGCTTGTGTTCAATGTATACTTCTATAGATTGCAGCAGCTCTTGGTTTTCCAGTGGGTCCTGCTTTCAACTTGGTGGATGATCGTTAGTACACGCATTCACCATATAGTAAATGCAGTGGTAAACGTGTACCAAGCTGGCGCCTACCATCACACGACGATTCTGCTGTTCATCACATTCGTCATTCGACGATTTTTCTCACGAGAGACCTCCGGGGTGGTCCACCCATCTTCACCCGACGTCATCGACGTCCGCCTTCAAAGCACTGGATCGCTGCGCCCATGGCGGTCTCCAACTGCAAGACTTTGGTGGAGGCCTTGTCCCGGGGATCCACCGTCTTGCCATTCCTCGGGCCCGGCTTTCCACATGGGCCGCCCCGACCCCATTCCATTGGCCAGGCGCGAACTGGAACATATTATGGAACACACTGAGCGGGCGACGGAGAACAGAAAACACCACTTAATCAACTTAATGGAGAAAAAATGAGAAACATATGAGACACGATGGGACATGTTCATGCACCTGATTGTGCAGTTTCTTGGAAGGCTATCACACACCAAGACTGCAGCATGACTTTAACATGCTGTATATAACTTTGGGATGCTGCAAATATCTTTTGCACATTACAATCTAAATCAAATTGAAACCCTTTGTGTGTGTGGCTGAGCCACTGGGTGCGGGTTGTGGGTTATGCCAAGTCTCTTCATCACGGGCAAAGGCAGGGCACCATCATTTCGCCGGAACTCTCGTTTCAAGGCTGCCAGGTCGACCCACAGGTTGTTGGTGTTGAAGAACCTCAAGGACCCGGAAACGACCTCAACCAGTAGTCAGGTCGTTTTGGACGAAGAAGCCTTTGGGTTGATTGAGGTGATTGTTTCAAGGCCCGATGTGATCTGCGACCTCTCAAGAGTGTATGCTGTCATATTGCTGTCATAATCTGTGCCATTCTGTGCCAATGTCTGCCAAATGTTCAGCTGATCTCATGAGTTATGCGACTATGACATGCTTGACAGATTGGTCCGAGACTCATGGCTCTTTTTGCATCCTTGTTCTCCATTTTTTTGCCACACCCCCCCCATCTCTCTCCCATTCTGGCTCTTTGGTCACATTCTCCGCGCCAAGGAGCTTGTACTTCCCCACGTTTTGGAACTCCTTCTCATCCTGCCCGAACCGAACGACGCCACGACACCACGCGACCGGACCGAACCGCACCGGTCCGGTCCTCCTCCGGGCACTGGGCCGATTCTCGCAAGAGGAGACCTCCAGCTTTGTCCTTGGCCAAATGGCCACCCTTCTTGTCCTTGCCGGGGCAAGTGGAAGAAGGACAGGTAGACTCCGACTGCACCAAGCGACAAGAGTCCCTTCTTGGGCAGTACTTTGGGCAGTTTTGGGACTGACAGGTCTGACTTTCATATTGTGTGTCTAACCCTAACCTTTATGGACGTTGCATTTTCCCAGATTGTAGAGACATCTTTCTGCACTAGAGCAGGTTTTGTGAAGCGTGCTTTGTGGGGAAGGGATTCTCCCAAGTTTACCTGATTAGGGTCGAGCTTGAGCTGGGTCCTTGCATCGTTCCCAGGTGAGAGATGATGGGATCCAAGGCATGCATACTCACCCAAATGCTAGCGAAGGGATGTTCATCTTCCACATGGACCAGGAGATCTCAGTGCATACCAGTGGGCCTTTTCTTGGACCACAAGTTGAGGGGCAACGCATGGCAAAGCATTCAGCAAAACATGACCAAATCCTTGAGAACTCTCCGGATCGCATCACTCCCGGAGTCTTTTCGTCTCAGGATCCGCATCTGTCCGCTCGGCCACTTCCATCATGAAGGGTGCCCCTGATTGAACGAAGTGTGTGAGGATCTTGAGGTCCATGGTAGCACCCAAGTTGTCCGAGTTGGAGACGAACATGTATCTGTAACCTGCAGCAAGTTTCTGGCTCTCTCTCTCTCTCTCTCTACTATCCTCTCTCACGTGTCTTTCTTGGCCAACCGCACCAATCAATTCAAGCGCTCTTGGCAGTCGTCAACCGCCCAATTCGTGCATGAACATTCCCTAAGTGAACCTCTGATACGATTCCATTCTCACTTGACCCAAACCAATTCTCTCTCCGTGCTCCTGCCACAAATCTTCAGATGCGGTCCCAAACGAATTCTTAGGTTAGGTCACACGTCGAACCATCGGCATTAGACAGAAGAATCGACTAATTATGGCTTCCCTGGGTGGTGTCTGATGCGTTCTCATGCGTTCTCTGCACGCCTTTCTTCAGCAACTTCTCTAAGGTCCCGCTCCTGGCGGAAGAAGAACCTTGAAGAACCGGTCAAAAATGGCACACCATTTAAATGAGGTCGATGTAAACCTCCAAGCTCAGCTGATTCTCACCTAATCTTCTCAGAAATACACTCTCTCTCTCTCTCTCTCCACGCTGTGGTTACGTCTTTGATGCTGCTGCAAGATGTGCACAACAACCAACTGCAGGGCTTGTTCCAGGAACTGCCTTCCGTTATCGTGGTGGGGTGATGTCTAGCAATCTCTTCATCTCAGGCATGACAATCTCAAACCTGTAAAGCCTAACTTGTCTCATTTTGTCTGGTTTCCTTATGGGAAAGCCACAAATCCTTGCTTCCTCATCCCTCCACCCAGCCACCTCGGATGCCCGAATTCCCGACCCCGGTCCCGAGCATGGCTGGGTAGAGATCTCCGTGCCCTGGCGGGCACCACTCGTGGCTGGAATCTGCTGACCACTCGGCAGGGCTCATGTCGCTGGCCGTGACCTGGCCGGGGTGAATCGAAGCGGTTTGGGGGGAAGCTCCCTTCTGAATAAGCTCTTGGGCCTTGGGGTGGTTTGTGTTTTCCATGGTTTTAAAGTTATAAAAATAAAGAAAGCATGTACACTCACACTCTTATATTTTAAAAAAGGTTCACGGTTCAAGGGTTTGGGAATTCTCTTGTGGTCTAGCGGAGTTTATGCTCTATGACACATCACACCCTACATTAAAACATGAACACCAAAAATTATAGGGATCAACCGCACTCTTTTGGACCGCAGCTGGTGAAGGCGTTCTA